TTTTTATGTTTCCTTGTGTGTGATAAAACATTCCCTGATCTTAAATTTCACCTGTCGATGAGTTATCCTCCCGCATCGAAGGAAAACACCGATGTTATCACTTTGCAAAGGAAATTGTGGCTCGTGTATATTCTAGTGCTTTCACAGAGGGGGAGGAAATAGTGTAATTTAATTTTAGAGCGTTGTCAAATTTTACCTCCAGAAAGGTCTGTTTATACAACACGTTTAAGACTCTCATTAGCTTGGAAATTGTCACTTTAGTAGGCAGCCTTCCAATTTTAATTTCTTGTTTTTCCATATAAGTTTGGTGCGTGTTCTCAATGTTGAAATCTGTATTAGATTAAGACCTAATTCTTCAAAACAGGAACATTTTGCGAACGATTTAGTCGCTTGTCGGCTATAGATGAACTAAGGTTATCAAATAGAAGAGATATTTCTTCTGCCTTTCAGGGTACTTAAATCGAACCGTTCATTAAAATTAATAGGGTTACTGCGCTTTTTTTTTTAATTTTTTTTTAAACTGCATCTCAAATTGACATAAAGCTTCGGGCACACGTCACGAGCCTATGTTATAAAGTTCAATCGCTTTCCTCATTGGAAGGTTTTTATTTTTAGAAACTCCCTATATGCATATCTAATGTTTAGCTAGTACACCACTTTCGATAGGTGCTAAAGGCCGACATCGCGGATCTAGCAAATTCTCGCCTAAGACTCATTATCACGAAAGGTAAAAGAAAAAACCAAACGATTTACTGCAGGAAAGTCAATGCTACGGGCATCAAAAGGTAAGCCTCAAACATGTAAATACAGCCTTTAATTTTTCATTTATTTAATTTGTGTGCGTTCTATGAATGAAACAGCAGCATGTTGCTCTGTGACCTAAATCGTTACTTTCCTTAATCGTTATCTTCCCTTATGAGAAGACTCTTAGGAGAAAGAACAGTTGGACGCGTTAACTCCCTTTCCCATAATTCTAACGATCCTAACAGTTTCCTTGCTTCACTTCCAGGGGAAATACTATTTCCCCTAGAACTGAAGCGAGAAGAACTGTCTCCGTCAAATATCAAACGTTTCTTTCCACTTTTATTAAGATATTTATATCAATTGAAATATTCATTTTTGAAGTCTTTTAACACACGTATCAGTATATTAAACAAGGAGGGAAACGAAGGTCGAAACATAGCATACGAAAACCTGAACTAAGAGTCTTGTCCGTAAAACCCTCGATATATAAAACCAAATAGTTTTTTTTATTTGCTCAGTTTTCTTCTTCCGCGTTGCCAGTGCAGCAGTATTAGTAAAGTGAAGATCACTAGCCTGTGCGTGAGTCGCTTAATAGAATGTTGTAAATAACTTGGGAGGTGAAACCATTTTTGGCGGAGTTGTTTTGATGCAATTTGCGGAGTTGAGAAGTTTCGAATCACTATATGTTCCTTTTTTCCTTTAGAATTTTTGCCGTTGGCGTGTTTCCATTTTATGGTCTGATACACTCAAAGCTAATTTGTTTAGAGATTTTGGTTTCCGTCTTCCGGCCTTGAGATTTATTTCAATGTCTCTTAAGTAAGATCACCGAAAGCATAGAGTTTTAGGATCAATATCAGTATCTGAGCAACTGCCCACCTACCCCTCCCCTAACCCAACATTAACCCTACGTTGTTATCAATTGAATGTTGAGTTAGGGGAGGGGTAGGTGGGCAGTTGACCAGATACTGATATTGATCCGAGTTTTATCCACTTAACGCCATTGAAAATATCATATGGTTACGCGTGGATACGAATGTTATCTTCAATTGTTGATGATATCTCTCTCTGGAAGATAATTCCGTGTCCGCAAGCGAACATGCAATATTCTATTTAGTCTATGGATATGAATGACATCTTTAATCAAATACTATAATTATTAAACACACCTTAAGCTCTGAATGCAAAGATCATGCAGGCTGCTTGCGAACTCAACCCGCAGAAAATTTACTTCAAATTCCTAGGTAGAAATGAAACAGTTTCTCAAATGGAAGATGTTTTTCTCTTAATGAAAAAGTATAATTGAACCTCTAAAAGGTCGTATATTACCGCAAAAAAAGGAGGCTTCAAGATGAGTAAAACCGCCATGTTGATAAACCTAGTTAGTGTGGACACGTTGTTATCTTTTCAAGTGATGATGTAAATGCCACCTAAAGGTGCTTTGTTTTTGAAAAAGAAGAGATTCTGCTATTTCATGAATACCTGTGTAATAAATCGTCGATATTTGATAGAGGCACGACTGAAAAGCCTCAGTTTAAATTTTTATCCGCGGCAACCATTTTTAACTCGTGAATTGCGCGCATGCGCAAGAGCGAGTTATAGATACGATGTGGGGAATGCTATTCGCTCGCTCGCTCGCTCGATTGGTCGATTCCTGTAAACTTTTTTAGATTTTAGGCTTTTGAGTGCATTTGATAGTTTTTGGCGAGCAATAAACAGACGAAATGGCGACCTTTGTTGCTAAGAATAGTGGTGGGGTGAAAAAGAAGCCAATGATAATCTTAAAAAAGTTTTTTTTTTCGTTTTAGTTTCAACAAGCGGCGCCAGCGACTGGCAGGCATGCAAGGATTCACACTGAAATAACAGAACAACCTTCGTTTTTCATAAAATTGTAATTTACAATCCTTTAACTTGAAAACAATCCGAAGATTCATTGAAAATATCACTTACTGCGAAGCGCTCGGAGTTACAGATGTAAGAGTACAGATGTTCAAAAGCTTTTTCTGTTATGGCGTGAGATTGAGGACAAAATCGATCATTACGTTTCGTCGCGTGTGTTTTTCCTGTGCGAAGGAACAAAAGATGCCGGCGACTGACGAAATAACAAGTTAACACGAAAATCAAATAACACCTAAACAAACAATTTTAGCTACCGATTTTCAGTAAATTTTTAAAGAACAATTTTCTTTTAAGTTTCAAGACAATTTGAAGATTCAACATACATACAACGTACTAAAATGCGAAAGTTACACACCACAAAATTGATAAACAGGCCTGAAATGAAATTCTATCTTGTTATTGATTATACGTTGCCTAGCACGTGACTTAAATCTACCCAGGCGGAGATCCAAAATGACGGTGGCAGGCTTGGCTTAGTTATATCACTCAAAACTCGTTCCCGTTTGTCTCATTTGATAAAGAGGGAATTGTTAATGTTTTCATTAAGACATTATTGCCTTGATTTTCTAATATTTACAACGAAAGACAGTAAATTTCACTTTTCACCCACATTTACTTCCAACCTTTTCTTTTGAACCAGAAACAAAAATGATAGACGTTTAAAACACATGACATCATCCACCTAGTCAAATGTAATAGCATGATCATTTCAATTGTAATGCCTTCTTATCCCAACGTTACTTTGTTTCTTTGCTACATTAGCGAACACTGAACTACTGCTCGTACTCTAGATATGACAATCAACCACAAAATTCCCTAAACCAGATAACATTAAACATAGTCTAAAAAATCATGTGTCAATTCACGAGTTTGCTCACAGAGCACTTTGATTAATAAGTTGTATCGATTTGGTCGGCCGTTTTAAAGAGATTAAGCTCTAATTTCTCCTTACAATATCAATACATTATCTAGGAAATAGTTAATGAGAATGGAAACACTCATCAGCTGGATGTTCATATCCTGATGGGACAAAAACTTCTTTGTGTTACCTTACAAGGAGGTGTATTAGGGCAGGAAAGGAGAATTCGGTTTTAGACATGCATACATTAACACCTATTTAAGCAACTGGTTTACAGGTAAATACGCACATTAAATCATTGAGTTAAATAATCAATATTCCGGCCAATAATTATTATGTATATAAATGAAAACATTAGTTTATTTCTCTAGTAGTTGTGCCAATTAAAACTAGTTTGCACTAATATTTTTGCAGTGTGGAAATGGTTCAGAAATGAGTTACTTGTATGATAATCTTTGCTACACTTTTCTGTTTAGTACGGGAACCCATCATAAAATGCTCACCTAACTGTAAAGTAAGGGTTAACCACAGGCTAACCAACTCGGGTGCAATAACCACAAGGAAACGTGATCAAAACCCGGCCACAAAAACCAAACTGGAGTTTATTGAAACGAGAAGTAATGCGGGCTCATTGTACATGCGCAATCATACCCGAATTGTTGCTAGGAAATTTCGAATAATATCTTTCAATATCTAGTGTCGAGTTGAAATATTTTTCATCATTTAATTAATTTTTAAGCATTTTCATGAAGACGAACTTGTTGTATAGAAATCAATTTACTGAACGATCTTATCGTATTATTTTTTTTTTACCTCGCAGGGTTTTTTTTTATTCTTTATTTCTCTCAGTTGGGAGCAGGTTTCGTTTTGCATAATTGCAATCTACAGAAGGCAGTTTAGTCATACACTATTTAGTTGAAAGTTGGATATTTCTCTTTATTCAAGAACAACTAGAAATGTCATTTTCATTTTATGACTTGATTTTCGAGACGGAATGTGCAAACTAATTAAAAACCTGGAATTAGTGCGCAGGTGCGAGAGAGGATTATTCTAAGTGTCACTTTTAAGAGGTGGTAGAAGTATGGGAATTTTAGCCTTCTGCACTGACTGTACAAAATGATGTGCTGGGTGCTATTAACTTATAAATTTTGTATTGCCTATGTATTTGTGTTGCGGCTGCAAAAACTTCTAGAGACAGACAAGAAACGATTAACATTTTTTTTAAAATCTGGATGAGCTTAGATTTGGATCGAGTGTGGGTGTTTTTGGCAGCCGGTAGAATTCTGTACGATGTAGTACAATTGGACTCGTTAACAGTTTTTGAGAACAGTTTCTTTGTGTCCATATAATGGCAAAGGTAGCGTGTTGTCTGTAAAGTGTAAACACATCACAGACAGATTGTGGTTCGTCTAAAATGCAAAATTCACCACGCAAGGAAACCGCATTTGCCATGAATAACAAAACACAAATCATAACGAGATGAAAAACCATTTCTGTGCAGGGCATCTGTTTTTTTCCAAATGAATACAGGACGGATTTTTTTTTCTTTTTTTGTAGTTCATCACTGGCACTATAAACATTAGTGAAACGTGTAATGAATTCATAATGGAAAGCGCTTGTGGAGTTTACAAGTATTTCGTTGCAACTAAGAGAGGGTAACTCGGATAAATTCCGTTCAAGACTGATTGATGTTCCATTTTGACGCCATAAGTTGCTTGTGTGGGATTTTGAGCTGAATGAAACAGGTATAAAAAACGGTTCATCACATAGCGTGCGCGAAAGCAAATATTTATTGCTTCACGTCACTTTTCAAGTAGTTTTGAGATCGAAGTGTTTGTTATATTATTTGTAAAAGTACGCTCTTACTTAATTTTCCGTCCAATTCGAATCAGATATACAAGATTATTTTCGAAAAGTGTGTTCCTTTTAAAATTAACTCCGTGATTTTTTTATCCCAGGTGAAAAAGCAATAAACCGAACATAAGTTATTTTAAATTTGAGCACATTATAAGTGAATATTTTTAAAACGCAGTAAGCAATTACTGTGTATGTTCATATTTAATATGCTTTGAAGTCCATACTTGACTTCTACGACTTACTCAGTCCACTTATCATGTCAAAAATAATACATCAATTCCAAGACTTTTTGAATGCTACATATTGCTGCTTAATGAAAACGCCTTGCTTTTACGAAAACATTTTCATGACAAACACGCAACAAGGCACTGTCTGGGGCATGGTAGACCCAGCAGTTTAAAGTTAAGGAGATTAATTGTAATCCTTCATTTCTCCGAATTTTTACACGCCTTGTTTTTAACATTTGGTCTAAACAGATAATATTCAAGATTTTTCCCAGGCAGTTTTTCTCCGGCAAGTTTCCAGGGGAATGTTGCAGATGCTTATACAAGTATTCTCTCTAAACAGAAATATATTACTGCTTCGATGACACTTTTAGGCTTTACAAATACAGACGATTTTTGCTGAGTTAAGAAACTGCTCTTTCACCAGAATGCTAAAGAAGTAAATAGTTTCATTGATATCATAATTTTGCAGTTATCGTGCGAGGTTTTCGTTTACACCAAAAAATTAAGACACTTTCTTTCAACGTACACAACGTGATTAAAACATTACTGAAACGTTCTTGGGTGATTTATTGAAGGTTGGCAACCACACTCCTTCTGGAAGTTTCATTGGTGGCTGCGAGAACCAATCAAATCCACTTAAGAGGCTGGCGGTGCTACAAGGTTTTCCTGAGCGCGATAGGAAAGAAAAACAGTCAACCATTGAGCTCTGGAATTAACACATGCGAGGACATTCGGTGGGTATATTTTTGACTTTAAATATTAGTTCTTTTGATTATTTAAACAAAAAAACGACATGTTATCATTGACTTATTCATTGATTTATTCTGTATCTTCAAATATTGGCGCTTTTTAGAAAAGTTTCACGCTGTGCCGATCCTTAGGGAATTTTACGCTTCAACTGTTTCTCAAGAGGTTAGAAACCTTATGATGGGTCCCCGACTTTTTCGGAAAATATAAGCGCGTTTTTATCCAGACCTTTTTTTCCTACCTTTAATAAAGTTCTTCAGAACGCTGTTTTTTCCTAATATTCATGTTAAATCTCAGATGCAAAGTTTCTTCGTTTTCTTGTGTCTTGCTGGGTTTTTAATTACATTTTCTTTTACCAAAAAGGGAAAGATACATTTTCGTTGGGTATCGAAGTTTCTGTTGGTTGTACAAAAATCTCTCTTCGTCTGTGGTGAAAAAAAATTGTCGTATTTCAACCCATGTCACTTACATGCCTTTCAAGTAAATCTCATATTTCACTTATTTCCCCGACTGATATTTTACAATTGTTTACTTGGTTACTAGCATGAGATAAGGAAATATGTCGCCTTGAAGTCGCCACATGTAAAAATATTCACTAATTATTTTACGACCAGTTGTCGCCTTTGATTAACAGATAGAAAATTTCTAAATAATCTGTAATTAAACTTGAAAAGTCAAGTTAAATGAAAACCCATCTCCTGCAAAATCTGAGGGAGGGATCTCGGTAAATCTTGTCTCTTTTTTGCATGTAACTTGTTTTAGTAATTGAAAGGATTTTAGGCAATGGGTAATTATTGCCTTTACCAGGTTAAGACCCCGTGTGGTTTAATTTGTTTTGACATCAAACACTTTTCATTTTTAAATTACACTGTTGAGATGCTTCTTGTCAGGCGAGGCGTCTCCACGCTCAATTGCACGGAGAAGAAATATAAGCTCCTCGCAGACAGCTGAACCCATTTAGTACTTTGACATCGGTGGTAAGTCCAATACTTGTGACCAGCCGCAAAACATGTTTACGTTAAAAATAATTTTTATAGTCTCAACAACATCATGGAGACGTGGTTGTATTCAAGTACGCGGACAACGATGCACGTAAGCAATATTGAACTAATCGACTTTTTTAAGCCAAAAGATTATGATTGAAACTTGATTATCATGTGTAGTCGCTTAACCCCAAAGCTAGTCATTAAGGTTTTTGTCACTCTGGAGCACATGTGTTGATCAGGGAGTTTAAACGATTAGCGTAAGTGGTAATTATAGACTTAAAGAACTTAGGATTGGATTCAATTTCATTTCATTGCATGTTACGAATTTTATAAGATTTTCATGAAAATTTTTTGTTTCCTTCTCTAAGAACCGAGATTAGGTTCACACAGAAGGAACTTTTACCCACAAATTATACACGTGTTTTTTCAGTTTTACACAATTTGTCGTAATCTTCCACAACAATTCACGTTAAGCTGACACCCGGGGATTAAAAGTTTCATTGTCTCTGCTTATAATGAATTAGCTTAAAAACACTGGAGCGAAAAAGCCGTGAAAAATAAAACCAATTTTCGTTTTTGGACTTGGTGAGATTTTTAAGCACTAAATGCAATCGTCATTCAAAGTTCACACAAAGAAAGCAACAATTTTACGGCTTAAGAATTATCATGCAAGTTTCGCTTTCCTATGTTGCGTGCTTAATTATGTATAAGGCGCCTCCCTTGACCGTATTTACTTTGGTGAAAATTAAAAAAAAAACTTCAAAAAGATGCTAAAATTGATTAAAAGGACAGCAGTTCAAGTGCTTTACCCACAGCGAGACACATCGGTTTTTCTTAACGTCCATCTTCTTTTGAACTCAAAACGAGATATGCTCACTCCGTTGAATGAGGGTGGAGACTTGTGAAACTTGACGAAAATCGTTGAGCGATTCCAAGAAGTCGTTAATTTACTTTATAAAAAATTATGAACATTGCAAATAATTATCAAAGCACTCGAATGTAGTCACCTAACCAACGCTATAACATCATGACTTAAAGAGGATAATTTTTGCACCCTTAAATTTATTTTGTCATCAGGATTTGAACAGATCGCTGTTTATTGGTGAAAACAAGTTACGTTTGTTGTACGTGAAATGATTTAATACTTAAATTTCAAGTGTTGGAAATTGATCCTAATTTGTTCGTCAATATATTAAACTCCGACGCCTGTACAGCGTTAAACATATCAATGAGTTGAAGCTTTATGGAAACATCGCAGTTTGAGTCCACGGCGGACTTTAATTAACATTTTCTTCCACACGTAACTCGTTGTTCTCCCATTTTTTTCTTTCTGTATTCTCCAGATGGCATTTACACTTAGAATTTAGTAACTAATTAGCAATGATTTCTGAAGAGACAACTGAACCATGTAATTTCTCTCGTCTTCATGCCAAATTTCTCGTTCCTAGTCTTAGATGATTTCCAAAGGGCAATAACACCTCTTACAATTTGGCAACAAATTTACGGTGATTTTTGGAGACAATTGAACTAGTGGAAAACCCAGTTCTTGAAACCCATTAAGCTCTAAAGTAAAACTTATCTTCACCTGGCCTGTAAAAGGTGCAGTGAACTTCTTGCGTGCTTTGTTATCATAAAAATCATGGTGTGATACGAATGACAAAACTTCAAAGCTTTCTTTATTAGTGGTGATACATTGTCGAAAGCTGTGAGTATTTTCTTCGAGCCTATACTTTAGTTTTCTAAGTTCAATTGTATCACATTTCATTTTCATCCCACATATCATAGATTCGTGTTTAAAAAATCTGTTCATAATATTGGGGGTTTGACTTAAGTGAAAATAATTACTTCAGAAATTAAACCTTTACCCCGAGGGTTCGTCCCTACTCAGTTTTCTTTTATGTAAAATTGAACTCATTAAAAATAATATTTGTGAAGTCACAATAGTTGGAAAATTGGTTTTTTGTGGTCGAACTGCTTTATTAGTTTCATATTGGGGGATACACGTTTATTTTTTTCCGATGTTTTTTTACAGCCTGTTTTGAAAAAAAAAACAGTTTTACCTATCCTAATTTTCTAGAGTTTTTTAATCAAAATTTTGCCATGGGTAATTCGTTGGAAAATCTTTGTCGATCGTCTAGTACTCTCATCAAAATACATCTATTGTTGAATTTTAAACCATTCATTAAATTATAAATACAGCTGGATAAATTGTGATATGATATATTAAGCAGAATTGATATGAGATCGTCCCATTCATATGGCTGTCGGGAGACGTTAATTTTTTAAAACTGCTTTTGCTATTAATGTTCTGCGTTAATTTTGCAATGAAAGTTCAATCGAATTTTTTGCGTGTCTTGGAAAATGAACGGTTGCAAGCTTCTGGTTGAGTTTCGATTTTTGTCAGTAAATTGAATTCAATCTACACGTTTTTAGCAATATATGAATTGTTGCTATAGTAACATAAATGCAGATTGCGACAACAATTAGGAGGATTTCAAAAGACATAAGTTTACAATAGGATTCTATGTGAAATTTCCAAGATGTTCTATGTACCGATTTGGTTACTGATTTCCTCTTTAAAAAAATCGTTCTCTTCATGTTCAACAAAGTTGTGGAAACATCTGGAGTGACTTTTAGTAAGTGAGATGACATAGCGTTTTTTTACATCGATTTAAAGCCTTTTTACGTTTTATTAGAAGGCTGCAATATATTTTGTACATAATTTTTGCGACACAACAATAGCATCCTCGCAAATGGTCATAAATCGTCTTTGATTACATTCCTCATTGTCAATGATATTTACAGTCAAACAATGGGTTGGACGATCTTTTAAAGAAGACCGTCCAGAAAATGCAGGTCGTTGAAGATGGATCCATCCATTAAAGTGCTTGTGAAAACCAAAATAGATAAATTCAAAAGAAGATGATTGCATCAACTGGAAAATTTCGATATGAGCTTTATTGTCTGATCTTTGTTTTAATTATGTTCTCGACGAGACAAAATTTTCATCATGTGAATCTTTCTTTAACTAGAAAACATTTGAATTTATCCATGAGAACCAGTAATTAAAACTATATTTATACAGATATTTTTCATTTCGCCCGTGCAGTCACCTTCATTTGGTTGTTAAAATAATTGTGATATTAGCGTTGTGTCGATTGCTTTGTGCCAGACATGAGTCATAGTGATAATTTTGCTAGAGGAAACTTTTAATTTTCTGCGAACTCGGAATAAGCAAATAATCATAACATTTACAAGCAGCTGAAGGTAAAACTTACATCCGCCGAAAGCAAGAGGGTGTTGAAATGTTCAAAGATTTTCCGATGTCCATGAGTTTTGTTGTATGCCTAAGTTTTTGCAATATTGACAATTACATGGAAACCGAACAGCTTTTGTCTAAATTGATCGCGGAATAAATGGGCCAAGGCAAGTGATTTTCCTTCATTTCCAAGCGAATCGTCAACCAGTGATTTTCATCGCCAAAGGTAAAAGCATGAATTGTTACTTTCACATCGATAGATGCTCAGATCAGCTGTCAGTTGTTCACAAAGACATAGATTTTAGCTATTGGCTAGTAAATGTCTTCTGTTTTATCCCCTACTTTCGTACATCAGTGATTATGAATACAGTATTGTTGTAAATATCCTTGATGTTGATCATCTTATTCGCTAATTTGAATACTTCGTATTTTGAAAAACATTTCGACGAAAGATAGATAACTATCCTTAAAAAGTCAAATGTGATACCAAAACCATGTGTTGCGGTGCGCGCACTGAGAGCACACTGCAAATTAAAATGCTCATATTCAAACTGAACTAAATTTCCAAGAAACAGAAATGTGAGCAGTTCTCATAATGCTTTCAAAATCATTGGTGTCTACTAAATTAAATTAGATATCTTTCCCCTTTTTTTTCCTTCTCTTAAAAAGGGCTTTTCCAATGAAATTCTGAATCGCGAAAAGTATCATTAACTTTCTTTTTCAGATTTTTTCAGTGTGCCGCAAAAATAAAACAAAAAAAAATTAGATAGAAAAAGGAACTGTCGCTTGATTTTAAATGTTCGGATAGAACCAAAATCCGGTCAAGCCATGATTGTGAAGTGAGCTGCAAGAATTTTTTGTCATCGATTGTCATCGAAAGGAAATCGACTTGAGCGTTCGATATCTCTTTAGCTTTTTTTTTTTTTTTAATGTTTTATCTGTCACAGTTACCCGTCTCCGAGTTCACAGGCCAGTAATAGAATTTTTATGGTAAAATTCTTCAGATTTATCATTCGCGTGAGGCGAGATAAATCTTGACGTTCAGGTTGCTTCATTTCAACAGAAAAGCCTCAGGCAAAAATAAGCTAGCCTTTCATGGATGACAAAATTACAATACGGTTCTTAGTTTGAAGGAGTATTTTTACATCGTATATTATCAGATTCCAGCGTACCAGCTACAGCTTTTCGCTGATAGAATTATTTTGTGAAAATGGAAAAAAAAGGAGAAGCTATGAAAATGTATAAATTTCTGAATATTTCCAAGGCAGAATTGAATAGATTCGAAATAAAATACGTTTTCGTTAAGAAAAGTATATCAATTTGTTAGAAGCAATTCTTAAAAATACTGATGGTTGTCTTATTTCAAACGAGCCACACGTTTCTGAAATAACACGAGGAAAGGACATTAACTTCAATGCTTTGATGTTTTAAACACAAAGTTGATGTTAGAGCACAGCTTTGCGGGATTTCCGCTAGTCGAAAGAAATTGTCGCATAAAAAAAAAGTCTAAGCGTAACTGTGTTTGTATTTTGGGAAAGAATTCGCTAGCATAACAGAAAACAAGATTGATATGACAGCTGCTATGTAAAACTTCATTTATATATATATATATATATTTACGATCCATCAAATATGTTTGAGCGTGCGCGATGGGTCTAAACGCGGCATGTGATCGAATATCCCGCAGCTAAAACTGGGTGATATCCGAGAATATCACCCAAGTGATATCGCCCAATTTTGAAAACTTCCGTCCGTTACGATAAGTCTTCTTTCAAAAATTCATTTCAAGATGAGAAAGCGTTTTGTGGTTGTTACAGAAGAAGGGAGATATTTTTTTGTTCATAAAGTTGATACCAGAGAGCACTCAAAAGAACACATCTCACGCTTCATTCAGTCAGCTGTTCGTTCACAATTTTTCACGCTCGTTGGAAAATATTTGAAGGATAATAAACACAGTAGCCTCTATCTTGGAACAGATAATGTCTGCGGACAAACATCCATATACGCAAAGAACTCTTTGGGAGCCTCCTATTTCGGTCCCTTATCTTACTCCCTTTCTTGCAAAGGGCCCCCCTAAAATGAAGGAAGGGGACCCACTGAGCCCTCTTCGGCCAATTTCTAGAATAAAGGGAGTAAGCTTCTAAAGAAACTGTGTTGCTGCGTGGGGGAAAGTTGTGGGTTGTGTGTGGGTTTATGGGCAGAAAATGGAGCTACGCTATTGGTGGGAATATTGTGACAAGAAAAAAAAGAAGTAATAAGTCGAATGAAAAGTGCTCGTTGATACCATGGGGATCGAGAGTGCCGATTTGGAAGATTTTTGTTCTAAAGTTTTGTGTCTTTCCGTTTCGTTTCCGTTTCGCCAATTTCTAGAATAACCCTTGTTGATGATACTTGTTTCTCTGACCTTAGGTGTGACCTCGACGCGCCAAGGTTAAACGTGCTTAGACATTGCAAGTAGTATCAATTTGCAATCTGTGGATAAGATTTAGGGTCAGATACTGTGCATATTTTAATCGATCCCAAAACTTTGCAAAAAATGACCAACCAAAAATTTGAAAATATCCCAACTCAATTTTAAGTCTATGATCAACTATAACAATTGAGAAACTTCATCTCCTTAGTCCTTATTTTATTAACGATTGCTGAAAAAAAAGTTAAATAACTTATTCCTTAAAAACATGTGCGACAGAAAAGGCGATGGGTTGATGACGACATCATGTTTTCAGCAGTGAGGAAATTCAAAATTAGTGAACACATTTCTAGGTAATGGTATATTTGTCAGTATTTCTGAAATTTAAAAAGTCCCAAAACATTCTCTCTTTAAGAACGCGAGGTTGCGGTATTTTAAGGGGGCACTGACTATTTACCTACAAGCTCTTAACTTCCAAAGATCAGCGCAAAAGTGTTCATTTTTCAGCAAAACATAGCCACGGCTACATTACAAGGAACACTGAAACCTTTCGAACAAATTGAAAGATGTTTTTTTTAAGTTAGAATTTTTTTAAAGGAAGAGCAGTGTTGCGTCGGTTGGCTGATAGAACATTTTTGCCGTTTATCATTAAGTATTAATGGGAGTTCACATATGTCACTTCTTCAACCGAACAAAGTGCAGTCCATCTTCTTTCTCCTTCAGTTCCGAGTTCGATCCGTCGCAATATGCCTTTCGTTTTTTCTTTCTATTTACACAAGCCACCTTTTTTTGAGTGCGCGCTTGTTTCATTTGAGTTCGTCTACAGTTTTACGCCATTCATGTGATATTCGAGGCAATCCAATTACCAGTTGATCAATACTGAAATAAATTGCGTGTCCTCGGCGTGGCCATATGGACTGATGTCTGGGTGTCCCGCGGTTGTTTCTTCCCCCCCCCCTCTCATGTTGTGTCTCGCCTTGCCCTCTGAAGGGTCTCAGGTGAGTTGAAAAAAAAACACAAAGCTTTGGATTCAATTTAATCTTGTTTCTGCAATGAAAAACAACTTGCAAACAAGACGTGGCGGTAGTGGAAATGCTGACATGTTCCAGAGCATTTTTAGCGATTAATTTCTTTTAGTGAGGGCGGACGACAAAACATTGAAAAGACGAGATGACACCATTTCTTCTTGAAAGCAGAAAGAGATAAGGAATTCAAAAGGAGACCTACCGGGGGGTCTTAGAATTTAACATCGTAGTGCATTAATATTCCATATGAGGCATGCGTTACTTGAAGTGTTGTACGTGCTTAATTAAAGACAGTGTGCTCTGCGTTTTCAAACAGACACCAGAAACCAATGAAAAGAACAAGCAAATTACTGTCATAGTGAAACGTAAAACGAGGAACTGTCTTGGGAACTATGGAATCTCATTTTTGCCTTTTTCCTAAAAGCTGAAATTTTGTATTCTTCGCTATGATCATATAATTGTTTCTTTCAAAGAATGTTGTCTGTGCTCTCGAGTAAACAATTTGGCTAGAGAGTGTTTTTCGGCGCTCGAAAGACGGAGTATGAATTTTAAAATGGTTTTATTACCTGTGATTCTCTTGGTTTTCTCTGTGTTTGCATGTGCATGATAAAATTACCGAACGCAACCCTGAATATTTTGCGTAAAACGCTTTACATCATTTGTGACGTTAGCTTTGCGTTTGTTATTATCATATGCACTTCGTATTGCGGGCTTTTAAGTGTCAAATTAATGTTGAATGAGCTCACCTCACTTTTAATACTTAAGTGACAGGTGAACAGATGTGCAATTCTTTAATACATTGACCCTGGGGGTTACGAAATCAAAGGAGGACTCAAGTTTCGGGATAAAACTAATGGAGTGTTTGCTACAGTGAGCAAACAACTTCAAAGTTTCATTTTATTATGGAAATTCGTTCATTTTTGATATGGAGGTCTTGACTTTTGCGTAGACGTAAAATAAAGATGACAGCTTCCCTATGGCGAAGAATAGCCTTGTAAACTCGTTAATGACCTGTGTCGAATGTATAAGATGAAAGTCACAATTACGATTTGTGTCTCTCACTCTTACAAATCTATCATTTAGAAACCTTTCCAGACCAGTTATAGAAGTGAACCTTATTTAAACAGATTTAAAATATTAATTGTCTCTATTTAGGAACAGGAAATTCGCGCTCGTAAACTATTTTTCACTCCGCGTGGCTCATATGCTAAAAAAAATATACAGAAAATCACTCGGTAGTCGTCTGTAATTGTTCCTCCACTCGACCATTAAGACATCAATTTGCATACGTTGTTGCCGGCGGAACTGAAGAGTCAAAGCAGATCTGGTCAAGTCTTTTCTCGTTCTATTCACATTAGGGCCAAAACAAGTCTTACCAGACCCCTTTTTTTTGATTCATTAAAACTGCAACTTAAGTCACTTGGCAACTTCGACTCCCAAGGGCCTGCAGATTTTGTGAATTTAACGAGGCCATTTAAGTGACCATAACGGATTTTTCGCGATTTTATTTCGTTCACTTTACTAAAGGTAAGATGTTGTTGTGCTCGTTTCGTTGATGATTTCCTTAATTGATGTCTGTTGAACATCTTGGGAAATATTTGAAAAAATGTGCAGGTTAACAAGCACCTTTTTTCAGCTGCGTCATTCGCGAAACTTTTAGTCGACGGTGAAATTTAATTTCAGTCTAAACTTGTGCTGGTGTTCTGTGTAATTCTTTTAAAATGTGAAGTAATAACGTTCTCTGTATATTTAGAGAATCTACCATCAACAGGTTTAAGGAGTTTGGGTACCAGATGATAGATTTTGGAAGTTCTTTGGCGCGGAATTTATCTTTATCTCGAGTGTACGTTTCTTTGTTTGAAACTTTCACTTTAACAATATTGTGTAAACATTTGGAAAACTCATCCGCTTAGCTGAGAAGAACATATATGGCCTCATTCGATCCGAATTTGTAAAGTACATCGATAAACTCTCTTAATGAGCTCGTCCATAAAAATTATAGCTCGTTCGACCATATTGACAAGGATTTTTGTCTAAATTTTTGTTTAATCTAAGACACAAGGTTAAATATATTCGAACTTTCAGTTAATGAACTTAGTAAAAAACTACCAGCGTCCATAAATAGATTTAATGGTCGTTCTCTGTTCAGACAAACCAGCGCCAGCAAATTGTACCCTTAACTACTCAACATCGCGAACTCTGTGCTGATTTGGCGCAACTTTGTGTTAATGTGGGAAGAAACGGAGGAAATGGTGTATGAAAATTAAATTTTAGAGAAAAGGAATATTCTTTTAGGTTAACAATTGTGCTCGTGAGCCTTTTTTTAAAGAAAAATCCAATGGGAGTATTTGAACTGTGTCGTTCACAACACAGCAATTAAAAAAAAAAATGGCCGAATCATTGTTGCAATTAAGCAAATACGACAAAGAAAGAAGAGTCGATTAAAGCGGCTCTCTTGAATGCAAGAGAAATCGAAGTCTTGACAAATTACCGGAGGTAGATCATGATCCCGTTCGTGGTAATCTCGATTCGATTCAGCTGATGGTTTTCGTTTACGCAGCCAAATATGAAAAACGGATTCAGAAATCAAAATGAAACCTTTGACAGGTATAATTTGTCAAAACGTTTGCTCTTGGTCGAAGCTTTCTTTGGTTATCTGGCGGTAAAGTCAACATGTGTACATAGATAGCATACAAACAACAGCGTGATGCATTTGTTTCCAACCTTGTCGTTTCGGTAGATTTAATTTGCTTAACCTCTCTGCTAATCCTGGATCATTCTTCGAAACAAACCAATAAAAAAAGAAGATATTTTTCACAGCCATGAGCAATTTGGTGCCCATCTGACATGCACGTTCAGAATCGAATTTTCCCGAGAAGAGAAAGGTATGCTTATCACCATCTGTTTCATCACATTTTAACTGCAAATTGAAAACATTACAAGATTTGTAAAAGATGTAAGCGAAGTGTATTTAAGTTTCTGCTTCTGAAACCGTTTCTCTTACGGGAGTTTTTAAATGAAACCTCATCCGCGTTGATTCTTCGGTTGTAATCTACTCATATTCTGATTTTTCTAAACAGACTTAATCGAAATAATTTCAATTTAATACTCAACTTCTTCGTCAATTGCCAAGCATATCTTTCCATTGCTTCTAAACTGTGCGCCCAGAATAAATTGGGTGCAAACACCTTGTTGGCACCCAACCTCGATCCATAGATATGAGTGCAGCGGTCTTATTCCTGCCAAGCATCTTGACTGAAACATGGAAATTTCAACTTATTCAAAGAAATATTGACTTGTGTTTACTTTCGAAACACGAATATTGCCCACGCAATTTTAGAAAACTAGCTTCGTCGAAGGCCTCTTACTTGAAAGTCATCGGAAAGTGCTTCCTTTTTTTTGTTCAGCATACGCGCCCTGACGTGAAAACCGTAGTTGAGTTAATCCCGTAGCCAATAAAAACCTTGTACCTTATGGTTATTTTCGTCATGCCGCGAATAACCTTTTGATCTTTCGATGAAAACACTTGTTTTTATGTTCCAAAACAGAATACCGACCTACCTTAAACAACCAAAGAGGTGTATTTTTTTCTCCTTCTTAATTAAAAAATAGTTTACGATAACACGCAGATGAAATCGGTATTTCCGCCAAAGATTCCCATGTGTTGTTGTGTTTATTCTTGTTGGTAATAACGAAGACATTTGAATAGGTTACAGACGAACGTCATTCAATCCAATTACATTCGTGCGTGTGCATGTTGTGCTTATTCTAATTTGATCATTACGCTCGAATTAAAAACGAACGTACATGTACAAGTGGGCAGATGTTGAATAAATAAAACAGCGACGACGGAAAGATCTCTTGCGCCAAATCCTGTTTGCAGAAGTCGTTTAATATCTATCTTGTTCGGTAGTCCGTACGTCACTTTTTGAGTTAGGGCTTGTCTCCGACGCACAGAGCAGCCGTCAAAAGGTTACCTTTACTTTGAGTTGATTGTGTCCTTTGAGGTGAGAGAAATCACAATTTAAAACTTAATCTAGTTCTTGTCGAAAGATATCAGAAATGACGCTCATGATCTGCCGCTGAACTGGTCGTTTGTAATGCTTCTCAAAGATTACAGTTGTACGTGTGCTAGACAACATTTTTTTCTATTTTCCTATTATGTACAACAGTTGAAATTTTTCCCCAAATCGTTGGATATATATTGCTTTCAGTAATATAAATAGTGGTTTTATGTTCGCTTTTTGCATCATATAGCGGAATTTCCGTTGATTAAACATTGGTTTCAATGGTTGTTGATTAAAAGGCTCTCCGAGGCAGTTAAAAAATTGAAAGTGGACATGAAAACTGTGATCTAAACTAAAGAAAAAATATTTCAGTTTTACGAGTGGTAATGAGCTATGGCCTGCTGATCTGGTTTTTTTTTTAGGGTCTTTTTCACTTTTCCATTTTTGAACGGATTTTAGAAGAAAAATGTATTGAAAGGTGTATCGTTGAACGTGAATTGGATTTACACTATTACTATTTGGAATGTGTTTTTTAGTTGTCATGATTTGCTTTGTTTTATTTTTATTTTTGTTGGTATTAAAATTCAAGTGCCAGCAAATTTGATGAAAACCCGAATGATATTTTAGTTTCTGTGACAAGTATTAATCCTTCAAAATTGTCATAGTTTTGAACAACTCTATAACAAAACTTAACATACCCCATAGTCAGCAGATCAACTTTGAGTTTACGAAGAACTAAGTGTATAACCTACACATATTTGATTCCTATTATTATATTCGATTTGCTCTTTTTTTCTCAAAGTTATAGTTAATTTGTTGATTTTATTTCATTTTGTAAACGTTTCCGATAAAATACATGTACAGAATCAAACGAGTCGTACCCTACAACACAGCATATACGTTGCTTACCATGGTCACATAACTTACAATGGTCGCATAACTAAAAAATGACAGAAGTAACAGAAAAAAATTTAAACAATACAAAACAGAAAACTTTTAATATTTACAGTGCCTAGCAGTATTTACAACTGCTTAATAACTAAATAATTTGGTTTTATAAACTGTGTTTATAATTTACATCGACCACCGTACAGAGTTTAAAAGCTAACGTTTTATTTACGCATAAAAGCTATCGACTCTAAAAATTTTGAAATCTTAAAACGTTTGTTTTCAGCTATTTGGGAATAGTACACAAGGAAAGATTAGATTTAAATGCTTGTCACTTAAGAAGTTAAATGTTTCTTATATTAATAGGTTTTTTTCGTTATGACGTTTTCAACCTCAAATTTGGCTCATGTCCAGCACTGTGTGGGAGGAAAAGAGACACATTGTGAAAATTTAAGCACGGTTGTAATTTTTGAAATATTTTCATAGAAATTGTAGTCTTCGCCGCATGAAAACTAAAAGAAAAAGTTAGTGATTTTTATAGTAGCAATAGCTTGAACAAACAGAACTTGACTGGTTAAAAAAGGTACACCAAACGAAGTATCTTGAAATAATGTGTTTAAGAAATTTAACTCTGAAAGTAGACTGTGAACTTGGCTTTCATCCAGAGGTTGATCTCGATTGTTATCCACATATTTAAATTTTTTCGGCTAGATCTAAAGTTATGTTCATATCACAAAATACAAATTTGCAAAATTCATTTGGACGAGCAGATGTTGCTAGCTTGCACGTAGTTGGCATCTACACAACAGCTGAACGAAGATCAACGTACTCTGAGCGTTTAGCATGGAAGCCTAAAGTCACAGTTCTTGATAAAAGAAGAAAACTACATAATTATTTTAATGTGATTTATTGGTTGCCAACACTTTGTGTACGGAGATCTAGATAAAATATTTTTTCGAGAAATGTGACATGATTTCTCGTAGTCGTAAGACACTGTTCCAATATGTTTTTAAAAACTATCACGGATTATGATAATTTGGAAATTGTCCAATTTGTAAATACATTTTTTTTTTTTGCATTTCGTTAGCATCTCGTAAAATTGACCGTCGAAGTTCCAACTTTTACATCTTTGTGGCAGCTTCAGAAATGAGGGGAATGTTTTGTCGAAGGAGTGAAATTGAATTAGTTGAGGTAAATTTGGTTAAATATCAGATAAGGTACTGTATCCTCTCTATTATCAACCCGGAGACAAATGTTGTATTTTTCTGCTCTTCAGTAATCTTCTTGAATAATGAAAACTACTTCGAAGGATTATTTTGCCTCTTTCACTAATCCACAGGACAACATCTGATGAAATTGGGCGAACAGGGGTTTCACTTTAAGCTTAAGATAGAATGCTAGATAACAGTTAATGGGATAAAGTGGCGAACTACTGTAATTTCAGCCATAATCATAGCTCTCATAATTTTTATTGTATTTCATAAATGTTTTAATTCTAAAGAGACCGAAATAACTTACACGATCGATATAAATATCAATGCTTTCTTTCTTCAGAAATTAATTCCTCTGTGCTAGTTGTTTGAGGAATTCTTTCATCTGCGATTTGAAATTCGAGATATATATCGATATACATTTTTTAATTTTGTAGAACATCAAAGCTTTATTTTCAAAGCTACCTATGCAGTAATGTGTTTTGTATCGCGATTATTTATGACAAAAACTGCCTCGAAATCCGAAAGTTGCAGAAACGTAATTTTTAGCGGATCACGGCCCACTTTTTTAGAATATGCCCATTGTCAATTAAATCCAATCTTTTAGTATTTGTGTCATATTTATGTCGTAGGCTTCGTTTTTTCCTCACATTGTGAAGTTATCGCCAAAATTTTTAGTAATTGGTTAGAATTTGTGCATATCCAAATCTAAAAATTGAAAACCACCCTGGTTAAGTCTTTTTTTTTTTTTCTTATTTCCCTCTTTCTACCAATCTTCATAGGAGCGTTCGTAACGGAAATTTAGTTCTATCTGATTTTTCATTTTCATCACGCTAATCTCCAGATAACGACAGTTTTACACCTGAAACATATGATTTTCTGTAGTGGCAGCACTGCAGTTGTACCTGAAATCATTTTGGGGCAAAATCGTCATGATATTGCTTTAAAACGGTATGAACGTGCTCGTGAAAGGATGTTTTCGTTATGGAATTATAGCCCTTTCCGCTCAGCGTACGTCTGAATTTCTAACAAATTACACAATTAACATTTAGAGAATTGCTGTTGGAGTATGTCTTTTCTGGACATTCAAAACTTAATTATACGCTGTTATTTTCGAGGATCAAGGTGTATAGTTTATTTCCATTTTGTCCGTTCTGCTCAAGTGCCAATTTCTATTTTACCTAATACGGTTATTTTCTGGCTTCAAATACTTCGTTTCCAGAAAAGATTTAGTACAAAGCTAACGAGATAATTAAAAATACTCAATAGGACCTCCGCTCTAAGCTTGCGGAAGTAACAGCGGTAGTGCTTTTATTTCCATCAACAATTCTCAATGCGTCAATTTCCATTAGCACATCCTTAAGTGATTCTCATTTGCTTAGGGCAAAATTTGCGTTAAAATACACTACGATTTTAACTTCGAAAACTGATTTCCTGTCAAATTGAAGAGCACTCAAGATGCCCGCAGCGCCCACTTCGCTGTTTTCGACCTCGTTTAAAAATAATACATGTTGGGCGATTCCAGAATTGATTTTATTTCCTCCTTTTACTAATTGACGATCCGGTCAACACAATTACCACAAATGCTCGTTATCAAGTTGAAATAAGGAAAATAATTTTTAGAGCTAAGTTCTTTTTAGTTTCGTTTCGGCCTTTGAGAATTTTAAACCAGCCGTTGATTCGTGTTTTTGCGGGCTTGTCAAAGCATACCTTGATGTTGTACGTTTACGATACGCTGTTTTCACTCACAGTCGATCTAATTCAAATTCGTTACGCGCTAATTGAAACGCAAAATGAAATACTCCACAAAGGGACCTCGGTGAACGTGTAAACACAAATTGGCCCTAATCCGATCAACATTACTATTATGTTTTAAAACGCACCCAGGCATCTTTAAACAAAAAAATATCGCTTAGCAAGCTTGGCAAGCTTGGCAAGCTTAGCAGGAGAACGTGTGAAAACAAAAGCGGAAGCTGGGTATCTGCAGAGGTTTAATGTGTCTTAAGGCCTTATAATGGAGTGGACCCTATTAATTGCGCTATTACAATAGCGCCTTTCCGTGTACACCCTGATAATGATTTGCGGCCAAGGGAAAGTAGTTACGTTAGACGCACTGCTTCAGTGGTCAATTATACCAGCTCTTGGATTACAGGAAATTCAGTGTAGATACATAATCGTCATAAGCAACGTGTAGCCGTCAAACCACACAACCGATGACCACTTAGCTTAAGATTGAAGAGAGATTTTTGGTGAGCAGTCTTTTCAACCTCTTAAAACTTAATAAGTTATTGTTTTCTTTTATGAAGCAACACTGTTGAGGAAAATTCGGCTCGTGGAGCTTCTATTTTACACGGTTTTTGTCATATCTTGTCATCATGGGTAAATCAGATTGTTTTACTTTCAATCGGTTCTTTTCTACCATTTCACATCGACTTTACCAAACGCTTCGAGGTCTAGATTTATGAGTAATACATGAGTTAGGCGAGTTTTTGTTTTTTGTAATCCTAAATTGCTCTTCAAACTCAAGGGGCATCTGTGACGCGGCGCAGAAGCTAGCGCTGCTGATTCAAAAACCTACAGTTAAAAGTAAGCTGATTTTTTTTGTTCTTTATTCATTCCTCAGATGAGTTGAAACGCGTTGATCATGACAGATAATCTCACGGGGGACAGTTCAAATGACGGATTGAACAACATGCCCAAAGATTCATTTTACTACATTCGACTCGTGTGTTACGTGATCATCTTTATCGTTGGTGTTGTTGGAAACATTTTAGTCTGTTTGGTAGTTTGTCGTCAGCGAAAAATGAAAAACGTCACAAACTATTTCATCTTCAACTTGGCCGTGAGTGATCTCTTCGTGTTACTGATTTGCATTCCCTTTGACTTCGGCGAGATTGTAACTGGAAATTTCCCTTACGGAGCTGTAATGTGCAGACTCATTTATCCTCTACAAACCATGGCAGCAACAGCATCTGTTGGCACGCTTGTAGCTATTAGTCTGAATAGGTGAGTTGGGTTTATTTTCTTTTGTTTTTTTCGCATTGATTCATTCCACTGGACCGATAACGAGCTGCGAATGTTCTGTATTAATGATATTCGCTTTGATCTGCGTCAAGGGTGTATAAATCCTGTAGCTACGTACAGTTGTAGAACCTTTTTTTTTGGTCATCTCGAATTCAAATTGAGAGAAATCACTTTACTTTTTGTTGAAATAAAACGACATGTCAAATAATTCCAAATTCTGGCGCATGTGGTGTTTTTCCTAGATTTAAGGTAAAATGCAGTGCCAAATAGTGTATGGTTTCGTTTATCTCAACGATAAAATGTTGTTTTTACGTCAAACGATTTTTTTTTCTTACACCGGAAATATGAATGGGCGCTGGCTAGATTTATGAGAAGGAAACAGTTTAATCAGCTGACAAAACTAACATATACCTAAATGAATATTACTCCAGTTTGGGAACACATCTTCATGCATTTTACGGAGTGAGAGCTCATTTTATATATTAATGGCCTTCTGTTTTCCTCTCGGTTCATTATTGCCACATGCATATTATTTTCTACTGTTTTCGGAGACGATAAGAATACACACCAAGTGTTTGGCCTGCCTTGCTAATTCATTCATGCTGAATAAGTTGAATATTGCATTTACCGTTGGTGAACTTTGAAAGCAAACAGCACTTTCCTTGTTAAAGAAGTGTCACTGTTTTTGTCAGCTAAAAGAGGTTTTAATCATTCGGTCCTAATACAAAGTAAAGAGACTTTTCAACAGCTTATTGTAATCACAGTAATTACACGGCGACTGTCCATTAAGGGCTTAGGAAAACAATAGATAAAAACCTATTTACGACTTCTGAAAGCTGAAAATGGGCAAATGATTGTTTATGCACTGTTAAAAGTCGTTGCTGAAAATGTTTTAATCTGCCTAAGAGATATTTCTGTGCGATAGCACGTTCTGTGGCTACAATATGCTTTTTTTATTTAAAAATCTGTAATTGAAACCCTTTTTGATGAAAATGAAGCAATTGAGACTAGAGTATATTGTGAAGTACGTTCATGAGGCACCGTTTATTGTGGTAAACGTTTGAATAAAGCTATTGAGGAGTTCTTTGATGTGATACTGTTTATTCTGCTGTGCGAGGTGATTGTAACGTTTAGGTCTGTGGATGAAAACCCGGTGTGTAACTATTCAAATGAACGCTTCTGCGCGTTCTCGTCCTTCAATATCAAAAACAAATGTTTTATACATTTTGGCCGTAAACGTAAACATCGCGTTTGCAGTCCGATTGCCGGTAGTTTTAAATCACTATTTTTTTTCCCTCTCAAGTTTGAAAATTTTGGTACAGTAGGAGGGAAGATCTAAAGATTACTTTTGCCTCAAAATTAACCTAAACATATTTTTACGCCTGAAAAAGCGTGTCCGCCCACGTTGCATTGACGTACAGAGACCCACAAACATGGTGCAGTTATTACATTTACTTGGCCAACCCACGCCGCGCAAAAATTAAACATTATGTTCAAATCGCTACAAAATACACAATCAGATTGTTTCTTTCTTACAGTGGATCTCCTGATCAGATTAGAGACTTTAATATAAACAACCCAGATTGATGATTACTCGTAATGCTACTCGAGGCGAAAAGTTAATCCGCTATGCGGTGACAAAGACATGTTATCGCCTAGATGCATTTCTCAGGAAACACAAGCGACGATCGTAAGTGTGACTTAGAAACAGCTCAATTAATGGACACACGGAATTATTTGTTTTTATTTCATACATCCATGTGGTTCCTGCTCGATGAAAGGAATAGAAAAATTCATTTGGAGAATTGAAGAAAATTAAAAACGGAACGGATTTCTAATTCGTGTCCACACGCATTAAATATATGATCAATCAGCGATTGAAAAAAAAAAATCACAAAATGAGTTCCAACGCTTGTAGAACAATGAACAGCGACTCTTCGGCGACATAGTCTTGTTATCGGTACAATATATTTTAAGCTCTGGTAGAGAACGCGTTGAAATATTCCATCTGTCTTTACTGATGGAATTGGTTGTTTTAAGGTTTTTTATTGTAATTCGTTTTTCTCGGTGATCGATAATATTTAGATCTAACATGGCAAACATCGCTTATCAGTTTTCTAACTTCACCCTTGGATATCCCTGAGCAAGCTGATTTCATATTTAAATCAACATAGAACCGAAATCAGAGCTTGGGCACAATTATCGACAAGGGATTATACGACGGTCATGGTCTTATTATTTGTGATCTAATAAACAGTAACTGGAATAGAATTGAATTCAGTTTTAACTGAAAATATGACCCATTTTAAAACTGCATGTCACAGTCGAAGAGAAACAAAGTTAAACTTCTCGCATTGTGGGGATGTAAAAATTACAACAAGTTTTTAAGATTATTGGTCCGAATTTTGTGGTGTTTTTTTAGCTCGTTTTGTTTCAAACCTTTCACGCTCTGTTTTACATTTAGGTTTTGCTACCCGAATAATTGAAGCGAATTTTGTTGTTTTTGTACACCGGTTGACGGTATTGATTGATTTCACAAAGAATAAATATTTAAAGATATGATATTTAGTCTGAAATATTGGAGAACAAAAACTGAACTAAGAAAATGCTTTCGTCTTATTTGCATGTAAAATCACCAGCTGATCGAAATATTTCTTGCCACAAGCAAAAGGCGAAATAAAGCTGTTGTCACATCGCGGATGGCGCTCAGTCAAGGCGGAACCTCTTGATGCGCAGTTACATGTATTCCACGCACAAGCACAAAATGCTTCAAAGCATAAATAGCAGCAAAAACAACTGAACATATCATTTCTTTATTAAAATCATTCCAGTTGTCCCTAACCCTAACTTTAACCTACAGGTTCATGGCAGTCGTGTATCCACTCCGTCCGCAGCTACAGACTCGTGACGCAAAGAAAGTTATTGGCATAATTTGGGTTTTTGCATTAGCTCTGGTGTCGCCATACATTGCCGTTTTGGAGATGAACGCTGCTGGTACTCAGTGCCAAGAATATTTCCACGAAAAAGGGCTGAACGCTGGCGGTTATACCATTTCGATCTTCCTTCTGCAGTACGTCGTCCCGTTATCCATCATTGGACTCTCGTATATAAGGTAGAGGAACGGTGCAATTGATTATTCACTCTATTTATTAACTCCTCCGCACGTCCGACCGTCTGTCAATCCGTCAATCCATCCATTCCTCTCTTCCTTCCTTCCTTCTTCCGTCCTTTCGTCTAGCCTTCCTCCTAACCTGCCAGAAAAACCGGAAAATTTATGGCGGAGCGCGCGAAACTTGGTTGGAAACAACTTCGCCACGCGTCTTAGTTCCTCGCGTGCGTTTTTCCCGTGCACGACTTCCTCCACGCGTGCATCTCTTAAACGCACACCTAACTTCCACTTTTTGTTCTGATAGAATTGGCCGCGATCTTCGCAAGGACAAAGGGTCGTATTCAAACGATGCCCTTCAGCGCGACCAGGAAAAGGAAGCGCATAAAGTAATGAAGATTCTCACTGTTGTTGTAATTGTCTTTGCTTTGCTGATGCTTCCTAATCACATTTACTTCTTGTGGTACGACTTTGGTAAAGGAGGTAAGTGTCGAAAGCAAAATATGTTTTAAATACTCACGTTCTTTAGGCATTCGCTGTACGCAAAGGCTCGTCATGTGCATTTTAAGTTAGATGTAACAAGTTCTCCTCATTTTGCCGTCAAACACCTGCACACTAATATATTTTCATGTTCCTGGCTGTTCATCAAAGATCTTGTAAATAACAACACGTTCTCAATTTCCCATTTGCTGTCTTCTTCCTTTTTGTAACTTAACTTCCGATTGTTTCCCTTTCCTCACTCCACGAAATCAATGATTCATTGTCGCCTTCTACGTCTCGGTTATCCCTCATTTACCTCTGTCTGTTCCTTTTCCTTTCCACCATTCCTTGACTCTCGAATTGTCAGTACTTTCTCCCGTGCTTCTCGTTTAAGAATTTTTACCATGAACTTGCGACGATTGCTTTGTCAGTTTTTCCATCTTTTTCCATCAGAAGGCGACTACCCTCATGCTGATGGCATCAGACAGATCTGTCAGATTTGTGTTTACGCAAACAGCGCCGCCAATCCGCTCATTTACAACGCCGTCAACGAACAGTTCCGAGAGGGCTTCAAAACATATTTCCGCTCGTGGATAGAGTGCGTCCTCAAGATCAAAAGGAGCAAAAGGAGGGATGACCTAAAAGTGACCAACAGACGGAATGGGGCCAAACCCATAGGAACATGCACCATGTGTGGGAGCAGCGATACATCCCTGGATGGAACTCTTTATTCTCAGAAGCAACAGCTACAAGTCAACAATAATGGCGGGGCTCAAATCTCGATGAACGGAACAACAGATACTAAGGACTCAATTGAATCTGAGGCGGACAAAGTCGAGGAACATAAAGAGTTGTTGACATCCGTGTAAAGGGAAGGTCGTACGCCCTCCTCCTCCCCTCCCCCCGGATAAAATGTGTTTGAGGCGCAAAGGTGCGATTGCCAGGTAAATGGATAACCAGCGGTTACAATAAGCAAGAGGTACGTGTATTGTTATTGTTTGAAAGGAGCAAACATTGCCAATGCTGTGCGCGCTCAGATTAGGTTATGTTGTGTTGGATGCGTAGAAAATTATCATGAAATTATTATGAAAATATACATGTCTCGGAGTTTAGCTAGCTCGTCACAGCTAAGACTGTTAGGGTCTTCAAACCAAATGTTGCGATAGTTTTACGCGCGATAGGTAATTATTGGTTAAAGCTTAAGTACAACTTGTATGAAGCTCTGATAATTGAGTGGAACAGTTGTTTAAAAAAAGAACCCTATTAAATCCGATTTATATGAACTGAAAGACGGTTTTCCCCTACCCATGCAGCCCACAAAGAGATATTGGGCAACACTTCGTGGTCAAGAAACCAATTTCTGCTTCTAATGTACATAGCTATGAACCTCTGTGAATTAAGCCAAATCCATTACAGGTGCCTGGCCTTTCACGTTCTTGTCACGTGGGACAGACATAAAGTCCTATGCGAGTGTACTACACATCACGTATTAATCCACGTGCATTGCACATCATATTCTTGCCACGTGGGACAGACATAAAGTCCTATGCGAGTGCACTACACATCACGTATTAATCCACGTGCATTGCACATCACGTGTTACATTTTTCTGCCTGTATGATGAACAAGTAAAAATAATGTCTGAAGGAGAGGTTCACTTCAGAACCATACAACTTTTATTCACAATTTCATTTGTACTTTTTATTGGAAAAGATGAAAATTATATGGTGTCTGGAGTATACTTCTCCTCTAACTTCTGAGAAAACTTTACTAGAAATACAGTTCTGACTTAAAAAATTCTCCGAGATAGCTTTGAAAAATTAACATCTTGAATACAAGTATCCAACAATTACGAATACTGCACCTTAAGCCAATAATTTAATCAGTATAACTACATTTCCACTATATCACTATATCAAAGCAGTTCCATTAATTCTATTGGCAATTTTCAAGTATGTGTCATATAGAGATACTATTCAAACTAAGAAATACTATATATTGCTGAATTTTAGTCTATATAACTATTTCATGACTAACTGATAATCTACTTAAGTTTCAAGAGAACTTTCCAAACTGTAACATTATTTACTACAAACTAGCACCTCTTAAATGGAGAACTTCAAATAAACTGCAGAAAACTGTATCACATGTGATTTTTTTAAAATTTTTCTGAAAGTATACATTTCTGTGTATTTCATTCTTCTGCTCGTTCACCACAAGTGCTACCAGGTATGGGTGAAATGTATGCACCTGTAAGTAGAAGGAGAAGGGGGATATGAAAGGGCATCCCCTCCACCCACCACAATTCTCCATTCGAGCTTCCTTTGCCTGACAACCAAATGAGGTGCAACATTGCAACATCTCTATAATTTGGTTAAGATCTGCTCAGACCTCTGACTTCTTGCCAATGTGAAAGGGGTGCAGTGAGATCCCAAAGGGGCTTCTCAAAGATTTGACAGTTTCTTTCCATAGGTTTACCAATTTTATACTCAAGGTAGGAAACATACGTAGCAAATGTAATTCATTTGGGAAGCGTATGAGGCTTACATCAAACTATGTTACCCTCCCATGGTTTCGTCACTTAAGTTATGCTCAGTAGCGACGTGGATCATCTATGCCAAGCTCTTCAACAACAGGACCATCCTCACCAAGCTCATCACTGACTGGTTTGTCAAGTTTTATACCATACTCAGTTGCCTGACGAAATCTCTCTTCCTCCAAAAAGGCCCTTGATTGGTCATCATACTCTGGCCCTAGAGTCCAAAGCTTCTCCAGTTCATACACCTCACGAACTTCAGGAAGAAAGAAATGCACAACGATGTTACCTGCAAAATAAAAGCAAATGTTAGAAAATTCCATTCACCATGGCCATGGGGTTTAACATCTTCCAAACATTCAGTAGGTAAAAGAGAGCATGATAGTAATGTGCCAATCTAATCAAAACTTAAACTTGCCCCCCCCCTTCTGGCAACTCATGGGTATTTTACTGTTGTCTGTGCCCGGGGGGGCAGGGAATTTGAACCTTGCCCAGGTGGGACATTTCAACCAAAAGTGTCAAGACTTTCCAGTGTAGTGCACATCTTTTAATGGAGGAGTTCAAGGTTAAGAATCTTCTTTGGTGATAAAATGGCTTAGAAAGAAATTTCTACACCAGAGTACAATGCTTACCAGCAAAAAACCCAACAGCAGCACCAAAAACCAATATGTGACTTTGCTAAGTTCTACAACATTCATTGATAACACAAAGAATCACTCAATAGTGGGTGGGGCATTTGAAAGCAATTTTTGCCCAGGAGGGGGGGTTTGCATGAGCCAATCTGCAAATGCTTGAGGCGTTTCCAGGGGGTAACTGATACTTCAAACTGATAGATGCATAAAGGTGCAATAGTAGCAGAGGAGTGAAAAAGGTATTTATATCACATCTAGAGATGAAAAGAATAATATAAGCAGCTGAAATCTGAACAAGTTGTCAGCTTGCCCCATAACAAGAGCTGAAAAAGTCTGCTACTCTCAAATTCGAAGTTTTAGCGATGAACACAGCATGACCATTCTTACCTATATCTAGTGCCACCCAATGGTTACTCTCCATTCCCTCTACCACAGGATGCCCACCTTTTCCAATGCCAGGTAACATTTTTCCTTTGAACTGTAATAGTCAGACTCACAATAAAATACATTATCAACATTAAAGACTAATTTCACCTCCAGAGCTGTTTAAGGTAATAATTCTCAAACAGGCTTCAGTTACAAACTCCCTTTCCTTGTCATGAGGGTGTCTGCTTACAAGAGCCTAGCTTCAGCTGTTCCAGCCTTTTTCATAGAGTCATTTTACTTCCTTACTGGTTCAGGTATCAAGATTGCCCCATAATGGAGGAAGACAGACAACCCTAGGAATGAGGTTTCCAGCTATGCCCAGTCTGTAGTACCCCTTGTTTATAACATATATTATAACAGTTAATAACATATAATATCAACCTACCAGTAGTTCCAGATTTTTCGCCATAGCCCTGATATGTCTTGTAGAGACACCGCTGACAACAACGAAGTAATCCACGTAATTTTGCCTAATTCCTCTTGTTTTTATCACACAAATGTCTACTGCACTCTCTTTTTTAAGGAAGTCTACTAGATCTTGGACCTTCATAAAACCATTTTGATCTAGTTTGTACTGTACAACGGTTGCACGAGGCTTCGGTTGCCTGTTTGGAATATCAGCTTCTTCCTCGTAAAATTCTGAATTTAGTTGGGAAATGATGGTCGCTTCGTCCTTTACAGTGGCACTTGTTTTTTCGCCAGTCGATATACTGCTCTCTCGAAGAAGATGGTAAGCAGTGCTAATACATCGAACTGAAGGTTTGAAGAATCTTTCCTTCGCAGCATAAAAATTGTAATAGTTGTGAACTACATCTCGAGGTTCGTAAAGTTTGGCCGATTTAAGATTTTTAGAAATCTTTGACGAACAAAGACGAACACTGAGCCGTGTATTTAAGACAAAAAACGTTCTTGCGTGACAAAAAGATGTAAACCTCTGCAATGACATGACTTGAACAGCTGATTTAGGCTAGCACATGGATCATTCACTTGCATCCGCCATCTTAGAATTCTATGGCCTCGTTTCGAGACAGATAATTTCATACGGAGTAGCGGTAGGGCAAGGAGACGTCAGAGACTCGCTGAGTAGGGGTTGAAAATACTCTAAGGGACTGATGTTGGGGGGGGGGGGGTGAACAGCTACTAATGGGATTCAAGGAAAAAACCACCCTCTGCAACACACAACTGAGAAAGTAGGGGTCGAGCGTCAAAGAAACCAGTATTTTTCAACAGGGTGGAATGGTATTTTATCAGTCTTTACCTTCTCATACTAAATTGGGATCAGATTCACCCAAACTACCTCTTCTTTTAATCAAACCCTTAACCTGCATTTTTTTCTTAGACTCAAATCTGATTGGTTAATCTGGCGTTACATCATTGTAAGGACCCGTGAAGTTTTTTGTTGTTTGGCTTTGTGCTAACTACCCTTAACCCACTAACTCCTGTGAGTGACCAAGCCGTGATAGTTTCTCCAGACTACATCTACACAATATCATGCAGACAAGTGATGAGAGTAAAGAAAAATATCAATTATGAGATAATTAATTGATCCCATACCATATTTTCCAAATTAACATAATGAGAATCATTTGGCAGATAGTTAGGAGAAGTACTAATGTGATCTAGAGAGTTAAAGGTTAAGGCTTCTATGTTTTGACTTTTTTTACATTGTCCTGCATCACTCATAGATGAAACAGGTTCTTTAACCAAGGATGATCAAATTATCCCAATTCTTTTCCCCTCTGTGTCTGAGTGTGTAAAAATTATAGTAGAGAAATATCTTTTCTATATTAATTAGATTGACTCGATAATATTGTCTCAATCCTTATCACCAGTTTGCTCAATTAGGTACCAATATTGTTAAGAAAGATCCATCTTTCATTTAGGATTAACCCTTTAACTCCCAGATCAAATTTGTCTTTCTCCCTACTGTCAACTATACAATTCTTGTAATGTTAGTTCAGAGAATTTAGCATTGGATCAACTAATTATTCCCAAATCAATATTTTTCTTTATTCTCATCACTTATCTAGTTGATCTTGTATTGATATTGTAAGGAGAAATTCTATCTTGGTCACTCATGGGAGTTAAAGGGTTAAACAAAACAGATAGAGCTGGGAGACATTCACACACCAGCCTCTAAAAAAAGACCACTATTAAGCATTTGTAAATAAATAGTTTAATAATTGTGGAAATTAATACTTCTATACAATAAAGCAATTTTTACAATCTTATTATTTTACTCATATATAAACTGAAAATCTAACTTAGCCATTTAATATACCACAATGCTTTAACACAAGTGGGACAGGAGGGGGGGGGGCCTCCCTTAGGATTTAGATCTCCCTTACCACCCCATCCCCAAAACTATAAGCTCGAATCTCAATGTTACCCTTAGCTTTGCTAAATCAGCACAAAAAACCCATTTAAGAAAAACTGAATTTTCAACAATTATTAACACTGTTTAAATGTTATATAGAAGGTAAAAACTTATGATTTCACTGTAATATGAAAAAAAAGAGGTGATTCAGCACTGAAAAAAAGAATATAAAAGAAAGCCAAAAGGTTAATGTAAATTTGTGCTTGTAACAAATCATTTTTCTACTTCTCTGCAATTACCCTGCTATTCTAGCTATCGTAAAACTATAAGATTGAAGTTATTGAAAGAAAAAGATTACATTATTCACAAATAATAATCCAATGGTTATAACTGGTCTTGTTGCAAAATATTACTACCATTCTGACCCAAAAAAATAGAATGAACTTAATCATAAATTTAGAGAGATGCATAACAACATACTCTTTCCAGGAAAATAAGGTCTTGTAAGTAAGCAATACACAAAATCATTACAAATGGTATAAATAATATTATATTTAAAGGATAAATTAAATTGAGCAATTACAAACTTGGGAACATTATAATTACAAAGATAAGGTAAGAATGTCAAATAAAATAATCTATTTAGCCACATCTGCTTTCTTTATAAATCTGAAACATGGCATTAAAATGGTATTAATAAATATAATTTTATATTTTATCATGTCGCAAATCTCCTTGTCCATTCCTTGGCAATCCTGTCATGTTCCTCTCTGTCATTGACATATTGCGTTGCAATGCTTCCGACAAGTGGGTCGACTAAAAAAATAAAATGCATCCAGTGCATTATTTTCTATTGTTCTATTTGCATGAAAAAAAATCACATTGATGCACACTTCAAAAGCAGGTAATGCAATTATCCCTCTCTTTTTAGTTGAAAGGGTACCCGACTGCAACTTTTTCTCATTTTTTTCTTCAAAAATTAACTTTCATCTAAGAGACTTAACTCTCAAGTCCCACAATTGATTAACATGAAACTTCTCCCTATAATATTCATACATCATCCAGTGAACAGGTAATAAAAATACTCAAACTTATCAGGTGGAGATTTCTATCATGATCTAACATCAAATTCTCTTAAGTTACTTGAAAGGAAATGTGTAGCAGCTAGAGGGGGGAATTAACGAGGAAATCTTGGGAGTTTAAGGGGAAGGAAACTGTAAAAGAGTCCAGGAGATTTGAACTTTGTCTGGGAATTGGAATGTATGGAATTGACGAGAAGAATGATGCAATTGTACATAAATTGCTGAATTGCATGAAAACAACAAGACTGTGGCAAAGATTCAAAAATGATGTCCTGTAAACAATCAGGCTTGAGGGTGAATTTTCAGCAAATGATGTTAATATAAACTGGGGCTCTAATGAGTATCCAAGTAGCAAGTTGACAAATTACTTCAAATACCTGGATTGCAGTCTGTCAGAAGTGAACAGACGGAGAGAAGAACCTTGGAAATAGTCAGAGCTGGGCTCCAGTTATCTTTCAAAATATCCAGACAAATCACTCCCTAAAAAACCATATTTGATAAACAATTTTAAAAAAGAAAAAATACATGTACTTTTATGAAATTTGAAACATACAAAGCCGAATATTAAACTTTTTGTAGTTTTTGAAGGAAATTAGGGAATGAAGAAAACAGAATTTCATTTATCATGTAAACAAGAAAAGTAATAAATGTAAGTACAGGTAACCTTTAGAACTCAATTTGCTCTTGCTATCTTACCTGGCTGTTTATATTGCAGTGATAAATGCGAGTTCGAAAGGTAACCTGTAACATTTGATAGAAAGAAGAATAAGTAACACTCATAGAATAGAAGCGTAAAAAACATCAAAGGTTTTAAACTGTTCACTAATAAGATCTGATAAGCAATTCTCTATACTTACTTCTATACAATTCTCGTGAAATTAGTCTGGAGAATTTGGTATTGGAGCAACTATTAATCTCCTAATTTATATTTTTTCTTTATCCTCAACACTAAATGTTTGCTTGATAATGAACAGATACTGTGAGAAGATATTGTGTTTTGGTCACCCATGGGAGTTGAAGGGGTAAATAGATTGGCATTGGGGCAACTAATAATCTCCTGATTTATATTTTTTCTTCATTTTCAACACTAAATCTCTGCTTATATTGTATAGATACTGTAAGGAGAAATTCTGTCTCAGTCACTCATGGGAGGTAAAGGGATATATAAAAATTTATTACCTTTGGTGGTTTAAAAGGATAATCAGATGAGAACTGAATATCTAAGAAAAATACTCCTCCTTCATAAACAGATCCTTGAGGACCAAGAATTGTTGAGTGCCACTCATAAAGATTGTCACCCTTTGGGCCAGCACTAAAATATACAAACAAGAAAAATTTCAAAAAAATGCTGCATACCATCCATTGCGAAAGGGATTCATGATTCTTAATCACTTGATTTATGTGAATGAGAATGTACTCATGCATGACAGACCTTGGCAGAACATGTTTTAGTTCAAATTTTCTCGGAAATCAATTTTTTCAATAGCTCGACTTAGACAGGTTTCTTGATTGTTTCAGACTATGATACTGGCTATAAAAAAAACAACAAACAAAAAACAGCAATTGAAACCAAAATGGTTGAAAAATTTTAACTGACAGCAACAAACAAAAATTATTTACAAATTCTACAGCCACACAACAATGCTATAATCAGGACTTGTCCCAACAACATCCTTTACTTGATTAACATAATTGGTTGACAAGCATTTGTATACAAAAGATTGAACTAACTACAATTAAAATATTATAATAAAGGCATCTAATAATCTAAATGGACTCAAAACAAAATCAGCAATTTGGGAAATTGTGCGACAAAAACATGGGAAATTATCAAATATTAGTTTTGTTCAAAACATTAATTGACCTTGTCATTAAAATCAATATTATTTTAGTACTTTGTAAACATTATATTAAAATATCTTATTTCAAGCATAGCTTAAATTCTATCACACCCCAATTAACCCACGTGTTTTACAGGAATTAATTCGTGAGACATTCCTAAGAGTTTAATACCTTGTGAAATCCCGTATGAAGGAATATAAGATTTTAATCAGCTGTTTACGTGGTGTCTGATTTGACATGTCAATTTGAAAACAATCAACACCATTTCTCCTTCGAAATCGTTATTTCCTGACGGAAAATATTCACAGCGATTGCAGCCTAAATCTCCGAAGTGTATTAATTAATATTTTACCTGCAGTTAGGTGGCGGTTCAAGCGTTATTTCGGCCAGTTCTCTTTGAATCCTGTCCAAAATTGGCAACAAAGAACTCAGATTTTCCAACAACAGAAGAATTAAAGTAAGGAGCGCAGTGTTTAGCATTGAAGTCTTTGTTGTTGTAAATTGATGTGGTACTCGAGTAACTTACAACAGGAAACCGACATTAGATCTTTCATCCGCGGAGTAGATAAAACCAAACTCTGGCGATAAGAGTTCCCCTAGTATTTTTATGAATAATCTGATAACTTTAATTTTTCGATTTACTCGCGCGACCTCTTCTCGTTAGATGAAAACGAATTCTCTCGATCCCCAAAACTAAAGCGATCGTAAGGCCTTCCTTAGTTACATAAAACCTGAATTCCCTCTACTTTGAATTCGCCTCTCGGAATGGAAATATACGCTAAATGATGATGTTTCTACCTCTTTGCAGCCCCACTCAATGTCTTTGGTGGTCTACTTGGGGCGATCTTAATTTCCTTTCGGATTTGCGTTCCACGGTTCCTTTGATCATTTCCTGCTTCAGTTGCCGGGCCGGGTACATTTTGTAAGTTCCTTGTGTCTTGATCGGCCATTTTTAAGGGTCATGCAGCCTGCAAAGAAGAGTAATCGTCTGAGCAAAGGTCTACGAAAGTTACAGAAGAGCCCCTCAAGGAAGAATATTCGGGATTCCCGTCTAAAGGGCGGCATAGACACGCAGTTCAGTCACAGCAGGAGATTACCGAGACAAGAAGGCTGGATTCTTTTCGAATCGTACATTTAAAAAGTACTAGATTTTATCTCTGTTCCCATTCGGAAAGACTACGATATGCCATTATTTTATATGTATAAAAAAACAGAGCTACGGGATAAAGCGTGTTTCGTAACGTTCACTAAACCTGTGTGGACGAACCTTCATCAAGTACATGTATGACTTCACTAAGGTTTTCCTCTTAGTTATAAAAAACCCAAGGAGTGATCCTTTTAAATGAAGTACTTACAAATGTAGTATAGTCTGAAGAAGGTATCAGCTCAAATACAGGCCAAACACTTCACACGATACGCCAATATATGAGTTTAAAGTTAAGCAGATCGACCAGGTGGTTAGATTGTAGACGAGTCAAGTACCAAGCTATGAGTTTGCGTCTCAACTGTCGGGAGAATGAATGCAATTGAAAACACGATGAGGACAAAAGCAGTTCTTGAGGTGAATATCTTGAGTGCTCAATTCTGTTCTTGTTGTTCCGAGCAAGATCTTCTTAGTGTGTGAAGAACAAGAAGTTAATCTTGATCCCCTGTCGAAAGGCCAATGAAGCAGATCACGCCAGGCGAAATACAGCTGAGATTTCTTGCTGCACCGATTTCATCAAATAACATTAACCAAATTATCAAATGACTTCTTGCTAGAGAGAGCCAATGGTTAAACCTTTCAGGAGCCCTAGCAAAGGATAAAAAACCTGAAATAACACGACGATAAATATCTCTAACACAAGTGATATCGAAATAGTGTCTCAAAGAGAACAAAAGACCGTTACTCCCTTGGGAATAAGAACTAATCATGTGAAATACTCAGGGGAATAGGATTGAGGAGAACTGGTAACGAGAGACATAGTTTAAATGAAAAAAAAAATTATAATGTCTGACAAAATTTCCAAAATCAGATAGGTCAATGAATTAACAGTTGAAAATGATAAACATCTGCAAACATAAGCAAACATGGTCAAATTGAAATTAAAATGCCATATTTCTCTTTCAAAAAGGAAAGGAATTTATTGAATAGTTAATATACCGGAGATCCGCGGAAAGCCTTTTGGTCGATCCACATATGCATTTTTCTTTAGTTTCGCTCAAAGAATGGTGCTCTTTTTACATTGATCAATACTTGTCCACAGGAGAATGAACAAATTTCAAGTTTGAACCATCTGAGAATAAAGCAAGCCTTTTAACTGACCAGAAAAAATTTATGCGGCACAAATTCATTTCATTCTCCTCCCTCGTCCCCACATGTAAACTTCCCTTATGGTTAAATGTGCGATACATGCAGAATTTCTCTTAGTCACAACTAGCTGCATACTCAAAGGTTTTAAACGTGACATTTCAGAAACTGCAATGGATTTTCAACTCATGTTACGTCATCGATAGGTCATATTTCTAATTATAATTTTTTACGCTAAGGTTTTCGTTAGGATATTTATTTTTATATCATTAGTTATGGTAGGAGACATCAATGCAATCATGACGTTCTACGAAATAAGCTCCTTTTATTCGCTTCACAATATAAAAATAGAGCACTGTTCGATTCATCTAGCACATTAATTTACCAGAACGTTCACTTTTATAGCTTTTATTGCACGCGAAGAACTGGCACTAGCTATGTCGCAAGAAAATATGGCGGACGTAGAAATGAATACAAGCGATGGTGAAACTTCGCCAGAAAAACAGGAAACAGATGAGCAGATGGACGTAACTGAAGAGCCTGAACTAGACAAGTAAGATCGTAGCTGGATAGAAGGAGCTTTAAAACATAATTTTACCGATACGCTTTTTGTTTGATGTGTATTTCTCTTGCAGTTTTGCGAAGGCTGATGCTAAAAAGCAAGAAGGAAACAGAGAATATATCCAGAAAAAATATGAAGCGGCCGTTAAATTGTACACAGAAGCAATAGGTATATTACATATTGCTATTGTTTAGTTTCTGTACCAGCAAATACCAAGGAAACTGTTATAACTTTGGTTTATTTGATACAGAACTCTTGCGATCTTTGGCCATGTGATTCTTTCAGAGAAACTAAAAGTTCTTCTTGCTTGTGGGAGGAAAGTATCATTTCACATAAAATTCTTACTCGGATAGAGTTTTGTTTCAATCCCTGTTTTGTTGATTGCAATAGAGTTAACATACCACGACGTTTAATTGTTGTTAATTCGAACCTTTACAATTTGCCGGCTCTTTGAGCAGGAAGTGGCCGAAACTTTAGTCTGGCTTCTTTTTAAATATCTTTGTCATTTTATTTCGTTTTATTAGTATTTTGTTACATTCATCACAGTAGTTCGAAGGCTCTACCTTAAGCTTTTTTACGGAATTATCTGTTAAGTGGTGTATTTCTTTCTCAAAAACATCTATAAAATTGCAACGCGGCCCGTTTAGCAAGGTTGTTTAAGGGTTACATAAAAATTGTATAAGTAATTTGGTTTAATCAACTAAGTTGATGGTGTAAATTGGCAACTGTTAAGAGTTTCTAAAGCTGATGTTTTGAGTGTTAGCCCTTTGTCATTCACTTTGATGTAGGACTAATACTTGAAATGTCTGCCCAAGAAACACTTTACAATGACCAATTTAAACCGTCAACTCAGTTGATAAAACCAAACTACCTTGTTAACTTCTACTTATGCAGCACCATGATTTCTTTGGAAACTTATACCCTTTATTTTTGTACAAGTATCATGCTAAGTGATGCATTGCGAGATACATGATTTTGAAAATTGAATAAGAGAGATGGTAACTTTTGAGCTTGGTAAAAAAGTAGAGAAAGACGCTTTTTGTCTTGTCTTGAGCATGGGAGTCCTCATTAGGAATTAAAACTCGGATCTTCAGATTTTGCACTTCGATGCTCTACCATTGAGCTACAGAGATTCTTTGGTGAGCAAGGTCCATGATGTACTTATAGAGCGACCAAAATGTAAAAATAGTAGTCGTTGTTGTACTAAAGATATTTAGAAGTGACGCTCTAGATGTACAGCAGATAAGCAGTTACACTGTATTCCACTGAGTTTGTTATTACTAACAATTATTCTAGGTTGTTATAAAATTCTCATTTTCATTTATTTTAGAGCTAGCTCCCACAGTAGTTACATATTATGGGAATCGTTCAGCGGCATACATGATGATCGGGAATTATGACAAGGCTTTAGAAGATGCTCAGACTGCCATCAAAACTGATGAGAATTTTATGAAGGTTGGTCAAGATCCTCAAAATATCTTTTTGATATCCTAATAATCAGCTGTTTGTTTTAACAATTTATATCCTGGCAAGTCTTAACACTCCACCCAAAAGTAACTCTTCAACAAAGTTTAAATATCATGCTATCAACTTGGGAATTTAACTGTCACTTGGTAGGATCACATGACAATGCCATGCAGATATTTCTCTGACGTATATTTTTTAATAAAAAATTAGCAATAACAATGAACAATGTTTTGGCCTCTCTAAGGTCATTATAAACTTGAAAATGACCTTGCAGAGGTTGAAACATTATTCCTGTTTGTTGTTAATTTTTATGAATGTTGCTTTAGATTGAGATACAACATAAATATTTGGGATTCTGATTATTTCATGGTATTAGTTTTCTTCTTCCTTACTGAGGGGGAAAGTTTTGGAAAGATCTTTTCTGGTAGATGACAGAAATTGCAATACTGCATTTTCATTTTCATAACATACTGTTTAATTCAGTCAAGTATTTAGAAGAATTACAGCATTTCCATTTTAAATAATCAAAGAGAAATCTGTGTATTGTTTCTGGTTTTTGGCATATGCACAATGACTAGACAAAATGGGTGCAAAATCTAATGGGAAACTTAACCCTTAACTCCCAAGATCTGATTATTAATTCTCCCCTGTAGCTGCTACACATTTCCTTGTAAATTAGTTATGAGAACTTGGTGCTAGATCAAGATAGCAGGTTCTACCCGATAAGTTTGAATATTCTCATTACCTGTTTGCTGAAGAATGTATGGATGTTGCAGGGAGAAGCTTTATGTTAATCACTTCTGGGAGGTAAAGGGTTAAATTGTAGAATTTGATTTATGAGTGAAAGAACATGTACTTGTTAAGTTTACAATTCAGTTTACTTACAAGCTAGATATAAAGCTGGTCTGAACTTTTTAATTCTCGGCTAAAGGCTGGTTAAAAGGAATATTGATAGGGGAAATTTTGTAGTGGATGTCAAAAATGTTTCCCTATTTGAAACAACAAATTTTTGTATTCATATACTATAGAAAATATTAATAGTAGTCAGTTAAGAGAATTACCATAAGTTTCAGATTTTGTGAGGAACTTTGTAAATTTTCTTGTTTCAAAGGGTTATTTCAGGACTGCTAAATGTCACCTTGTCATGGGATCCATTGGGAATGCAATAAACTATTTGCAGAAGGTTCTTGAGAAGGATCCTAAAAACAAAGATGCTCAAGATGATGTAAGTTAATTTTTGGTAGAATGAACTGTAAGGTGTTATGATTATGAACCCTGTGGAATTTGACAGAAAAGACTATACCATAGGCTTAAGGTGTACAAATGATAGTCTCCATTCCATTTGTTACTAAAATATGCCTGGTTATTTGTTCACGGACATAATCTGCTCCAAGAAGCGGACAGTTTTCCCAAGAGCAAAGCTTGTGGCAATCTGTGAGCTTAGTGGTTAGGTATCAGATGTCCAAGATTTTGGTACTCCTACCCAGTACATCAAATTAACTTGTAAGATATCACAAGGAAGATTTTAAGCCTTAATTTAACCCTTTAATTCCCAACATCTCATTAGCAATTCTCCTTTCTTTCTGCCAAATGATTCTCATTATGTTAGTTTTGGAGAATTGGTATCAGATCAATTAGTAAGTAAGTATATAGTAAGGAGAAATTCTGTCCTGGTCTCTCACAGGAGTTAAAGGCTTAACCCTATAAATCCCATGAGTGACAAAAATAAAATTTCTCCTTACAATATCAATACAATATTAACCAGATAAGTGATGAGAAAGAAAAATATTAATTAGGGGATTATTAGTTGATCCAATATCAAATTCTCCAAACTAAAATCATGAGAATTGTATGGCAGACAGTAAGGAGATTTGCTAATGAGATCTTGGGAGTGAAGGGGTTAAGGAAAGCACAGTCAGTGAGACATATTCTTGAGTTTTATTTTTCCACTGAAATTTTTATTTAATATCCAGCTGCGCACGGCAACAAGGGCTCAAGATTATGAGGCATCTGCATTTAAAGCTCATGATGAGGAGGATTACAGAAAGGTATGGCCCTGTCATGTCAGTGTGCAAGCCCTTGTAATTTTACCATATGTTAATAATTTCTGGGAATTAAAGGTTTTCATACCTTGAATTCATCTGTAAGACATGTTGATCTCACTCAAGCATTTAGAGCATTGAGATGTTATTATCAGTATATCATTCAGGGTTGGTCTCATATTGTGATGTTTTCATGCACAACAGGTTATCTATTACTTGAATCATATCCTTGAAAGTTGTCCTGCTTGTGCACTTTACAAAGTGATGAGAGCAGAAGCTTATTGCCTGATGGGGAAATACAGTGATGCATTAAGAGATGTGCAGTAAGTACAACTCTAACTGTGCAACTGATGATAAATTTGTAAGTGACAGATTGTTATTGACTGTGTACATGATCAAGTCTTTAACTTATTTCCATTTTTTTTATAAATTGATTCCACGTTTCCTTGGGTCTGTTCAGTACCAGATCACAGATGACGTCAAAATGTGGTCACAACAAAAAAAGTGCGCATCAGGTGCAGCCAAGTGTGTCAGTGATGTTTTCACCACATTTCTGTGTTTTCATTATCTTTTACCAAAGAAGCAAAAATTGTCTATGATAATGCCATCTATGTGTCTGTCCTCCAATAGAAAATAACCAGTCAAAATGCACTTGTCATTCAGCTTATTATATAAATTTAATTCATCCCCAGGAATATCTTAATAGATGACTCATTAAATTCTGATGCACTTTATGTAAAAGGGCTCTGTTTATACTATCAGGTATGGCATTCTCTTTACTCCTTCCACTCTTAAGATTTAAATATAGATTCTCTACCCTCTGTGCTATACATTTCTTATAGATTAAGCACTGAGAATTGGGTTTTAAATCAAACAGCTTTCCCTAAGGTGTATTAACTTTTTCTTTCTTCTCGTCACCATTCCACATTGATATTGTAATGAGAAATTCCTTTTTGGTCACTCTTTTTTACTTTGGAAATGCAAAGGAACCTCTGAAATGGAATTTAGAAAGGGGGGAAGTAAGAAAAGAGAGGAAATGGTTGTCAGTTGTATTTATTTCTTTTGCTTTTGATTTCAGGACTATGTCGACAAAGCGTTCCAACATTTTAGTCAAGTTTTAAGGAGAGATCCAGACCACAAGAAAGCAAGACTGGCACTTAAGGTTCAATAATGTTTATTTTACCTTGTATAGAGCAGTTTTCAATTGACAGTCGAACTATTCATTCAGAACAAAGGAAGAGGCAATGAGAGCTCAAAGTAAAAACAAGCGCTTCACCAAAAGCGCGGGAAAACGCGGGTGACCAAGTCGTGATTGGTGTTAGTTTTGCTTGTGATTGGCTCAGAGAGTGGCACGAGTTTTCTGGACCAATCAAAGAGCGAAGTAAAGCGAAACCCATGCAATTCCCGATTACTTTTGACACTTTCAAAATTTTCTCTTACGAGGGCTAATAAGCCTATCCCACTTGCCCAGCCCCATTTCTTTTTAAGGAATAATCAGTCTGTTTTTCTGTTCTGTAGAAAGCGAAACATTTACAATCCAAGAAGGATGAGGGAAACGAGGCTTTCACCCGTGGGAAATATCAACTGGCTTATGACACGTACACTGAAGCATTGACAATTGACCCGCGCAATAAATCAACAAATGCTAAGCTGTGTTACAACAGAGCGCTGGTCTGCTCCAAGGTGAGTCTTCTCTGAATGAGAGTCCGCATGCTCGGGTCCATGCCGGGCTGACCGGTGGTCAAATCTCATAGGGCATGCGTAAATGGATCAATTTTGGCAGGCTGCGCGCCAATTTCCCACGCAAAATGATGTAGGAAAACGTAATATACAACCGCTGTCACGTAATTGTGGGACAAATTTTAAACTCTCATAGAAATCTGTAACAGAAAACAAGGACATTAAATTTCAGTTCCTGATTATTCAACAGTGATATCTTTTAGAAGTTGTTCTTATGATATTTAATAAATGGTTCATCTGTAGTCGCAATATATACTCACTATCACTTGAAGATCGCGACGTATCGACTGCAATACTGCTAGTCTTAGGCTGGGAAGATACCACTTGACAAGGAAAAGCAGCCTACAATACGAGATGGAGAAATTACTGCATTACACGCGTGCAATGTGCGTGGACAGTGCGTGGTCACTGCGTGGAGAGGGGGTGATGCGCGTAAACTGCATGCACATTCCACGCGAGTAATACTGCAATCCTTCCAGCCTGTACTGTGTACACCTCTCTGACGAAGGACTAACGCTCAAAATGTCAGCTTTGAAACCCTTAACGGTGGCCAATTACGTTATCAACTCAGTTGATAATTAATACCAAATTACCTCTGTATACAGTTAGTCTCTGTCACGCATCATCACCAGTGATGATATGTAAAACAGCGAAGAATAGCATCGCTAACTGCAATTGGTCAAAGTTCCCTGCTAATAACAAACTATTTGCTTATTATACAGTTAAACCAAACAGAGAAGGCTATTGAGGACTGCAGTCAAGCTGTAGAACTGGACTCGACTTACCTTAAGGCTTACATCAAGAGAGCAAGATGGTTAGTTTCATTAAAAACTCAACGCCTCCTTATTTGCCCTTATTCTCATAGAGACGAGCGTGGCTGCGCGCTTCTTGGTGCCTCTACGCTTACGCGTAACAACGCCCTCGCGTGGGCTGATTCAAATTATTTGTTGCCATTTATTTGTGCACTTGTCACGGGAGATAATTTCCCTACAACTTTTTTATCTCTGTTATCAAGAAGTGATCCTGCAATAGCTCAAACTCGACGAAAAGAATGCGCCCGGGGTTTCTCTCGGATCTTTCAAACTCCAAACATCAGTTACGGCTGTTGATCTCGAGGGGAGCAACCATTATTTGTCGCCTCGGGGTCGAAAGATTTGTGGGGGGGTCCCATGGTTTTCAGGGGAGAAGGGAAAGGGGGGGGGGGGGCTATAGAATATAGACTGTCATTGAGAGGAGAACATTAGTATGCTACTAAACATATTAATGTATCGGGTAAATTTATCGTGACGCAACCAAAATCTACCGACCCCTCCCCCCCCCCGACGATTAATGACCAGTCCCTTTTGTTAACTAGATTTATCTGTTCCCTGCTCGTTGGTAATTAAGATAACTTGAAATTATTTTTTCAGCTACATGGAAACAGAAAAATTCGAAGAGGCCGTACGAGATTTCGAGAAAGTGTGTAGAATGGACAGATCTCGAGGTGATAATCTAATTGTGGGAAATAGTAGTAAATGCTTTTGGAAAGTGCTCAATACACACGAGTGTAGAGCGAAATACAGTTCAAAATGACTAAAATGAAACACGCATGATTCCCTGTTACTCTGAGTTTCGTGCTTACGCACTCGTCAGACAGATTTAATGAAAAACTAAACTAAACTTGTTCAATTGCGTGCGTGCGTTACTTAACACGTTGACCTGTAGGCTGAGTGTGTCTTTTTTCTTTCAGAGTATCGACTTCTGCTGGAGGAAGCAAAAATGGCTTTGAAAAAGAGCAAAAGAAAAGATTACTACAAAATTTTAGGGATTGCTAAAGGTGCCACTGAAGACGAAATAAAGAAAGCTTACAAGAAAGAGGCGCTGAAACATCACCCAGGTCAGACGTGGGAAACAGGGGTAGAAGCATCATTTCTCCAAATGGAAAGCCAATTTTACAAACTCAAAAACCATTTGCTTTGGTCTAGTAGAGCTGCAACATTTCCTTACTCAAAGTGTCCTGAAAATGGTTTCCCGCAAACAGACCCTTATTATTGTAAGGCAGGACGCGCGTTCCTCCGCGCGCGGGGAAGATGTGAGACGAGTCGAGGAGAGCTTTACCGGGGTTTGGCACTAATGAGAAATGCTAAACCCCTTGCAAACCTTTCGCAGGCTCACGTTGCTCGCGGGCTCACGTTGCTCGCGGGCTCACGTTGCTCGCGGGCTCACGTTGCTCGCGGGCTCACGTTGCTCGAGACCTCGTACTTTGCCGCGCGCGGGCGAACAAACGTTCTTGCCCAAGCGCTAATACTAAAGGCTTGCTCGCTGGTAATGAAAATGCGAAGAAGTTTACAGTGAACATAACTTTTCTTTACTTGTTCATTCGTTCGCTCTCTCATTCATTCGTTCATTCAGTTATGTACTTACGTTTGTATTCATCCTATATTTCATTGTTGATTAAATGATTGACTAAGTTATCTAATTATGTAGTAGTTTTAGAAAGCAGCTGACCGTTCTTCTTGCTGTACGTATTGTTAGTACAGTTTACATCCTTACCAATCTAGTTTTTTTCCTCTACAGATCGTCATTCTGGGGCAACAGAAGAAGTCAAGAAAAGCGAGGAGCTGTTGTTCAAAGAGGTTTGTTAAACTCGTCCTACCCATATTCGAATGCGTATTCATTTTTTCCATCTTCCCATCGTATCTTACTTGGTATTTTCTGTATCTGTTGATATGACCGTGTGATTGTCAACTGTTAAACGCTCTTTAATAGTGTTAGCTCCTGCTGGGCTTTAAAAAAAAGGGTGCGTGAAAATGAGCAGGGAATAGCGACTGTTTCCTTTGCAACTGCAGCTTCTGCTTCTCACTCACCCGCCCTTACGTTCGTCTTCTCTGAATGAGAAAACGCATGCCCTTCGCTCAAACCTAAGGCATGCGTAGATGGATCAACTTTGGACAGCTGTGCGCCGAATTCCCGCGCAACAGGACATAGGAAGACACAAGAAACAATCGCTGTCACTTAAATTGCAACACTCTCGTCACACTCTGGTGTTTATTTTAGGTAAATGAAGCTTACAGTGTGCTATCAGACCCCAAGAAAAAGGCAAGATATGACTCGGGTCAAGATCTCGAAGACGGCATGCTGATGTCAGGTAGGTTGGCAGCCTGTGATCTGGGATCTAGTGCATTTAAAGTGGTGTCCGTGGACTCAAACAAGACTTCTTTTCACTCCCCAAATGTTATTTATCTATTTATTATTTTTTTTAATTAGGGAAGGGAAGATTGGTTTTATTGTGTGCCAACTTTCCAGACAATTATCTGGGAAAATAATTTTCAATTATGAATTATGATGTTTACGCTTTGTTTCATGGAACCCCTCCCCCCTTTCCTCCTCCCCCGCGCCACGTCATTGGTCATGCTCAAAGTGTTTACAAACCTTTTTTCAATTGTTTGAACAGATATCGACCCCAGAGATATATTTCAAGCATTTTTCGGAGGGCATGGAGGATTCGGTGGGTTTAACTTTGGAGGACCTGGAGGTATGATGTTCAGCATTGTTTTTTATTTTGTTTTTGTTGTTGTTGTTGTTGTTTTTAATGTTTTTTAACGGACCAGCTTGGATGGATGGTCAATGGTCACGTTTGTCAATAACACGAGCTAGATAAAAGTAATTACTTGCGTGCTTCGCGCATTGCGCTTACGTGAAAACGCAAAACAGTAAAAATGACAATGCCAATGATAACAGTAATGGTGTTAATGGTTATGACGGTAGTGATGTTAATGATACGAAATAACGTCTGATTTGTAGATTATCCAATGTGGAATGTGACTTAAAATGTCGCGCTTCTTTGTCGCGTGACTGCCCACATACATCACCTATCAATGTGGCTTAAAATGTCACGCTTCTTTGTCGCGTGACGACTTACATGCATTGCGTGACTCCTTTTCTTGTCTACATGATTTTCTCTTTTAATCTTTCAGGTGGTGGTTTTTCATCAGGAGGCTTCCCCGGTGGTTTCCAGTTTACATTTGGTTAACTTCTACTTTTGCCATCTTCCATTATCCACAAATATATCACAAAAATATAATGCTGACAAGACCACTCGTTCGAGGCATCTTTTTCGCAATAGTAACATTATTTCTTGCACAAGGAGTGTCAGTTCAAACTCCAGTGAGACGCAATTTTGCGTTCAGGTTGACAATGGCGGAGAATTTGTTGGAAGGAGAGAGAGGATCAAGATAGGGAATGACGTAATTCAAATCGCGTGTTAATCAACAGAGAAGCTAATTCATTCGTCTGGTTTACTATCAGGAGGAACTTCCCCGAACTTCCCCTCCCTTCCCCGTATTTCTCCCTTCTTTGCGCCCCCCCCCCCACCTCCCTACTCCCTAACATCGTATATTGAGTGTTAATTTAATCTGAAACGCATTCTATAACATCTTTTGTAGCAGAACAATTAGACAAACGTAGAAATGATCTCCATGATCTTTATAAATTTATCTAAGTAATTTATAATTTTTATTTTGTCAATTTTATTTTTATTTTATCTCTAAAACTTAACCCTTTTTCACCTAAGAGTTAAATTTCAATTCTCCACACTGTTTGCCGTACATGTCTTGGAATTTTAGCGCTAAGAATTTGATGTTAAATCAGACGTTCTCCCCCAGCATATAGTTTTTTCAGTCTTTTGACAGCCGTTTAACCGGAAAATCTATTGACAGGATCAGGTGAGAATTATTGTGATCTCCTAGGAGTGAAAGGGTTGATCAGTTTTCGTTCTAAACTGGTTACTGAGTGTTTCTTATAGTTTCAAACTTTGTGTCTACAGTTACATAGCAGTTCTACGAAGGCGTGGTTTTGCGGATGGCTTAAAGAAGTATTTTGTTATAGATAGATGCTGGTAAATAAAATCTGAAGTCATTATTCTGTTTCCTTGTCTTTCTCGTGGTTATCATAAGACCTCAAGGCCCTGCTCACACGAGTCTGAAGAAATTCGGAAGATTTGAAACTGCAACTCCGTTTCATCGATTTCCGTAAATCAGAATGTGACTAAACCGGTACCTCAGAGGTCATGGGTTCAAATCCCGTACGAACCTGAATTTTTTTTTTTTTTTTTCAGGTCCTATTTTCAACTACTAGTTCAGTAGTGTTCTTAGCTGCGAGGATCTCTTAAATTCGTTTCTTCACCGCAGTGCAAATATATGAATTTCATATATCTAAAATCATCGTGAATAGATTATTCACCGTAAACGGATCTTTGCGAATACTCTCTGTATGCCCCATACACACGCATATGTTTTCATTCGAAAACGTTTACCTTTTGCACGTGTTTGCCTATCGTTTTACCTACTAAAATTTTTTGAAAACGCCTCGTTCTTGAGACGCTCCGTTGCTCTACGGACGGATCCAAATGGAGGCTTTTCAAGTGGTGACCGAGAAGGCGTCACAGTATTGTTGCTTCCACCAGCGTGATGGGAGATTTTTAACTGTGGACGACAAGAGGAATTCAGAAGTTTGCGGTAAGAATAAAAAACGAAGTATTATAGACGGGTGAGAACAAGACGGAAAACGACAAAAGAACTGGTTCTATTGGTGGATGGTTAAAAGTAGCCTTGTATTCTGTAGTTCAACCTGACAGACCCTTACGAAAAAAAATGAAACAAAAGCAAACGACTTAAAAAGAGACTCGCTCTTAAACGCAAAAGCCGCGAAATTTGATTAAATTGATCAGAGTTAGAAAAAGTGTTTTGAAGCAGTACTTTTAGTGCTCGCTTTCTGAAAATTCATTGCATTTGCTTGTCGCAATCTAGAAAGCCGCCATTATCCCTCAGTTGCATTGTTTCATTCCTTTCAATAGCAGAACAATGCGGCGTGCGTTTGAAATGCGCGCACCGGACTAGAGCTCGTGAAATCGTCTAAGCTTTGAATTATAAACAAATGCAAAGGTGAATATAGAAGCAATCCTCGCAGTTATGAACACTACTGAACTAGTAGTTGAAAAAGGGCCTGAAAAAAATTTAGGCCTTTTGCAAAGGTATTCTGTCGTGAACACCGATCAAATACAAAGGTTCACAATTCATCTCAATGAAGCGGTATGTTTACATACTAATTTGAAAGGAGCACCGCATTGGCGGTAAATTTGAAAAGTATAACAGATCCTAAAGAAAGTTTGCGTCAGTCGCCGTCAGATTTCAAGCGATCACATCAACTACCCTAGTGTATTAACGACTTAAACGAGATGGAAGAGTACGCAACTGCTTTAAAGAACTCTGTATCACTTGCAATGGGCCCAGTGAAGCTCAAAGACGAATTTTCTCACAGAAAGTCTTCATTTATGGTTGAAGATATCGTGCGGAATCAAAATATTTCGCCATGTCCGGAGAGGTGTTTGCCTGATCCTAGCTTTCGAGACGAAATGCAAACTCCGCAAGCGATGGCGAGTGGTGGTCGTTCATCAAACATGCCCTCAAGTAAGAATTATTTTTTATGTTATCATGATATTAGATACATTGTTTTTCATTTTTTAAGTTGTACATGATGCTTTGAGTGTGTCGTTGATCGATCGCAAAAGAGTTGCGTACCTTCCATAACTGTTTCAGATGTTTCCTCTCCTACATTAGTTGAAGATTTAAACTTAACATCGGCAAATTGTCGTGATCATTTTCAACTGTAGATTGTGCATATGACACAAATAGATAACCTATTTAAATTTGTTTCACCTACAATTTTCCTCCTTTTTTCGTACAAGAGACTCAGTTTTAAGTATTCATTCGCGATTCGCAATACACGGGGAAATTCAAGTGCAGTTTACTAAGTATTATATAGAAATTAATTATTTGATATATCTTTGAAATTAAGCCACTTAAAAACTGTCCAAGTTTGGCAAAACTAGCCTCCAGGAACACCTTAATATAAGCCACTCAAGTAGCAAGTTTCCAAAATCTTACATCATCTTTGTTTACACACATTTCTCCAATTAGGTTAAACTCATCTTGGCAAGGTCTCCGTATAACCCCATATTTCATTACGGAAACAAGTCTTCGATAAAAGCGAACAATTGCGAGACAAATTGACCACCTTTTGGATTAAAGCTTCGTTTTAGGAAATTGTGGGGTGATTTTAAGATCTTCCTATGGCCACGGTGCCTTATTTCGGAACGAAAAAGGAAAACAGAAACTGCGCATTTTTTAGTTGATTGGGAGCGCGCGCGCCTTTCCCCCCGCTGAGAGAAATGTCACTATAAAAAACGCATTTCTGAAGTTAAAACTAGTTATAATTGCAAACAATACATGTCATCATATCTGTTATTGGGGCAGAAAAGCCTTTAAAAATAAATAAGACCTCAATTTCATTTGAATCTCCGATGGTGACGTCAGCCTTCTTTCTGTTGACAGGTTGTGAGGAACCAAGCCCTGTGAACGGCCGATCCAGCAAATCCCGTTCCTCCTTCTCAGTGGAGCAGGTTATGCAGTTAGAACGAGTTTTTGAACGACAGAAATACCTGGGTTCGCGAGACAGACAGAGGCTCGCAGAGCAGCTACAAATGAGCGAGACACAGGTAAACAAATTGTTTCTGGGTGTGGGATGGGCTTTCTGTTTTGGATTTTGGATACTACTGGCCTATTTTGGATTTTAAATTTTGGACAGTAGTGGCGATTTTGGACTTTGGACACTGGTGGCCGATTTTAGATTTTGAACACTATTTTGGACACCAGTGGTCAATTTTTAATTTTGGACGCAAGTGTCTCATTTTTTGTTTTTGGACACAAGTGGCCGATTTTGGATTTTGGACAGTAGTGACCGATTTTGGATTTTGGGCACTAGTGATCGATTTTACATTTTGGGCAATAGTGACCGATTTTGGATTTTGGACACTAGTGGCCGATTTTGAACTTTGGACACTAGTGGTCGATTTTGGATTTTGGGCATTAGTGGCCGGTTTTGGATTTTGGACATTAGCGGCCAACTTTTGATTCTGGACACTGGTGGCTGATTTTGCATTTTGAACCCTAGTGGCCGATTTTGGATTTTTGACACTAGTATACTTATTTTTTTAAATTAGAGTAAAAAAAAAGAAGATCATATGCTTCATTCTCGATAAATGTATCATTTGGAATTGTGTTTGTGTTTCTTTTTCTTTTTAGCAATTGTACGAAAAAGTATCATAATTTTCAACGAATCCTCTACAACCAGGATTGTTAGTGAAACTGGTTGCACCACCTAAATACACTTATTTATCAGAAATTATTCTTTTTCAGGTGAAAACGTGGTTTCAAAACCGACGAATGAAGATGAAGAAAAAGCTTTCAGAGGCCAATGAGCGCAGAGCTAAAATATCTTTTCTTGACAACCTCGATTGCATGCAGCAGACAGGATATCATGGTTATCAAGCTCACCAACCATATCCTCCCCCAGGCCCACCGCCAGAGGCGACGCATCTTCTCCACCCAAGTCTCCCTCCGCCGGAATGCGCCTGGCTGAATCAGTCACCTTTCACTTTCCCGCCAAATCAACCGTTTCCAAGGTATCTGCCACCACCGCCTCCATCTTGGGAGTCCCTTCCAGAACACATGATCGACAGATGCACTTCTGTGCTGGGTGGGTTTGCGGAGTTGGAAGAAAACAGATAAACTGTCACATCTAACTTTAGGTTGAATGATAGAATCATTAATTTCCAGGACAAAATTTAACCTGAATTTTTTAAATTTTTTTGTTTGTATCAAATTTGACTTGGGTTCTCAAGTTATGTCGGTACTGACAGTCAACTAAAAGCTTATTGCGGAAATAGTGTACGAATACTTCTCAGTAAATATTCATTTAAACAGTTGTTTTTTAGATAATTTGAATGATTTGCCTTAAAATTTTGTTGTTTGTGATAATAAAATACGAAATTCTTAATTCAGGGTACGGTATTTAAAGACAATGTTGGTGATGATTTATTCTGTAGTATACGGTAGTTTATAACATGGCGCCGAGCTTGTTCCTTCTACTTCCTTCTGAACAATCATGGTTTATATGATAAGCTGAATTGCGCTTGTATTCTGATAGGTTACTTAACCCATAAACCCTAAGGGTGACCAGATTCTAATTTCTACTAACGTTATCACCCCTGAATCAAACATTAAGGTCATGAGAATCAAGGAAATGATCACCAACTAGTTAAGCTCTTGATTTTTAAACAAATTCTCCTTGTCAGCGCTTGAGGAAATGTATAGAGAACAGTATGGAGAATATGTATACTGATGTTAGGGTGTGGAGGGTAAAGATCTATGGGAGGAAAGACGTAGAAATCACTTCACCTTAAACAAAATGTTGCTCAGTTTCATCATATAATTTTTTTTACTGCAAAGTTGCCGTCCAGTTCAGCCGCGAGTTTTTAAAATTTCATTCCGGTTATTTCATCTTTCCATCCCGATTGAGATACACCATTTGGATTTCAACAGGGAAAGTAAATATGCCAATAATTCTCCGTTCGGAAAAATTTACATTCAATTTTTAAAAGCGACTAAATTGGATTTGATGACCACGCCTGTAGAAACTTTTACGCACCATTTTCTCTCTCCATACTTTATATCTCGACAAACGCCCGCTTACGTATACGCCAATAGTTAAATCCGTGACCCTAAACGTTTAATGGAGGTTTTGGCCCATTGCAATTTCGCCTCCTCCTCCTCCTCCCTGAAGTAAAACCAGCTCGCTACTAATACTAAATGCTTCAACTCGTTTCCTTCCGGCAGAACACATTCCTTTTTTTACATCCCAATAAGATGTGAAGGATTTTCAAACTTAAAAAAAAAAAACATTCCCTAGCTTATTTTACATAGCTTTACATTTAAGGCTGAATGGTGTTTAATTTTACAGTGCATTAATGTTACTATTTAAAACTCACTTTGAAACTTCCGTCAACGCTGTGGGGTGTCTCATTAGTCGATGACGTCAGACATAAACAGTAACGTCATAGCGAAGATTGCGGGCTCATGAAGAAATTTGATCGAAACAGCGATCAGAAAGTGCCTGCAGAGATTGAGCGCTGACGAGAACGTTCGACTTTAACCTGTTGAAAAGTGAAGGTGCAAACCCCATTATTTTGAAACTGTGTCTTTACAAGGTAAAGTTACTGTTCTTTTTCACTTAAGCAAGATTGATGTTCCAATTCTCGTCTGAATCGAGTGTGTATTCGAAAGACGAGCACGAGTATTCAACGGCAGGCGTTCAAACTATTTTAGTTAGCCCTAGTTATTTTTTAGTTTTGTTTGTTTATGATTTTAGAAGCAAAACGACAGCAAATGTCATCTTCTTGGAAATTCAATAGATGTATCCAAAGCCACGAATTGACAAAATAGTTTATTTTGGATTACTCTCGCTGTCGCTGGAATTACAGCAATACAAATTATGTTAACTTTGTAGTCAACTGCATATGCCCAAAACCGTACAGGCATTGACAGTCCAATAATGTTTGTAAATGGAGTTTATAGAAATTGAAATTGGCAAAATATGTAAAGTGGTTGTGTTTTCTTTAACTTAGTTTAACTAAGCTATACACACTTCAACCACACAGCACGGTCTTGCAATCCAATAATTTGAATATTTTCCTGTAACCAAAATGCGATTAATTCAAATATATATTGACTTCCTCTGTGAGATCGAGCACTATGATTGGGCTTACATGTAGTTTGCAATAAAATCGTGCCCATCTGAGCTGAGATTAAGTACATGAATCATCACTGGAAGGTGAAATTTCCTGTTTGATGCAGACTTTATTTAGAGTTTCCACTCACCAATGCCCTTATCATCCATCTCCCACTGTAACTATCAGAATTAGAGCCGAATTGATAAAAAATTCATGGTTAGAGTTTCAAACATTAAATCACAACGTTAATTTGTAATTGTATTTCAGTATCTGAAAGCTTTGAAAGCACAGTTTGCTTTTCTTTCCCAGCTCTTGAAATAGACAAGTCATCCTAACTTCTTTGATGAAGTGAAATCTTTTTGCTAAACAATAAATCATTTTATTGACCAAGCTTGTTCAGTCAAGATTACTGGATATTGGCCTTGTTCTTTTTTTAAATTTTACGGACCAGCTCGGTCCATGAAAACACTTACCCTAACCCTATCCAACCATCTTGCCCTCACATAACGTCAATAATGCATTTGTATTGTAGGAGTGTTAAGAGATGCCCTTACTTGCTAATGATTGTACACAGAAGTACTACACTGTAAATTTAAAGCCATGCTTATGATGAAGGGAGATCTAAGCAGCTTAGTGTTTATTATTTTGGATTCAGATAATCCTCTAATCCCTGTGAGTTACCAAGACAGAATTTTTCCTAACATTATCAGTATGATATTAAGAAAATAAGGGCTGAGAATATTTTTATTTGCCTCAATCCTCAAAGAGCCATTCACAATGTCTGATGAAGATCACATGAGATCAGAGATTACCAGAATGCAAATGAGAGGAGACGAGCTGACAGACCAGGTATGTACATACAGTATTACCCATTAAACAGTGAAAGTGACAATTATTTAATTTCTCCTTTCCGGAGCAATTATTGCTCAATCAGACATATTAGTCATGCAAATAAAGGAAATAATTGCCAACTTAAGATGCTTTGACTTGATTGTTCAACAAACTCTCCTTATCAGTTTTACTGGAGATTTACAGAAATTGGTGTGGAGAATATTCATTCTAGTGTTAGGTTTTAACTGACTAATTTCCAAAGCTGTCATAGTGAAATTACCGCAACTGTATTTCTGACATCCATCCAGTTTGAGAAGATTTCATCCATAGTCCATACTGCAGTTCTTTGAGAGGAACAGTGTCAAATTGTATTTTGTGTTAAGTTGATGCATGTATCTATTAATATAGGCATTTTATTTATTTAGTCATTAGAAAGTACTCGTCGCATGTTGCAGCTTGCAGAAGAGGTGAGTGTCAAAGTACAGCACTGTAAATTTAACCTTTTAACTCTATGAAGTGATTAATGTGTAATTTCTCCATACAATATCCAGCAAACAGGTAATGAGGATACTCAAATGTATCAGGTGGAAGTTTTTATCTTGATCTTACACCAAATTCTCAAAACTAATTTATAAAGAAATGTGTAATAGCCAGAAAGGAGAATTGGCAATCAGATCCAAGGAGTTAAACAGTTAAAAAAAAATAACTGTTTTCCTTTGTTAACTTGGTCTATAATATAAATAAAAGATAATTTGGTTTTATCAAATGAGTTGATAATGTGAATTAGCCACCGAGTTTTTAAAGCTGATGTTTTGATTGTTAGTAAAATTGAGCTTGATATTAACCCTTTACCTCCCAGACATGATTAATATGAAACTTCTCCCTATAATATCCACACATTATTCAGCAAACTGGTAATGAGAATATTCAAACTTATCTGGTAGAAGCTGCCATCTTGATCAAGCAACAAATTCTCATAACAAATTTACAAGGAAATGTGTAGCTGGCAGAGGGGAGAATTAACAAGCAGATCTTGGGAGCTAAAGGTTTAAACCATATGATGAATTACGGTCAAGTCACCAACGGTTCAATTCGCTGATGTATAAAGTTGAATAGAGATGTCAGTTAGTTGGTCTTCAATCCAGTACAATTAATACTAAAGATCTTGTCAAGAAAGCCAAGTTTATTTTTAAAAAATCTGACTGATTGACATAATAAATCTTTACAGTGTTGTTGTCACACAACAATGCATTTGCTTCTAAAGCTTTTTTGGTCATTAGCGATTTTCACCTTGCTTTATTTGCCTTGAGATCCTAAAAACTTTGTTGGAAATAAAAATAATTGTTTCTACTAAAGATCTTGTCAAGAAAGCCAAGTTTTTTTAAAAAAATCTGACTGATTGACATGATGAGTCTTTACAGTGTTGTTGTCACACAATAATTATCTCGTTCACGTCTGAAGCTTTTCTGGTCATTGCCAATGTTTACCTTGCTTTATTCGCCATGAGATCCTTATAAACTTTGTTGGAAGAAAAAAATTGTTTTTTCACTGAAGGTCTTTTACTTTTCTATATGTTTAACTTCTAATAAGTTGTACTGGATTGAAGACCAACTCACTGACGTCTCTACTGGATTTTATATGTCAGTGAGTTGGCATTGGTGAGTTGAACTGTCAGTGACTTGACTGGATACCCATATGACAGCAGGGGTAGAGTGAAAAAATAATGGAGGGTTGGGGAGAGTCAGGCTCATTATTGTCACTGCTTTTGTGATCTTTACTATTGCACTCAGTTTTACAAACTTCAGGCCTGAAATAGGCTATAAAGTAAGGTACAGGTAAGATTTGACTAACATTTATAAAATAATTCAAATAGTACGCACGCTCTGATTGGCCCATAAAACCATTTTACATGAGCATATGTAAACACAGTTTTTGTTCCTCTTTCATTAGTTATTTTATAAAAGAAATGTAAAATGGTTTCCATGTTTACATAGCCTGATCTAAATACTTGGGAGGTTGGGAGAAGACTTGATAAGCTGGAAACCACTCTGCTTCACGTCGTGGTTTCCTACACTTATCTCATGTTCTCCCAACCTCCCGTGTGTTTACATCAGGCTATGTAAACATGGAAACCATTTTACATTTCTTCAATATTTTTTACAAAGGAAAGGAAATTGTTCAATCTGCAAAGTAAGGGAAACAGTTGAAATGATCATATGATGCTAAAATAATAGTACAGGTTATCATTCTTACACCTGTGGTATGTTTGATTATTTTTCTAGAGCCAAGAGGTAGGAATAAAAACACTGGTGGCTCTTGATGAACAAGGGGAACAGTTAGACCGAGTTGAAGAGAACTTGGATCAAATCAACGTTGACATGCGTGAGGCTGAGAGAAACTTGACAGGACTTGAAAAGTGCTGCGGATTGTGTGTTTGCCCATGGAGAAGGTCTGATTTTCCTGTGCTCTGTATTTTCTGATCAGACATGAAATATTGTTTCTTGCTATTGTTGTTGTTCTTCACAAAGTGATTGTAGTACTAAGAATCATATAACCTAAAAGGACTTGAGCACAAATGGTATGGATGGAAGTAGGGATAGGAAAAGCATGTTTGAGCCCAGGAAACAGCTCTACCAGCAGCCATATCAGGCACATTGACAGAAAAAGTAAAAAAATGGAAGTTGGGTAGAGTTATGTAAAGCTTCTCTTAAAAATTCCGTGGCTCTCAGTCTCAGTAATGGCATATGAAACGAGGACCGAGTACTTTCCTGTTTGATGCTTTCACTCAGTAAATGTTAATCCTTTGACCCCCCTAAGAGTGACTAACATTGAATTTTTCCTAACAATATCACCCCTGAATTAAACATCAAGGTCAGGAGAATAAAGGAAATGATCACCAACTAAAGAAGCTCTTAATTATCAAACAAATTCTCCTTAACAGCACTGTGGGAAATGTATAGCAAACATTATAGAGAATATTCATACTGATGTTACATATTGCGCACTCATTTTCAAACTTTCCTTTGTGCAATGTCTTGATTTTTCCCAAGGAAAAACGTTAACTAAGGTCGCTCTGATAATCATCTGATTGAATGGATAAATACCATTCTTAAACTTGTTATTACTCCCCTCAGCCATAGTGGTTATTGCCATATAAAAAACTGTTGATTTTAAGCACTGTCCTAACTTTAGGTTGTGATTTAGAGCTGACTTTGTATGTTTGGTTTTTTTTGTTAGGCGGAAGAATTTTGAAAAGAATGAAATGTACATAAAGGCCTTTAAGAGTAGTGATGATGGAACTCTCTCCACCCAACCAGGTAATATTAGAATTATTTCACAATGTGATAAGTGATGGGGGAGGGTACTGGACTGTGGTTCAAGAAGTTGCAATGTCAGATCGGGCAGGGTCATTCTATTGTGTTCTTTGTAAAGTGTATCAATATTCTGCTGTATGGTCACAACTTACAACACACTTTAATCGATATTCACCTCACTTGAATACCTTTCACAACATTAATATTCTTAGTTAACATACAGTCATATAGTTGTGCCGATCTATTCCCATGATGAATGCATTCTTAAAGATGTGACACTACATTCTTAGGCAACTCACTTCACTCTCTTTGTGGCCCTCTCCACCCTTGAGTATAAATGGGTATCTGTGAATTGTTGATGAAGCCTGATGAAATGTTTGGGGGGAGGAGGAGGAGGAGGAAACTTAATGATGGGCTGGCATCTCATCCAGGAGGTAGTAGCAATACCACTAGTCACCTCATGCCGTGTGAACTGGAATAAACTGTGGCTTAATAGCCCCTCTTGGCTCAAGTATAGACTTTACCTTCTTCTACCAGAAAAGGACCGTGGTCAGTGACAAAACTCATGCTTTGACAAGCTGGGGGATGGTCTTGGTTTAGTGCTTTGGCATGTGCTAAATTTTTTACCACACAGGACTGAGGAACAATGTAATAGACAAAGTGAGGTTTTATTTTTAGGAGCCAGATATGCACAAGATGGAAACCGTGGAGAGGCAGCTAAAAGTGGATACATACAAAAGTAAGTAATTTTGCAACTTAAACCTTTAACTCCTTGAAGTGATTAACATGTAACTTCTCCCCATAATATTCATACATTATCCAGCAAACAGGTAATGAGAATACTTGAACGTATCTGGTAGAAGTTGTTTTCTTGATCTGACACCAAATTCTTGTAACTGATTTACAAGGAAATGTGTAGCAGCTAGAGGAGAGAATTAACATGCAGATCTTGGGAGTTAAAGGGTTAAATAAAATTAGTGTGGAAACGTAAAATAGTCAGTAAAACCTTTGAAAGTAACTTCGGAATTTTATTACTGCAAAAATAGATGTTTGTTCTGTTAGGTCGTGAGAACTTTGGTTCCATTCAGGTGATATTGTGTTACAGTTTGTGTTGTTGTTGTTGTTTTTTTTTTTTGGAAAATAATTTAGGGTAACTATCACCGAAAATTTGATGGGTTTAGGTCTCGGTGTGAAGGAGATATAATCTGAAGCTTTTTTATTTAATTAAAGTGTGACATGTTTTGCAGGATTACAGGAGATGACAGAGAAGATGAAATGGATGAAAATCTCGGGTGAGCAGTGAAAAAGATAACTTAAACCTTACATTTTCAGGTTTACTCAGTCGTGTGTTTGCAAAATTAACAACGGTAATAATTATAACGGCGCTTCTCGATTGAGTCTCGTAAAAACAAAGTATTCATCTGCCATACGATCGGCAGCCGCTTATGGGAAAAGTGATGTTGATAATACAATATAAATTGCTGTGGAAATCAGAACATGAGGCAGTGGCACTCTCAACCAAGCGTTGTAAAATAAGTCAGATAGCAAACGTATTTGCATATGAATTTTTTTGCTCTAAAGTGTTTATTTATTCTTCTATTGATTCAAAGGCAAGTGGCGAACATAGTTGGTAATCTGAAGTCAATGGCGATGGATATGGGTAATGAGATTGACACACAGAACAGGCAGTTGGATCGTATCAATGCAAAGGTGATGGCATATTTCGTGTTGGAATTCCTCTTTTGATAAAACAAGAAACACTATTTAGTGTCAGTGGCATACACTGGGAAAAGTGGCCGCCCCATGATATGATAAGTTTGGCCGGAAGAGAAAACCTCTTCGGTCAAGGTTTTATGACGTGCGAACGGAGCACTAAACATTTTCTTGCTCAGTTCATAATAACGTCTTACGCGCACTTTTTCAAACAGACCTCTCAACAATATTTTAATTTTTAACTAGGTAATTAAGTATAATCAACTGAGTTGATAACGTAAATTGGCCACCGTAAAGAGTTTTAAAGCTGAAGTTTCGAGCGTTAGCCCTTCGTTAGAGCGAACGAGGACGGGCTAACGCTCAAAACGTCAGCTTTAAAACTCTTTACTGTAGCCAATTAACATTATCAACTCAGTTGATAATACTTAATTACCTTGTTATACTCTCCCACCAACGCAGCATCACAGTTTCTTTAGAAACTTATCTCCTTTATTCAATATTAGCCTCTATGGTTTGACTACCCATTTCAGTTCATGTCATATGATAATACTCTGGGAAATACAGGCTTAACAGGTCTATTTAATTTAGAGCCATATTTAATTGTGTCGAAAGTTATCCGGAATTGCCCTGGTTTGGTTTAATTCGTTGTGTGATTGGTTTAGAAAAATATCACCACTTTCTCGACCAATCAGATGTAAAACTAAAACCACTCACTACTTGGTCGCGCACGTTTTCCCGCGCTTTAGGCAGCTTGGTTGTTCTTTTAGTTCTCATTGGCTGTTGTAGGTATTTTCCTTCCTTCCGATTGGCCGCTCAATCGAAAAGTACTTTACGTTTTCGCTAGACTTACTAATTGATTGATTGATTGATTGATTAATTTCAGGCGGAAGCAAACGATGTCCGTATTCAAAATGCAAACACGCGGGCACGGGATATCCTAAGGAACTGTTGAATGGTAGACTCGAGGATGTTATCATCGTGCTCCTAGTCTTACCCAAGTTAGTAATGTTAGCACTGAATATAGTTTTTTGTCAAACCTGAACACGATTAAAATAATTTTGAGACTTCACATCTGGGAACAAAATAAGAAATTGGTTTCAGAGAAATTCATTGACCATTATTTTTAGAATATGTGTAATTTAAAGGCATTCACCTATACAAAAATATGTCTCTTCCTTTTGACAGACCGCCGAGCAAAAAGTAATGATTAAAAAAGTGTTAAAGATTGTGGCATTAAAAGACATTTGTTGATCAAAGCTAGAGGGGTAGATATTCTTTATTACAATGTATAGCCAAGTTTGAAGAAAAGGGCGGGAGAGCCGGTATTTCTTAAGACTATTTACATGTGATTCTTTGCGATAAGGAAAGACCTAGAATTGGTCGCATTTCATTTACCTACAAAGAAAACAATTCAAGTTTGTTCTTCGAATATATTGTAACAGTCCCCAGCGACTGTATCAAGACAAATGAGTTAAAGGAAATTACTTTTGTTTAAATAAATGTTCTGCTTCACAAAGACTTCTGGAATTCTTCATGTGGGGGGAAGAGGAGGGGGGGAGGGGGGAGAGGAAGGGGGTGTGTGTCACGTGACTCAGATGGGGATAGGCAAAGGGAGGTATTTCGGTGTTGGGGTCAGGACTGAGATAAGTTAAGAATGTGTAGTTTTGTCCTTTGTTGAGAGGTTGAGTATAGTATATAGATTTAGCCGGAGCTCCCATTTTCTTTCCCGCACTTCTCAAGGGCACAACGCCTTGCCCCGGTCAGGACTAGAACCCGTGTCGTCCGACTCGGAGCCCAGTGCACTGACCACTGGACTACTGGACAAAGCCGTGGCGTTGACGTGCCCGCGGTACAGTTGACCGCGCATGTTAAAAGTAACACCTTGTACGTTCGTACGGTCGTACATCCAAATTTTTTTGGCTTGATGTGTTACTACTATTTTGTATGATAATGGGGCTACGCTCTGCGAGCTCCGCTATCAATTCCCTTAAATGTGTGGTCATACAGTCTCTGCAATGTCCTTTTTGACAGTTTACTTCTTTAGTAAGAGTTTAATTTGGGACTAGTCATTCTGTCGCTTTTTGGGGGCTGGGGGTGGGAGAGGATTTTGAGAGGAATCAGATGATTTGCAAGGGAAATGGATTGGGGGGGGAGTCTATCATCGCCAACAGAGTATTAAGGCGGGACTTAAAATTCCACGTAAATGAAAAAAAAACAAATGAATAAAAATAAAGAAACCTGCTTCCGCTATTACCAACTGTTGACATGTTTTAGTGTCAAAAACAGATACAAAAAATACCATTACGCATACGTTGACGTATTCACATATCACTTAAGGTAGCAACTTACACTAACGTTTCTCAAGAAACTCAAAAATGATCAACGGCTCTACGAATACATTTCAAATGCTCAAATATTTTTGAATTGTGAATGAGCGACTGATTCGCAAAGTTAAATTCTACTAAAATTGAACAATGATGATGCTTCTTTAGAAAAAAAAATATTTAAAAATATATATTTGTTGCTTCTTAAGTCGAAGTCGAGGTAAGATAACTCAAAATATCATGCTGGGATTGAAAAAAAAATCGGCAGTAGCATGTATGTTAAAGCTGGCCTGAAGCTTTTGATTCCCTTTATGTCAATTTCTGAATTAATTTGCTAGTGCGTGTAATCCCCTCATGAAATTCCATTTTTACGGCTTTTTGTTATTGTAAATTTCAGTTCAGGATACGGATTCAACTTGTGATGTCATTAATTCGAATTTTCTATTGTATCTTTTTCAGGAGAATCCGATTCCAAACACTTCCATAAAATTTTTATTCCTTGAGCGAATTTTCCACGTATTTGCATACAACTTTAAAGGCGTCTGTTGGAAAAAAAAAAAGCTAAATTTATCCTTTGAAGCTGACAAAATGCAAATTCCTAGGAGCCAAATGGTGTATTCCAAAATTACAAACACCGATATTAAATTCTTTCACAATGTAAATCGTGTCTCAGTTTCACAGTGCGCGGTCAGCGCCTTGGCTGTGTCACAGCGGAACCTTCAAGTGAGGGTCCAACCGGAGTATTAAGTAATCCGTAGGAAATTCTCTTAGTGGCATCCGACAAAATTAATTGCCTACTACGGAGACTCGTTAAGTTTTCACCTGTTTACTCAGTTGAAACTAGAATTTCTGTCGCGGAAATTTGACTCTCTGTAGGATTTCGCTCTTCTTAAAACAAAAAAAACAAAAACAAAAAAAACAAAAAAAAACGTGTACTTTCAAATTTGGTTCGTATCTGTAACATTTTTGCGGTACCAAACAGTTTTAGAATAAACATCGATTCAATTATGCGAAATTCGAGCGTACATGTTCCTATTCAGAAACTATCAACATGTGGCCAACGAGTGAAAGCTGCTCTCAAATTTCAGTTGTTTTTGTTGTAATTTTAATTCTTCTTCTTACCTTCTTTTCAACGTCATGTTTAACTTTAAAAATCATCATCGTATTTCTTAATTTTGTAGAATTTCATAACCGTTAAAAAAAATTCGCAAATGCACCGTTTTTCGTCACGACATTGACAAGTTTTCTTAATTATAGCTTGAGGCCACGAGGAAAGATATTTACATTAATTCTCTATAGGACTGTAAAAGCTCTTGAAGGCTAAAATGCGTTTTCACACGAGGGTTTTTTTCCACTTGTGTTTGACAAGTGTGATTGATTGACACGTATTCAGTCCGTTCTGCCATACAAAAACCATTAGCTTATATAAAACCGTTAAGATCTAGAAACCGATCTGAACAAATTCTCGCGTCGAGACAATTAACAGACCACGAGCGAACAATTTACGATAATTCTAGACTTTCTTCCGACATTTCTCGAACTGTTTACCTGCTCGACCAGTTTACAGCTCATCGAGGTGAGGGGCACGACTTTCTTTTCAAAGGGCTTGAAGTGTATCAAGTTAAAGCAGAAATCTTTGGTGGAATTTACGCGAGACCAGATTGCTATGAATAACACAACTGGAGTGGTAGAAAATTCACCAAACGATTCGGAGACGCTAAGAACAGTTAAGATGACATTGTACGCAACAATTTTTATTATAGGTATTAGTGGGAATACATTAGTATGTCTGGTCGTTTATCGACAGCAAAAACTCCGCACATCAACAAACTTCTACATCATGAACTTAGCAGTAGCAGATTTGGCGGTGACCATAGTCTGTATACCTTTTGATGTTGCTGTGCAAGAAAACGACTATGTCTGGCCGTTTGGAAAGTTTCTTTGCCACGTCATCTATCCGATCATGACCATGTGCACTTTCGCTTCAGTAGGAACACTTACAGCGATCGCTTACAACCGATATACCGCCATTTCACGCCCGATGAGGATGCAGAGAGGACGTAAATGGGCAAAAGTAACTATAGCTGTCATTTGGGCTGTCTCCTTTGTTTTCGTCTTGCCATATATAACCGTATTAACGACAAAAAATTCTCGCTGTGTTGAGAAATGGTCTACGCTCCACAGTCGCTTGTACACTTGGTTCATTTTTATTTTTCAGTATGTTATTCCTTTATCTATAATTTCTCTGGCTTATGTGAAAATTGCGAGACAGTTACAGATTAATCGCAGTCACCTCACACCGGCCCACCGGGTACAGGAACGCGACGTATCGAAAGTTGTTCGAATGATGGTAGTCGTTGTTTTAATATTTGCAGTATGCATGCTTCCAAATCATATTCTCTGGCTTCTTACTGACTTTCACAAGGATTTTCCCGAAGCAGGGCGCCAAGTATATGTATGGGGCGAAATTTTAATATACGCAAACAGCTGCACGAATCCAATAGTGTACAGTATCTGTATTGAGGAATTTCGCGTGGCTTTTAAAGCCTTTATCACCAAGTGCTGTCGAGTTACCGACGAAGACCTAACGCCTGTTAGAAACATTTTGGAGAGAATTTCCATGAGGGAAAAAAGTGTTTCTCAAGCTGACAGAATGGTGGCCAGGCAGCTAAGTCGTCGGCTACGAGGTTCATTTCAGCGAACTCAATCGTTTGAAAGTCGAGGGAGCCTTCCGAGAATTTTCCGAACGAGGACGACTCACTCGAACATATTAAGTGGAGATTTGCCTGAACTTTTGGATACAATGCTTCCCACTCTTTCGCCAAACACGGACACGGGGCGGAACACTCCCAATCAGGAAGCTAATCGCAATGCTTTAGCAGTGACTGCAGTTTGAAATGTAAACAGTATTCAGTTCCAGGTTCTTACGCTTAATTTGCAGTAGCGCTGGGTTTTGATTGATTAAACTGTGTGAATGTTCTTGGAGATTACCTCTTTCTTTCACATAAAGAGTGGTTTATGTTTTTTGCTGGCTTAGACGCGGAATCGTTATCTGTTTATTTGAGGATTTTTTTCAGGAAAATGGGGAACGATACGGGCAGCTTTAAATGCCTATCAAGTTTTGAAGATTAAGTATTTCAGCTAGGAAGAGATTTCATGATCAGATTTCTAAAATCATAGTTCTATTTGGTCCACAAGAGATAATTGTTCACCATTTCGTACATTTTGCTGATAAGCTGGGTCGAGATAAGTTTTGTATGACGCAGAAAATTATTTATTAATTTAAGAAAAGTCCGATTTGGAAAATACCGTCAGCTTTTGGTCAAAATTATCACAATTTGACCAAACTCGGCTCAAATGCTTCTCATAAGGCCTACTAAATTAATTTGAAATGACGTCAAAAGTTTCTTATTTATTTATTCATAGCGGAAACGTTAGATTAATCTTGTAAACCATGAGAATTGTATACTTCCAATTTTTAATAAAAAGTGGTTAATTTATCCTGTAATAAAAACCTCAGAGAGCTTAAAAATGCATGGAGATATCTCTTTCATGCAATGCCTTTAAATTTTAAATGAAAGATTTTAACACAAAGCTTTTTAGAGATGCTGTTAAGGGTTCCTGGAATAAATTGTTCACTTGAACGTTCCACTTTGGCGTGAAATTTGAGATTACAGGGATTTTGGAGGAAGAAATTCTCGCGAGAACCTTTCTTGTTTTTCCTTTTTTTTCACTTTCTGAAAGCATTAAATATTTAAACCGGAAAATTGAGATTTAGACTAAACTTATTAAAACTGAATATTTAATTTCACTCTCAAGCACATCAATGATTACAGCTTCAGCGCTCTTACATGGATAAAAATTAAACTTTTCGCGGAAAATGTAATTGAACTTTTACAATTCGGTGCTGAATAACAACAGTAAATAAATATTCGGCTACGCCGAACAGAATAATTGATCAAAAACTAAATGCACGAGGTGGAATTAAAAAAAATGGAAAAGAAAAAGGAAAGCTTAGGAATACGATAAACAGCTCAAGGCAAGAGTGTTTGTTGAGTTCTTTTGATCAAATTCTGTAGATAGACAATTAGGAATGCTCTAAGAAGTTTTCGGAAGAAAATATTTGACAAAAATCGTTTCTATTTTCTCGAACAGTCTTGGCTGCGTTTGGGTAAAATGCCACGCGGAATTGCCCTTTTGAAACAATAAGTACCTCACATTATCTGGTCGCACTCGTGCAATTAAGTGAAAAATTAGGACTTGTAAAAGTCAAGGTATATTCTGAGTAAGGTGTGGAACCATTCTTAGTAGTGCATTTATTCAATCAGATTGTCTCAAACTGTAATTATCCGAGCATCAATAATTAACAACTCGAAATGTCTAGCAAGTAATTTGAATCGTAAAATCTTTCTTGCCTACTCTTTCACCAATAGGGCGAATTGTAAGTAATCTGTGTAGTCGCCTTTTTCGTTTCATTTTTAACCTTCGATGTAAATTTGCTTTTTATATCCAAAAGGATTTAATAGCAAATACACCTAGCGTTCAGAGTGTGGTAAAATCTGAACTGAAGGTCACTCACTGCCTACATTACACGAAGATGGAGTATTGAGATTGAAGAGGTGATTGTTTCAGAACCCAGAAGGCGAAAAAATATAAAACATAATGTGCCATATATACATGTATTATACCTTTTTATTCAAACCTTGGCGAAACTTTAAAAGACCATTAGCTGACTCGAGTTCTTTATTGGCTTAAGACCGTCCAATGACCCAGTAAGTTTAACATAGACATAAAAGAAGTTACACAAGCACAGTGCTGTTATTATCACATCTTAAATTAAAGGTGCTATATTACAGTTAGCTCGTGCTAATTTTCCAGTTCGCCATTTGCAATCTGAATTTTACTTCCGTAGTTTATTGTTGTGTACTCAGGTTGAGAGCAGTTTTGTTTTCCACAGCATGCGAAAAACGGAAAAAAAATGAAATGAAATATCCAAACGCACCGATATCCCTTAGCATTGATTTCACTTTCGCAGAAGTTTCCCTTTTAAATTACAAAATTATTTACTGCTTCTTTTGTTTTGGAGGTTCAAATATATCACATCAATCTATTACAAAAGAACACCCTTGAAATCTGAATGCACTCAATCTACAAGAGACTTCTAGCACTTCAAGGCATATAAACTCATTTTATGGCTGTAAAATGAACTGTTTTAAGTCATCATTTAGTTTTTTCGTACATTCTACGGCCTACGCATGCATTTATTTGCCGGTTGATAACTCATATTGGCCCCCAGCCTTACATTAACCGATTTCACTCGACCCACCTACGCACGCGAGTATTTTTCGAATAAATTACTTCATTTGAGAAGTGTGTTCTTTTTCGATTCTAATTTCTTCAAACTGTGCATAACTGTTAGACGCTACTTTGTTTTTTTCGGGCTGAACCCCTCCCACATGAATGAAGAAATAACACAAGTACAAAGAAATACTGTCTAAAGCTGAAAGGTTTTGGAAGAAGTAATAAATTCAGACTTTTTCCAAGGAGTAGTTTACTTTTATTAAATTAAAATCATCCTGGTTCAAGGTGTAACATTTAACAAAAATAGATTTACGCCTAAAACAGATCTTTCCACTTGATGCTCCCTACTAAAAATCGCTGTTTGAGTAAAATGATAAAAAGCATATGGCTAATTCAGGATTATATTGTCAAAGTTTATTTTTCGTTGTTTGAAAGCAGAAAAAAGGAGCATTTGACCCGCTTACCAAAACTGAAAATATTAAGTTCCTTATTCGAAAATTTGTTTTGAATTTTCAGTTTTAAGGATCAATTTTTATGCTGTTTCGGGAAAATTGAGAAGATGCTAGCAGTAGACAGTATTCATTATTAATACAGCGCGAAGTCGAGTGTAGGTAGAAATAAGAGGAAGTTAATTTAAGTGTCAATGGCTAATGGCTTTGTATCTCATCTTCCCTTCTTGGGATAATGGCCACTTTTTATCAGGACTCCAAAATGTGTATTTACATGTTACAGTTAAGATAATCAAATTAGTTCTAGTTTTTATTTATTTTGAGAAACTCTGCCCCGATTGATTATGGAACGTCAAGTTGAAAGGGCACCAATGTATTATTGACAATTCCTTGAGGAGTTACTTTTGGAAGATACAGCGTACTCGACTTTGATTTTTTTTGCCTATTTCATCATGCAGCTTAGTTTTAATTATTTACTTTTAAAGTGCTAGGAGTACTCTTGGAGCCCTGAACACTTCCATGAAAAACAACTTTTTTTATTACTGTGTGCGGAGGTGAAGTTAAATGGGTCAGCTAGTTGTTTTGACGGCGGCGTGTCGCTTTGAAGTCTGATAAACATTTACGGTGAAAGGTGTTTTGGAAAGTTAGTCGCTTCAAGGAAGTCCTCTACAACAGGAATCTTTGAGGGGGTATATTTGTTTTCAGACACCAAAATCTACATTTACGGAGGTCAAGGTATAGATAGTAAACAACGTATCGTTATTGCTAATTAGAAGAAAACCCTAATGGAGTTGAGGTTTTAGTCTATTGTCCGTGGCCACTAAAACTAAAAAACACCGAGACGAGAGATTAGGTGATCGCTTATTTTGCAAATTAAAGTAATCTTCAACGGTGCGAATTGTAAACGTTTAAGTGGTGTCATTAGTGAGGACCTTACGCGGCCTGAACGGCAACGCCGATGAGGACGTCGATTACAAAATGAAGTTATATTTTGAGTTAGAATTTTGCGAATGGTTGGATGTGTTTACCGTCTCTTCCTTCGCCACATCTCAACTTCCGGATAACTTATGCGAACATAAGCATAATTTGCCGTCGATTCCGTTCAAGCAAACCTATAAGATTTGACGCTGTTGTTTCGCAGAGGAGGCTAAGAAACACGCAACGTTTTAAAACGCACGTGCTAGGCTATTGTTCTGTCCATTAGATATTCCGTCTTGCCACCTCCTCGTTACCGTCGTCGCGCGTCTTAGTTTGCGCAAGGTCCCTAAAGATCCAAAGCGTTTCGGAGAAATTCGAAAAAACGATCGACGTCTTATGTGATCTACTACTGTACTGACCCACAGCAACATGGAATCAATTTGTTCTATATGATAAAAAAGCAAAATCTTGTTAAAGGTGACGTCATCTATCCTTCAATAGATCATAAGGACCAATCAGAATGCGTGTATAATTCAGCTAAAATATAAACTTAAGTCAGTTATTGTATATGCTCTTGATCAACAGGAGATGCAGAAATTTAAAAAATTTTTCAATTTTTAATTATTGTTAATGTCACAACGCGAAGTTAGCTCACACTTGTATTAACTCAGACAGCCGTGACGCAATCTTCGCAATACTTTAGGGCAGCACTCCTGATATACATTCGAAACTAAGGACCTTTTTAAAGAAGCCTATAGTCTTACACCTTTTAAAAAGGATCAGAAATCAGTGTTGAAAACTGACAAAATTTAAAATATAATTTTTCATAATCACTTATAAAAATTCAAGGTTTCACTGAAAAATTTTCAAATTATAAGTATATTTTACGTGGAAAATTGACAATACTAAATCCCAGAGAACATCAGATGCAATAGCGGTTTATCTCTTTAACTCCTAGATGTGATTAACATGTAATTTCTCCCTATAATATCCATACATTATTTAGCAAACAGGTAATGAGAATACTCAAACTTATGGGGCAGAAGTTGTTATCTTAGTCTTGCACTAAATTCTCGTGAATAATTTACAACGAAATGTTTAGCAGCTAGAGGGGAGAATTAACGATCAGATCTTGGGAGTTTCAAGGTTAAAACGAGAGGTTATTGAGTTTCTCAAGAAAAGCCCTCACTAGATATTCCCAAATAGACATATCCACAGTTCCTTTTTCATGTTTCCTTCGGATTAATGTCAGTATCTGTGCAACTGGGCACCTACCCCTCTCCTAGCCCAACAACAGTCAACTGATAATAAGTTAAGTTTAATGTTTTGTAAGGGGGAGGGGTAGGTGCTCAGTTGCTGAGATACTGACAATGATCCTTTCTTCAGCCTTGTCAGATTTTAGGTTTATTGCCAGATTTTAACAAACATCTGTATTAATTAGATTTGATTCAAACCTTCAAGTTAAAGTTCCTTTTATTATTGAAGTACCATTGTGAGAAAAAACGATCAAATTTCTCTTTTGAAAGGGCGTTGCTTTTGGAAATTACATTCTCGTTCAATCTTTCGGTAAACATCTCCACTACTTCTTCTTAACTTTGTAACTGAGAAATATTACGGGTTAAAGCAGCGGTCTATTGATTTTAAAAATTGTCAGTCTGATTGGCAAAATAGAACAAAATAAACCACGACGGTTTACAGCAAGGAAATTACGTGAATTTCGCATCATTATTTAGATATTCAAAGATAATTGTGCACAACAAAGCTACTGCCTTTTGTCCATTGACTTCGCAACGACAAGTGGCTTGAATTTTAACAATTTTAAATGATTTGGATAAAAAAAGCTAGTACTAGTTATCAAAACAATTGAAAATTCTTCGCTGAATAGTGAGTAATTATTCACTTTATATTAAGAAAAAACATGTTCTTATCAATAATATCGCGGTTTCTCCAGAGAAACGTATTTTGCATAATTAAATTTCGTGGTTTAATTTACTCAAATTCTATGCTTTTTCCTATTCGCTTAGCAAAAAGGGCAACAAAATCATTCCCTTTCCTTTTTTTTCGTATTAAAAAGTCTGCCTTCGAAGTCGAAATTATCCCGTATTTTGATAAAATAATAATAAAAAAAAAAATGCCCAGCATTTATTGGTACGTAACCTCAATAAAGATCGCGAACAGCTTTAAGGAAACGGCAAGTTCTTTGGAGGCAGAACGAAGGCACCGTGAGTGGTTCAAGTTACCAACCATTCAGAATCGCTTATTTCGACCACGAGACCAAAATGGATCAACAAGCAGTGAGCGTGAAAAAAAATGAATGTCGTCCCGTCACTGATTGGTCCATTCTGGTCACATGGTCGTAAGTTCTCGTCTCCGAATGGTTGGTAAACTAAGTTAGCGTTCTCTAAAGATGTACGGGACTGTCCGGCTGACCGGAGTTTGGTTTGTAAATTTCCAATCCTTTCAGGGGTCAAAATGTCTCTGCAACATGACCTGTATTCGTTTGCATTCCCTGTTGACATTTTCTGAAAAAGGAGAAATGTGAACTTTATGTATGAAACATGAAAGATGCAGAAGGTTTCTTAGGCGCTGGACTATGGATGCACAGGTACAGGTAATGGGGGGGGAGGGGTGGTTTACAAATCTCATGGAAACTTTCCCGACCAATGAGAAAATTTCAGTTTTAATGAAAGAAAATTCCTCCAACGAACGGTAGAAAAATTTTTCACGCCCATTAAAGAGGGTCTCTCAAAGCAGGATGGAAGACTTAACCCTTTAACTCCCAGATCAAATTTGTAATTCTCCTTACTGTCAACAATACAAATCTTATAATGTTAGTTCGGAGAATTTAGTATTGGATCAACTAATTATCCCAAATTGATATTTTTCTTTATTCTCAACACTTATCTGGTTAGTATTGTATTGAAATTGTAAAGAGAAATTCTCTCTTGGTCACTCATTGGAGTTAAAGGGTTAAAACAAAGCAGGATTCCAACCACAACGAGAACAAAAGGATCTAATAAGCGGCCCTAAATATGCGTTTTAAAACTATTACATTTCCTGGCCATTCTTGGGAGATTAACAAATAATCAAGGTGATATCGCCAAATTTTGTGTATTTTGTGAACGTGAATTCTGAAGGCAAATTATTTACGTTTCTCTCTGTTGCTAAACACTGTCATTACATGCTATGCTATCTCGAGGAACGGCAGGAAGGCTTTAGCGCCGTTCGAACCTTCGACGAAATTCTTTGACGAAAGTCCATTTTTTACGGCGTCACTACCGGAGCAGCTTGAGCCGCCTAATATGAACTCAGGACGAGTTAGAGGGGAGGAGAAATCTGAGATGGACTGGCATTCAAGCGGTAGAATAACACAGCTGATTCCCTAATGCAAAAGTCCAGTCCAGAACTCTTCCTTCCAAGCATTACATAGCAGTTGCACACTAGCAGCCTTCGGGTTTAACCCCTACCATGCAACATGGAAGGAAAATTTCCTGGTATGGACTATTCGTGCTATAGAAACTGGAGTCAGCTCTGGCGACGTACGTTAGTTGGGTCGCGTGTCAAACCTCACCTGCCTTATCAACTAGTCCCACTTGGGTGGTTTATATGTGACTTTTACTCCCATTGGCTTCTTTGATTTTTTAGCGCCGCCTGGACCCCCTCCTGAAGAAGACTGGGCCCTGGTGGGTTTGTGAGGAACATCTGTGATACGAGGAGTGGACGGGTCTATGACGTCATTAAATGACGCAATGTTATCGACATCGTCGTCGACATCCACTGCCTCACCATTTTGTTTACTGTGAGGGGTGGGGTAATTCTTGTCTGGTACGAACTCTCCTTTTCTTTGTCTGAAAAAAAAGAGGAATTGGATAAACAGGAAGAATATAAAGAGCACCACGACCCAAGGAGGTCACATTGAACTTTATTAATACAGAATCAAATCCCTTTCTTGATTGTATCTTATTCATTATTTCATTTTTATATTCAAGTGAAGATCCAGGAATACTTGATAACGAGAAGGGGGGGGGGGGCAAAATTGAGTCACGACTAACCCACATCCCCCCTTCCCCTTTTCACCTGCGGTTCACAAATTAAATGAGCCAGTTGATAATAATTTACCAGCGTTTAAGCGTCAGACAAGAATTGGGTAAAACTTTGCTATGATAGAGTCGAAGGAAGGGTTTCGTAGTCCCCTAAACCTCCCTTAGGATCGATCACATTTTAAGATGACACAAAGACATACAGTTCTTGCAATAACACAACGACAAGTGCACCAACTATTCGCATTTATGAAGAAAAGATTGAATGAGATGCTAGTACAGTATAAACTACCCCTCCTCCGCCAGTATGTTGCAGATTTACCTAACAGTTCATCGGTACCTATTTATTCTCCAGGATGCTGAGTAGCACCATGAAAGTATGGCGTTTTGCTAAAGAACATAACGCAATGACACTGGACCTTTACCCAGATATTTCTGTCCATAATCCAGGACACGAGTAATCGGCCGTCTACACGTTTGTGTCGAAATACTCAATTTCACTCCCTGACTTGGCTTTCAAGGTATGGATTGATAAAGTTTAGCAAGAAAGTATTCCCAAAACACCGAAATCAAAGGAATACCCACACGAAAACAAAAATATAATAGCAAAGATTAATGAAAATTTTTGTGCAGAAGAGCTGTTAGGGCACCCAGTCCCCCTTCCTCCACCCCCCTCAAAAACGAGTAAACTGCATCTTCAATATCAACACAGACGTCTTAGGATTTCCACTGACCTGTAAAAGCGAGTAAATATGAACACGGATAAAACAACGAGTAGTACCAGGCCCCCGATAGCTGCGGAGATAATGAGGATGAGCAAGCCCTGGGAAATACCTTTGTCGTCATCCCCATCCGTGCTTCCCTGCACGGCGGAGGTTGGATCTGAAACAGAAAAACATCATTCTGAAAAACTACACATTGTATTCACTGCTTCCTGCGCCTTTCAATAACATTTGATAACTCTAAAGTTAGGAGCCAACCTTTCGATTTAACGCATTCTGCCATCAATCGTGGCCGTGGAGGCAATTAAAAGATACAATCAAAATGGACCGACTTCCTCCAATCAAAACTTATGAACGAGACATTTTGAGCCCCCTGAAACATGATTGACCACAGGCTTGGTCAAGGACTGACAAAAAGCCAATTTCAATCATCCATGACCTATTCAATACTTCGCATGTTATTGAAGAACGTAACAGTGTTGTTAGTCATTTACCCTACCCGAGCCCTTGTACAAAATTGTAAGAGACTCTAAAAAAGTTAAGAATCAATTCCCCGCAGCATAGTATGAAAAATGCCAAACAGAAATTCTTAGTATCTGAGAGATGTTTTTAAGAGACAAATAATCACAGGTCCTATTAAACCAGTCATTTTTAAAGGCTTGAAGGGGGTGGGAATTTGGAGGGATCATTTCGTTTTCAGGGAGAACAGGGAAATTATCATTCGCCAAAAAAGTATTGGGGGGTGGGGGGACTAGGGAAAACTGACTGCCATTAACTGCCAATGAGTGGGGATTAGAAGAATATTACAGAGAACCACCCCTCCCCCCTCCCCCTTCCCTCAGGCGATAAAAAAATGACCTGTTCCTTAACTAAAATTGAAACAACAAAATGAAAACGAGGCACAATGTCAACAAGAGGACATAGGAGATAAAAAGGAAACAGAGAAGAACAGTCAGAGCGTTGGCCAGAAGAAGCCCATTCCAATATAGTTGTTTTAATTTCTTGACGGACAGGAAAGTCTGTTTCTCCGCACCACACCTAGAATTTTGGCTCAAGAACTACTTTGTACCTTCTTTCATCAACATATGCTATGTCTTCGCTCTCCGACATTTTATACCTTTCACTCATCAGATGAACATCAGATCGAGATCAAACCTCATATGCACGCTTCGGGACAGACTTCTATTCGAAAGACTTTCTATAAATAGTTTTATTGGAATTGAAGTGTCCTTAGGCCTACACCACAAGCTTCTGTCTCCACTCTCTCATTCATTCCAGGTACCTCTAACTACCTGCACCCAGTACCCTGTTCCCGTTTCCCGAAGTCAACACGTTATACCAAAGAAAACTTCCTTACCTTCAGGGAAGGGTAAGGGTGTCTGTAGGTTCCTGCTTGGGGCAGAGGGGTTAAGAACCAATGTTGAAGAGGGCGTCAAGCTTTTAGATGACATGGTAGCTGAGAATGAGTCAATAGTTATATTTAATTTATTCTCAAGAACATTTCTCTTGTTCCTGAGAATTTGTAGTAAACCTTTGCCATCAAGAACTTGCGTGTGATTGGTTCCATTGTTAAGTGACGTCACCGTGACGTAAAAGGCCGTTCCAACTGCACTTGGATTCCCGGCCACGGAGTAAATACTGTATATTATCACATCTACCCGGGTGATATTGATTTTAGAGGGTTTAATATCAGGACGAAGTGCTCCGTTATTAACTGATGATGCATGAATTTGTGAGCTATGATGACCCGATTCTGAATCTCGTTTTATCCTTAGAATATCCGACAGAGAGTCGTCATTGAAGAAAAAATTTTGTGCCAAGCGCTTTTTACGAACACGTTTGGCCTCAAAGAACTTTTCTTCACCTAGGCAAAGGGATGAGTTCGTCATGCACGATTCCCAAATCACTCCTTCGATAATCTTCGAAACGACATGTACTTTAGGATAAAAGATCTCAACTGTAATGTTAATCATATTAATGTGAACTCCTTGTTGAGTTTTCCTATTGTCGACAAGATCCATACAACAGATTCCTTCCTTTTGACGCACTTCACCGCAATTAAAACAAACGCAAGTGACATTATTTATGTTACAAGTTAATGGAGCTTTCTCTTGCACAGCGACCGTAGACAAAAGCGACGTCTGAGCTGAGGTAAATGAAAAATGAGTTGTTGCTATGGGAAGCGAGATTATTGATGTAGTTTTGATGGAATTCACAGGCATTTCTGTCAAAGATGGTGTGTTCGTGTGTTTGACATGTCTTGATGTCGAAGTGAGTTTAGCGTACAATTCATCGGTACTTTTAATAAGAGTTATCGATGATGAAACTTTCGGAATGGGGGTACTTGAATCTTGAAACGTAGTGACACTTGTGATTGATAAAGACTCTTTGATGACCGCGGTATGTGAACTGGATGCTGACGAATGTTGAGAAGTTTTGTGAAGCTTTAGATCCGTCGACATGCTATGTGTTCGGGTCTTATCACCTGAAGAATAATACGACAAAAATGTTGATTTACTGCGATTTTTTCCCGGTGATAAATCACTTTTGCCAAGCAAGCTATCTGTAACATGCAAATTGGAGGTCAATGCGGAAATCAAGGCAGTGAATTTTTCATGAGGGCGCAATATCGTTGACGAAAACCCCGCGATTTCTGACAAATTACGACGCTGCTTAAAAGAACTCTGAAATAAAAACGTTGGTGTGATAGACATGACTGTAGTACCTTTAAAATCACTGAGCGAAGATGATGTTTTTGTGCTAATGATAACTCTCTTATCAAATGTGCTGATCATTTCATATCCTGATCGTGAGCGGCTGCTGTCTCTCATGTCGCTTGCTTCTACGGGTTTCGAGCTCAAAATGGATGCCATTTTTGATCGATGCTTCGTATACGATGCTTTTGACTTAATAGAAATTTCACCTCCTTCTCTTGTACTCTGAGCGCTGCGGTTTTCACTTTGAAGTGTTTCTCCCACAATTTGACTGCGTGGTGTTGCTTCTGAGAGTCGAACATTCGTTTTAAAACTCGCGGACGACGACACTTGCGTTGAGCGTGTTGGTTTTTCGGAGCCTCCTGTGAGGACACCAAATTGAGAAATATATCCATCGTTAACAGAATTAATAACAGTTTCCAAGCCTGATAGCTCTTGAGACGAACGAACACTTTGTCGAGGTACTACGCCAGAGAGAGTTGGCTTTGAAGTAAAAAGCACAGATTGCAGTGGCAAAAGAATGGAGGTATCAGTAATATTCGCGTAAGTAAGGCTGGAAGATTCGCAAGCAGAAATCGGCAACAGAACAAGGAAGATAAATCCGCACAAACAACAGCTTCGGACGACTTCCCACGCGCAAACTGACTTCTTACTTAGTACAGTTTTCAAGGACAACATATCCAAGTATCTTGCTGCTTACTTCAACATTCTTAACTTTTCGTTGACACCAAATTTGCGTGAAAGTACACACTCTAGCTCTTCATTGAAAACCGGTGCATTTCACCCGCCGCGAAAAATGATACAATAGCTGAACTTTAGTACAGAAAAACACTGCCAACACAATATCGAGTTATTAACCGTCTCCTCTTATTCAAACACACTGGAAAGTAAACAATACTGATTGACACGACTAATTCTTAGAACAGGTGGCGACTTCATTTTGACCAATAACATGCTTCGCGACATCGAAACAGCTCCCTTGATTACGACTGCATTTCACATCGAAGTAATTTTCATCTTATGATTTTAGTTGCCTTCAGCGTTTTTCTCCCTGCCAATAAAATCTCTTAATTGTGATTGCTGCAGAGATAATGGAGTTTTATAACCAAACAAGAAACCACACGGACCGGAAAAACAAGACAAATATACATGCGGAAATTCGAAAAAAAAATGATTTACTAGTTTTATTAAATATTCAGTTTTTCTTTATGCCAAACGCGAGGGCGGATACTCTTTCACAACTTAGAAAACGAATTTGTTGCTATCATTCGGTAAAAACTTCTTTAAGAACTCGCAAAGAAAACAATAAGTTGAAAGATTCTCTCTGGGAGATAGCAGAATGACCCTATTTTGACAAATTTCTACTTCGTTTAAATCCTTTTTAAAAATGCATTTAGATCTTTTCGTGGAACTCCCGATGTAATTAAAATCTATTTTCATAATATTAGTTTATTTAAATTCGCCATGAGTTATTATCACATTATCAGAACATAAGAAGGCAAATTGTCGACAAATTTCATTGAAAATTAGAGGAAAGCAATTTCATCTTTCTTTTCTTCATACACGGTGCACGAAACAACACTAGGGATTTAGGAATAAATTTACTCGTCTCATTTGTAAACATTTTGAACTGACATTTCAATTTTTTGTCATTTTTAAATAAATTTGTCGAAGGATACCCTCATCGCATGAGTTTTCTTAGCCGTCATGGTTTAAAATTCCGATTAAAATTTCTTTTCTTTTCGAGTATTGACAGCGGCTAATTTTTTTTAGCTCATTTCCTAGGGCCCGACATCAAGTAGAAACTGAAATATATTTCCTAAAACTAGTAATTTATTTTGTACCGAGCCCTTAGGGTTTTGTTGTTTAAAATTCAACTTTGAAAGCATCCATTTAGCGAGGAAATCTCCAAGATCTAAATAACAGAATTTAAGAACATTTCGGAGAGATAAGGGTTGTTCGTGACCAAAATATGCTACTCGCAAATTATCCGCACGGCGACAGCCCATCAATTTTGGCTCAACTGGGCAATCTGTTTCATTTAAATTGTAATTTTCCCTCGATGCATACCTCTAAAACCTCGAGTCTTTTCCCCTATCTAAATTGGATCGTGTGCTTTAAGAATTTGTCTCTTAAACTTTTGCGAGATGCAGTAATTGATTCTTACACTTCTCCTAATGGAAATATGAAATGTTCTATTTTGGTAACAAAAGATTCACTGATAGAATAGTACAACCACTATAACGTCTAATTTGACTGCTTTAATGCAACACATTGTAGAGTATTTGAAAAGACCCAGAAAAAATGTTAAAAGATGTGAGAAAAAAGAAAAAAAAATAAACATTTGAAACAATAAACTAGTAAAATGTACTATTTATATCCTAAAGTATCGAAATTCACCGAAATTCAGGACACAAATTTTGATCATCTATTTATTTCTAGAGAGAACCGTTCGTTTGGAAAATTTATTTTGCGGCTTTTGCAAGTTCTAGACAAAACAATAAATTCACAGCGAACAATTCTTAGTAATTATATCTGATTACAAAAAGATATTTCATAGACTAAGAAATTACACGCAGAATTCAAAGAATATTGGAAAACAAGATTACGAAACCGATTGCTAACTCGAAACTGAAAGAAATGAATTAACGAAGACCAGAAGGCGCTACATAAGATTTGTAATGAATTTCGAGCTTGCGAATCTAGCCATAGCCACACACACTCGTTACGTCTATCTTCGTATCAAAAACTCAAGTTCTAATGGCGATTTTGCAGGAGTGAGCATACACTGTACGTTTTATTGAAGGTTTGACACTCTTTCTCTAAAATTTTTAGGTTGAACTAATTAAATCTAAAGTGTGCCATACAACTTGCATTTGACAAATTTTATAGTCCTCCAACGTAATATGCAGCAGCTGCACGATTTTCTGTTACCGTGTATGGTATGTTCAGTTTCTGAACAATTCAAGAGCGTGCATTTTCGATAGGGCGAAATAAAGGTTGAAAAAACCTCCTACTCTTAAATGGATCTTCAATTAAATAGTATTTTTAGCTTGGATTTTGTGAAAAAAGGTTTGTTTGCGTTCTCTGTTGTGTATTCAGATGTGATTCCTCTGCGCCTGAAGGTAACATATCTATACGAAAAAAACCGCTTGTGATCGACGTTCATGATGAAAATTTCAGTGACGTGAGTTGAAGCCGCACTGTTGTAAGATTTACAGAGTTACATGTAGGATCACACTTTTTCAAGTAGGATGAGGAAAAATGAAGACGGCGACGGCAAAGGAAAAAGAGGTAAGCAAGATTTATCAATCAAGAGATGAAAAGAAACTTACGAAAATAAAAGAAAATATGCATAGAGAGGGTAAGGAAAGGAAAGAGAGAGAATATAAACGAGACAGAAGTGTTCACAATGAAAAGAAACGTAAAGAGATGGGCAGATTAGAGGAGGGAAAGAGGGAAACCAATGGTAAATGTACCTTCATGACAAAGAAATTAAAAGAAGTGGAAAAATGAGCGCCTGAAGGAGATAGAAAATATGAGAACGAGAAAGAATTGGTGCAAAAGAAGAAAAGGCGGAGGAAGAAGAAAAAGTGAAGACAAAAAGCGAGCACAACGAAGAACGGATGAAATGGATGAGGAGGGGAAAACATGGAAGAAGCTGAACGAAAAGAGGAAGAAAAGGATTTTGAAGAAGAATTCACCTCCAAATATGTATAACGTGCACTGCAGGAAAAAAGCTGTGACTGAAAACCGCACAGGTTTTTGATTGAAAATGAGTAATCACTGCAGAAGTAAGAGCGGAGTTGAGTAGCGAAAGAACTAGCAAATAGAAGTATTTAATTTAATCTGAACAGTTAGTAATGTAAATGGTTACTGTATTGAGATATGGTCACGTGAATGTCATGTTACTGTGTGAAGGACTGTCATATACAATAAACAATAGAAACTGACAAACAAACGTGATGGAACAAAACAGTCGATAACACAAAACCAAACAAAAATAAATGACGTGAAATTGGGATTACTATTTAATGTTTAGAAGCGTCACGTGACAGCAAGGACTTTTGGGGCCAGTGTCACAGTGAAATGTGACAAACGTGGACTGAGGGGGTGGAATAGGGACGGAATTTCACGCCATCCCTGGCTTGATATGGAATCGAGAGAGAAGGCGAACATGCGCTGAGAACACAAATCAGTGTGGTAAAGAATTTTACGAAATTGTCTATGGAGTGAATCAAAATAAAAGCCTGGGATGATGAAAGTTGCGGAACTGATCTGGTAGATTGGAAACGCAAGCAGTGAGGCGAAAGGGACGATTTTTTTTTCTGATGACAGTCCCTCCCGGACAGAAAGTTAGTCGGTAAGTGACAAGCAGGGTTTGTTAGTCAGCGGTTAGACGTCAAAACATACATTAGGATTACTCAACATGCATCTTAATTATGACGAAAACTTAAGTTTAGCCACAGACTTTTCAGCTCGATTCTGGCACAAATTTGAGATAAAACGAAGCAAATCATTCGTCCTGAAATTATCCCCTCTTTTACAAACTCAGTTAAGATGACAAAGGTTCACATCTACCTTAAAAATCTTTGCAAACGTTTCCCTATCAAGCCAGAGACAACGTTTCTCAAAACAAAATTAAAACTCATTCACTATACATAGGGTACACAACTAATTCTAAACATTAATTCTAAACGATGAATTTTGACATTTTAAAGCTGAAGTCTTCAGCATCTCCCAATTCTATTGCCCAATTTCACGTCACAATTCCATTTCCCAATTTGGCAATTTCCCAATTTCCCAGTCTCCCAATTTCCCAATTTCCCAATTTCCCAGTCTCCCACTTTCCCAATTCCAATTTTCTAATTTTCCAATTTTCCAATTTCGTTTTCCTCCCCGTACCCAGTCCCTCCTCTAAACTAACTTAAAATTATTGACTGTTGTGTAGGGTCCTCGTTATGCATATGTGGTGCATACAGACATGAACTATCTCAACATGCCTATGGTCCGACAAAAATTTTACCGACTGTTACAATAGCACAAATGACACGAGCGAACGAAGTACGAGACAAGATGAGCGAGCTAGCAGCAGAGAGAACCGTCTTAGTTTGAAACGGTTTTTTTGGGCTTTGCACTTTGTTTCACCCCTAAAGGTCAAATACGAGAAATACTAATCTTTGGAAACAAATAAATGAACTAAGTCAAAGGAGACTATCGCTTTTGCATAAATGTCAGGCCCCGGTTGTTTTAAGTCGAATAATGCTATGTATGTATGTATGTAACGCTATATACTGGATAAATCTATCCGGAGGACAACACAGCACATTTTGTTGAAACTCATCCGCTGGATAGTGAGTTATCCGTCGGATAGCGTTTTCTGCAACTGGGCTCTAATGGAATCACATTAAAAGGTTTGTTATGAAAAATTGATTTTAATTATATCAATCCTTGCAGGGATAGTTCTATGAGGCACTCGTCGAGAGGCGTTTTGAAATTCCGTAAAGATTCGAATTAGCGCCCACGACACTTATCTCCTTTTTCTACCTCAGGGCAGGGGGGGGGCTTATTTCTTTTTTGAGGAACAGCAGAAAGTGCGGGAATAGCTCTGATGTTTATTTGAAAAGGATCAATAGGACTGGAAAACGGACTTGTTGTCCCTGGATTCTTCCTTGCTAGAGCGACCAACCAAGCGATCGTCATAAAATTTTAAGAGAGATCATTCATTTGAAGGAACTGTGCATTCACGTGGACAGAACAGTTGAAAGAATGTGACGAAGTCCATTGTTTTTGTAACGAGGCTTAAAGTGAGTGGCTTAAAGGAAGATGAAACTTGGTTGATCTCAAGGTACATGTACTGTAGCAGTGCTATCACTGAAACAGAATAAAGGCGCTTATTGGAATGAGAGGGGCGCTTATCAGAGAGGGGGCATTGGAACGAGGGCGGCCAAATCGAATCAATACAGTTAGTTATTGGACCCCTTTTGAGAGAATTTCAGGAAAATAAAGCGAGTTCATGGTTTTAGTATAGGAGTGAAACAGAAGTGCGACTTAAGTAAAGACCCAGGATACTCCTGTACATAGTGAAAGCTCTTGCAATATTTGTCGTATTCGTGCCGTAGTTTTGGATAATTCACACGCGAGACAGAAGAAGTTCTCTCCCAAGTGTTTGATCTCTCGCACGCAAAGTACGCGAGTACACTTCTACTTAGCGCCTGTACTCACCATTACAAAAGTTGCAGGCTTTTGGACATATGCTCCTCATTTTTCTTCTGTGATTCTTACAATATCCATCTTGTTGAATGAACTGGGAACAATCAGCGATTTTGTCTTCACAAGGCACTGAAAGGAAACCAAAGGAATCACTCCAGTTATAAACGTCGATCATTCCAGTGTAACTTTTCTTGGGAGAAATGCGCACGAGATAATTGCATTACAAAGAGCGCAGAAAATGCCCATTACAGAGCGAGGAGAATTGACATTTGGGCAAAGTTGCATAGAGAAACTTCAACTCCTTTGCAGATTATCACAGAAACCATTCTTCTCCCCTCCTCCCTCCTCCCCCCTCCCCAACAATTTGAGGCACATTTTACCGGAATCCATAAATACTCCGGAATGGAAAGGGATTTTGTGAAAGGAGAGTGACCTATCAAAGAACGCAACACAGTGACCCGATTTGGGCTCGAAGCCGGAAATCTCCATCCAGAGTCCAACGTGAAACCAATAAACTCCATGTCCCCTGTCAACAATAGGTAATAAATATGCCTATATAAACTGGTTACCAGGAGCAAGCGGGCAGATTCCGTTCAGGCTGATACTCGGGCAGATACATTTATATCTGTCTTCCAACCGCTGACAAGTTGCACCATTGTGACAAGGATTCTTTACGCAAGGATCAGCTATGGAAACAAAGGGATGACCCGTTAAGATATCTAAGATGTAAATGTTTCAACTAAGCTAGATATTATGATTTCTTTCATTACTTTGTTAGGAAACAATGGACCATGTCAGCCGCCGTCTGTTTTCGGACTGTGAGCGAGTGAGTGCGTGAGGAAGTGAGTGAGTGGGTGAGTGGGTGAGTGGGTGAGTGGGTGAGTGGGTGAGTGGGTGAGTGGATGCGTGGGTAAGTGGGTGAATGGGTGAGTGGGCAAAAGGGGGGAGAGAGTGAGAGGGTGAGTGTATAAGTGGGTGAGTGTATAAGTGGGTGAGTGTATAAGTGGGTGAGTGGGTAAGTGGGTGAGTGGGTGAGTGGATGCGTGGGTGAGTGGGTTAGAGGGTGAGAGAATGAGAGGGTAGTACATAAGTGGGTAAGTGGGTGAGCGAGTGATTGGATGCGTGGGTGAGTGGATGCGAGAGTGAGTGAGTTGGAGGGTGAGTGGGTTAGTGAATGAGTGCGTAAGTGGGTGAGTGCGCGAGTGGGTGAGTGCGCTAGTGGGTGAGTGGATGTGCGAGTAAATGGGTAAGAGGACGCGTGGGTGAGTGAGTCAGTGGGTAAGTGGTTGCATGGGTGAGTCAGTCAATCATTCAGTTGGTGAATCAGTCATCAGTTAATCTGTCTTTCAGTCTCATTCCTCATTAGTCTGTCTCAGTCTGTCAATCTGTCTATTTGTCAGTCGGTCAGTCCGTCAGTCTGTTGGTCTGTCAGCATGTCAATCATTCCATCGGTCAATTCGAATAGTCTCAGGTAGATACGTTTTCTTCGCACATTACCTTTCATTTGATGACAGCATTTTATTGAAGACGTTGTCTCCGTTAGAGCAGACAAAAAAGCCAATTCAACATTATCCCAAGACAACTCGTATGACCAAATAGTAAAGTGCCCGATGCTGAACCCTCCATACGAGTAAATCTTAGTCAAGGAGTTGGGTTTTCCAATAGTCATTTTGTCTTTAGCATTTCTTCCATTCCTTAAAAAATCCGGCTTTTGGCTCTTCACGGCTAATTTACCATTCTTGTAGAACTTCAGACCATGCTCTCGACTCCAAGTAAAGGCGAAATGAAACCACCATTTGGGAAGAGAGTCGAGAAGTATTCTCCACCTGTGCGAATGGTTGGAAAGTTCCAAGACAAATCTCCTTGACGACGTCAAGTGGGGTCCACAGTTTTCACAAATTAAGCGGTAGCCTGGGCCGAGCGAACTTAAGGTGTAATGTCCACTTGAAATGATGAATTCACCTACAATGAAAAAATAAACTGTAGGAATAGAATCGAATGAAAATCAAATGTAGGAATTCAAAAAGATTTCCTTTGAACCCGACTAACCGACAAACTAAAATGTCGAACTGCCTCAGCAACGAACATACGCACTGCCGAACAAACTGACAGACTGACGAGCAGACAATCTGACGAAGTGACTTACTGACGAAATAGCGAACTGACGAACTTACGAAGTGACGAGGTGACGAACTGACGAACTGACGAACTGACGAACTGACGAACTGACGAACTGACGAACTGACGAACTGACGAACTGACGAACTGACGAACTGACGAACTGACGAACTGACGAACTGACGAACTGACGAACTGACGAACTGACGAACTGACGAACTGACGAACTGACGAACTGACGAACTGACGAACTGACGAACTGACGAACTCAAGAACTGACGAACTCAAGAACTGACGAACTCAGGAACTGACGAACTCAGGAACTGACGAACTCAGGAACTGACGAACTCAGGAACTGACGAACTCAGGAGCTGACGAACTCAAGAACAAACAAATAAACGAACAGAAGGACAAACTAATAAAAATGAGAGCAGCTTGACGAACCTACGAATCAACGTTTGATAAATGGACACAGCGGGCAAACAGAAAAAGCCCTCACACAAACAAACAAACGAAGATGGCGACGAACAACAACTGAACAAAAAAACAAAAGTGACATCCATTTTGCTAACGAGAACCTAACACGAATGAGTTTTGTGCGGTAGTCTGGATAAATCTAAGAAGGAGGAGCATTGTTCTCGATCGTGGACCAAAACAAGTTTTACTACTCAAAGACTATGAAAAATATTATATATTCTGTCAGACAATAATTTTACAACCTTTTCTTATGTGAGAGAGCAAATGCCTTTCAACACCATTACTATCATTTCCATTTGCCCCTCCCCCCTGAGTCAAGTTTTTGTCTTCCTTCCCCGGCATGCCTTTGCTCAACTCCTGCTCATTTGGATAAATGGACACAGAAAACACTACTACGCGGACCATACCATTTAAGGATTCTTACCTTTGATGTATTTTATCCAAAATGCCACCGACAAACCTTCTTTGCAAGAAGAAGGGTCCACAATGCATTTCTCTTTGAAACCCGTCAGTTCGATGAAGTCATCCTTACCATCTAGTGTCAGTACTTCTCCAATTTGATCATTGGTCGACTGCTTCGCTCCATTGTTAACGTCACCGGTGATGTTTCCTCGTAAATCCTTCACCCTTTTATCCTGAGAAACGTCACTGAATGGCAAATAATGCGTTGCTTCGGGAAATAGTCCACCTAAGGATTGCATAGAGCAACACGTAAGGTATCTTTTCGCTCTAACTCACGGTAAGTCACCAACACTGCTTTTGTTTAGTCTCAAAGCAGTTTTTAAATGGAGTGTCGACCCCTTATTGCATTGGTTTTGCTTTACTTCGCTCTCTGATTGGTCAAAAAACCTCTCGTCACCCTCTCGACCAATCAGAACTAAGACTATAACCTATCGCGACGTGGTTATCCGCGTTTTCCCGCGTACTTCACCGGCTCCAACTCTCATCTTTGATTTCTCAATGAATCCTTGTGATACCCTCCTTTCTTCACCGGTTTCCGTGCAGTTTTCTAAATACACACAAATTGCCTTATTCTGAGGATAACTACAGAATATTACTACGGTAAGTTAGCCAAACATTAAAAAGGAAAGCACAAACCAAGATAGCGCAAAGATGAAATATGGATACAGAAGATTAGCTCGGATTGCGAGCTTGAAAAATTTTGACGAAGGTTTTCAAGACGCTTCGGTTTTGCAAATTCTTACAATCTCGTATTCAATGACGGTGAAATATCAAATCCAACTAGGATCAGGATTTGAATCAAAGTCTACCCTCAGAGGCAACTAAATGTAAAGCCAGTCCAAAAATCGAAACAATGGTATGACAAATGGGTATGAAAAATAGGAAAATGGAATGGAGAAGATCGATTATTTGACATGGAAAAAAGAGGAACAGGAAATCGGGAACGTAGAACGCAACCTGGGAACGGCTTGTGGGCCGGCAACTATGAACAGAGAACTTGGAAATCTGATTGAGGACGGAAAATATTAATATCAGTGCATTGTCCGAAATTTGTCATTAATAACGAATGTAAAATTTATACCACAACTGATGATAAAATGCTTGGAACATTTAACCTATCGAGCAAAAGACTCCTTGAAAATTGAACAGAAACGCAGCCCCGCCCCCTAGCTAAAATCTTACTCCACAACTCAGAGACCATCCATACATTTTACGTTCCTTTTTGTCCAACTTTGCTTGAATTTTCAAATGAATTGTTTTGTTATCCAGTCCTATTCAAATCTTCAGATGTTTTATTTCAAAAGATTGCCTTACACTGCTCGGTGTAAGGTGAACGAATGCAACGTGGCACGATTATGTGGCAGACAACGATCGATTTAAAAATAGCTTCTGGTGAAACTGAAGAGATTAACCATCACAGGTTTTCCTTAAAATAGCTTCTGGTGAAACTGAAGAGATTGACCATCACAGATTTTCCTTTTGATTTATTTATTAGCACTGATAAACAAGCCAAGCGGATTTTCGTTATTTTGGTAAACATTTTTGAAGTTTCTTGACACATCCTGTTATTTGCTTGCAAGTGATCGATAACTATGAAAGCAAATTAACCATGTTTAAAATTTCCACACCGACTGGTACATACGCATTCTGTCCGATACGGAATTATTGTGAGTTAAGCTCATTATCAACTAAAAACAAGAGCGTACAGTGAAAGTTAAACTTAGACTTGGGTGGTAATCAGTTCCTTTTCTTTACTTTCGCCTACGAATAAAGGCGTACTTCATTTTGCTTATGAAAAGTTGGAAAATAAAAATACCACAGTCCATTAATCATTGCTCACGAAGCTTATTCGAATTTGAACTGAGCAGCGAAGGATGAATTGCGTTGGACAGACCATTTAAATGAGAAATATCGAGTGCTTCTATTCATGCTTTTATAACCGAAAGCAAACATAAATAAGGAAGTCGGAGCAGGCGGCCGAATCGTACATATACTTTCAATTCACAACACGAACAAATTTACCACATGATAAACGTCCTTCGATAAAAAGGTAATCACAGCTATTCTCATGCATCAAAACGAAAATTTATTTTTAGCGTGGAAAAAAAAAAATATTTCGGACAACTAGCACAAATTATTTTGAAAGTACACAAATCTTAGAAGAAAGCAAAATAAGGAAAACATGTTGTATGGGGCGAGCAATGAAAACTGAGTCTAATCTTAAAAATTGCGGTCCAAAGAAATTAATTCAAAGTCGAGAAACGGTGAATGTCCATTCTCGATTTAAGGATGTTAAAATGATTCTTTTTAAGGGAAAAATAATAAAACAATCACTACTTGCGATTGGAAAGAAAATTTACATTGTAAATTTTGAAACATTTGAAACACGTTTAATGAAACATAAAATACGGCGGATTTGAATTTGTGAAATAAAAAAATTAACACTTCCCTTTGTGCCGTCTTTGCAAAATTTCTTTCAGCTCGTAACAAGATTTTAAAAACACAAAATGTACTTCTGAAAAAGATGGAGTAAAATAAACCTTTATAAACTGCATGCGGGAAAAGAAGCGGTCGATATATTAACTTATATTATAATTTTTTCGAATACTTGTTTTAGCGCGCATTTTGGTTGCCAAAGCGTGCATCAAAAACATTAACAGGAACAGTGCACGATTTCACGGCAAATAAAAACGGGGAACCAACCTTCTAATTTGGCAAGCCCGTCTACTTTTCTGTGTCGTCTCTTGAAACGGTTTGCATGGGAAACTCCAGCAAAATAAATGAGGAGAAACACCAGTACTTCTGAGTACGGAGTTAAGTTCATTTGTCGATAAATTAAGCCAGCGGAGAAGATCACAAAACTAATTACATTTAGGATGGATTCTTGATTCACATAAAAAAAAATATCAACGCTATGCTACTTCACTTCTCGTTACGTGCCGGCTTCAAACCGCGAAGGAGTTGCTGCCATAAAGTTGAGTCAGCGCGACGAACTTTGCACGTTGCTTCGTGCAGAGAACGTTTTGTCAGTTTCTCGTGAATCACCTGTATTGTATGTAGTTTCAATGCAGATGAAACCTTATAATTTATTCATGTGTGATCTGAACGATCGCTGTTCAAAATGCTAATTAACTTCTTTCGGAAACACAAAAAGCAGTTTTTAATTTGCACTGCCGATTGAGAGAATCTTCCAACACTAATGCTGTTGAAACGCTACAAACAAAGTGTCAATTGCACTTAACGCTATCTTTAAGCGCCTGATTTCAAACTAGAGCCTCAAAACAACGGTTTTTAAGCGGCTCAGACAGCACAGGAGCTCGCTTTAAGCTTCTTGAGCAGTTCTTGTTTTGTTCAAATTACATCAAATAAAAACACAAATGCAAAACTTTTCTAACTAACGAGTTGGGAACCAATAGCAAAAGATGTGCGTCACTGCACTTGATCTAAAATCTCAATGAAAACGCAGACATTGTCAGACAATGTAAGTATTTGGAATACGTACAAACAAATCCTGAACTCCGACGGAAAACAATACTAAAATAATTCTTGTTTTTTTATGTCTACAAAAGATTTGAAAATGAAATATTCATCAGTAGGAATTCCTTTCAGTTTGTAACCAACTAGGTCGAGGAGTGATTTTGCGCAATTGCCAAATATCACAATACCAACTCAAGCTAAGCCCAGTTTTGTGCATCACCTTAAATATCCGAAACTTTTTATCACTTTTTTTTTCATTCTCTGCTCATTAACTTAGTAAAGCATTTAAAATACGAACTAAGAATTCTTCAGAGTGTAAAGGATTGAATTCTTATGCATTCTGTTACAAGGCCCACATTAAGTGGAACAGAAATTCTTAATGAAAGTTTTGTCAAGGTTTATTTAATCAATTGAAAGCCTTAAAGGTTAAACTACGCTAGCTGACCAGATCTAGATGAAACTAAGATGATAAATAAAAAAAAGTCCATTTGAAATGCATACAGCAAATTCTAATAACTCCACACAAACCGCATTAATATAAACATCTTTCCAAGGTGCTTCCAAATTAGTCAGTATTATTTACTGAATGATTGTATGCGCGTTCCTTTTGCGGTTTGTGTTTTGAAAGCCGGAGAGCCTCCATAAATAATTATCGTCTCGAGTATTTTTTAGACATAGTAATTGAATAGATAAAAACAATCTTATTACAGTAAGTAGCTTAGATTTCTTGTGTTGTTAGAAATGTGGTTAGTTCTTGCATGACCTTTCCCTTCGAATTTTTTTTCCATTCAAATATTCCTAGTATGAAAAAGTGTAACAACTTTGAAAAAAATCTAAAAAGACTTCGAGATAAATTAGCTTTGTTATTCTGTTTACGACTGAAATCTAGTGAAAAATTACACTGGGTTGAAGACAGAAGTTTGTTCGTGTAACTTTGTGGTCCAGTATTGACTGACGGAAATTTGCGCATACAAAAGGAAATGAGAAAACACTTTCTTGTTGAAACAAAAATCTCCGCAAGAAAAAGAAGAGTTGTACTTAAGACTTCTTCTTGTCTCTTTAAAATCAATAAAATCACAATTTCACACGCGACGAGTTGTAAAATTAAATCTTTGTTCACGTAAACATACCCAGAGTATCCCACGAGTCGGTACTTTCAAAAACAATCGTTCTATACCCGACAGACGTGCGAACGTTCGAAACGTCCTTTAAAACTCTTTACGTTGGCCAATTTACGTCATCAACTCAGTTGATAATACGAAATTACCATGATATACTCTCCCACCGACGCAGCACCACAGTTTCTTAAAAAACTTACTCCCTATATTAAGATTACATACACGACAGATTTCAGAGCTTTGTTATGACAGCACTTTTCAAACACTTTGAAGAGAAGCACTTTCTTCAAAAGTCAATAACTCGTTCGATTTTCCCTTATGGACAATTTCCAACCGAATTAAATATTGCCGGAGGGATTTGTTAATTTCACAAACGTGATGCAAGCAACGTCGACTTTTAATGGAAACTAAAAGCTACTAAAGTTTCCAGGACTTAAGCTATCGATAACTCAAAAAATATGTATAAATTCTCTTTAGTGTACAACAATTAGCGATAAGTATCAACAGAAGAGGATTACAAAGTGAGAGGATTTCGGTTTACACTAAATAAAAAAAGACTCACAAATGTATCCGAAACAGGATTTTTTGTAGATCACCAATTTCTATTCTTGCGCAGATTTTTGAACAGCAAATTCCGGTTTTTAAAAGTGAAACAACAATTTTTCTCTATAGATTTCTAGCTATTTCTTCTTTTTGAAAGTCATCACTGGTAAAAAAAAAAAACTTTGCATTACATGAAGGTTTTAAGTTCCATTTAAAAAGTATATTTCAACATTTAGCGCTCTTTTCTTGCAAATAAGCATGTCCTGAATAATGGTTTATTACATTTGTCAAGGTTCTATGAACAAAAGGTTGAGGCACAACTGTTTTGTTGAGACAACTAACTCTTTGTTACTTCATCACCGCTTTGAAGTTGCCCTCAAGAAAGAAGATTTTTAAAATTAATACCCATGAAACATTATGAGCGTGGGATACGGTACATCTGTTACCTCTCGATTATTTTGATACAGAAATAATGCATTCATTGACATGATTGTGAGTGGAAAAGTAAAACCGTAACGAAAATTAACGTTTCTTTGGTTCAGTAAAGTGTATTACTGAATTCGGCTACTTGGTAAACAGCTTAAGAGTCTTGAGCTGTTTACCAAGTAGCCGAATGTCACTTAGTTTTCAGTATGCCTCTGAAGTTTAGAACTAAAAAAAATATCTTGGAGCTCAAAAGATATCGGCGTCACCTAAATAATGTTGATTTTCGAGTGGTCATAGCAATCCTCTCAATTACACCCCTGTCGCTAAGTTTTCACGATTTTAGACGAAGAACTGTAAACTAGCCGGAAGGTCCTGTATCGCGCCGAGAGGCTGGACTCTCAAAGATTTAGGAGTTGCCTTTAAAAAGTGTGGTTCGAAAAAACTATTGAGAATCATTTTGAACATTTTGTTTAACTTCTGTGGTTAAAACAGAAAATAAAGGCTTCCTCTGCAACATGACTACCCGAAAAAGCCGATGCGGAATCTCGGTCTTTCTTACAGAGTTCTTCCCATCCACCTCATACAAAGGGCTTGGGTTGCGTGAAGCAGAAGGAAAGCTAGGTGTTTTACTACAGGTGGATTCGAAACTAAATTCAACTATTCCACGGTTACACTTTCGACTTCTTAATTCTGAAAGCAACGGTGGTTGATAATTTCCGAAATCTTCCGGGTAACGTAAAATTTTTGTTTGTTCTTTCACCTCTGGTGTAACCCGCTAGCTCATTTCAACAGATTTTTTTACCCTTCTTCAAGGACTCAAAATATTATGAAGTAGCTGCTTTAATTCCGAAAGCATCCAACGGTTGTAGCCTACTTTATCTACCCCCCTCGACCAATAGACTGTACCCAGTCCTCTTCTTTCCCGTCGATGCAAGGTTGAAAAGAAACGTGCAAGAACTGGGTACCAAGTCTGCAAGTCATTGATAGAGTAGACGCCGAGAGTGGAAGGAGGAAGGACGTCAGTTTGCCAACATTCCTCTTTCCACTACACTCACTTTTAGAAGAGAAACTTCTTACCGCTGCAGCGACCTTCGTCTTTCTTCTCTATCCGCTGCTGTACTCGACATACTTCTTTCCTCATTACGCACATATTCAGGTAGGTTTTGCCGTCGGTGCCACAAATGATTTCTCTGCCGTTAGGGCAAGTATGTTGAGGGCATCTACATTCGACATAACCATGCGAAGTGTTCACACAGCGATCATGGTACTCACACGTCAGTCCGTCACAAGATTCGCCTGATAAGAGAAATAAGAGCGGATTCATATGTGAGCGCCCCGCATACTGCTAGGATTATCGTTGTCGAAAGCGAAATAATAGTGATAATTATAAGCGGAATTAAGTGGTGGACTTTCCACTAAGTGGCTTTTCTCGTCCATTGTTTCCAGGTCAAATTTAAAGTTAGAATGTTGGTTTTCGTAGGGGGAGGAAAACTGGACGACTAGGTGAAAAAGAGCATGGACGAGAACCAATCAAAAACTCAACCTTCATGTGACGCCAGGTCCGCGAATTGAACCCAGGCCACAGAGAACGGGTGAGCGCGCTCACAACCGGGCAGGTCACGTATCAGATTTGAACCTAGTAATTGTTTCCTGTAGCTTAACGGTAGGGTATGGGAGCACGAAACCTGAAAGTCTTGAGGTTCGATCCCTCGCGGATGGGGACTCATATTTTTCCTGACCAACATCTTTCTTTATTCAAACATCAAGCTCAAAATTTTTCTTTGTCATTATTCTATTTATTTATTTTCCTATACCCTGTGCAAATAAATAATTATCTCACCTACTCTCATGTACTTACAGCCTCATGAAATTAACTCACCTCTTTTACCTCTCCTGGCTGTAGTCGGAGTCCTTGGCCGTGAAGTCGGGTTTGTAGTTATCCCACCACCCGCGGGACTCCCGTTAGTCGGGACCACCGTGGAGGGATTGCGGGATTTCCGAGATATTCTGGACATGAACGTCGACGAAGTCTTCAGTGTCGGTTTCAGCGTGGTGATAGGATGCGAAGGACCTGGAACCAAGCAAGGGTAAAACATTGGTACGATGATTTTGCCAATGAAGTCTATAATTTAACGGAGGTACTCCCCTACTTTTCCCTTACCCTATCACAGAGTCAAATATATATATATATGTATGTAATTCTCTGAATGGAAGTCGGAATTAGGAGTCGACTCAGCCCTGTCTCGTGCTTTCGAGGTAAAACATTGAAACTAGGGAAGTAGTAACTGAAACAATTCTTCGGGTTTAACGGAACAGATTTGTCAAGGATCGCTTAATATTATGTAAAAAGGGCATCAAGAAGTTTTCTCATTTATTTTGAGCGCTTTCCGATTGAGTTTCTCAGAATCAAAACCAAAGTAATCACAACAGCAAATCAGAAGAGAGGAAAATGCATTTCAGAACCAATGAGAGCTCAAAGTAGAAACAAACCAAATTGCTTAAAGCGCGGGAAAACGCGGGCGACCAAGTCGTGATTGCGTTAAGTTTTGCATCTGATTGGTTGAGAGAGTGGTACGAGTTTTCTGAACCAATCACAGAGCGGAGTAAAGCAAAATCAATGAAATCCCGGATGACTTTCGGCGCTTAATTAAGTGAAAATTGTTTTAATCCCACCAAACAGTCATAACTATATGCATGAAAGTCGCATGTGGATTTTTATGACGGAGGTGTCAATCAATTTTTACGTTCAATCCTTCAATTCAAGTTTAATAGAGAGGGCGACTTACTCACCACAGTAATTGCAAGACTGCGGACAAATTTCTCGCATTTTTCTTCGTTTGCAGTATTCAGATTGTTTAGCGAACACGTCGCAACTTCTACTCTTGTCCTTACATACACCTGTTATCTTTGCTGAAAGAATTTTTGAAAAAAAATTCAGTAAAATTCATGAAATTTTATTGTATGCAGTGAACACAGCGGTCAAACGTTGGTCATGCGCGAGTGGATCAGTTGTAGCCGGCCGCGCGCCGATTTACCGCACAAAATTTAAAAGAAAACGCTCATAACAAACAACTACTGTCTCGCAAAATAGGTGAAAGATAGTCGAAACGTCCATAGAAATCTGTAAAAGGAAACAAAAGTAGAGGAAATGAAAACTCTAGACTTTTGCAACAAAAGGCTTATTCAAGTACGAGAATCCTCCTGATTTACCATTCTGTTTGGAGCTATACCAAAAAAAGGTTAGACGCATTTAAAACACCGTGACTTACTGGCTTGTGTGGTTGTTTGTAACTCGCGTGAGACATCAGAAAGCATGTAACCTTTTCATTACAACGTTCGCTCATGCACAGACGTTTGACCGATGTGTTTATGCAGGGTTGTTCAAAAGATTTTGAGTAACCGGACTGTGATACAAAATAAGCCACACAAAGACATGCTTCCATGTTGAGAATTGAGGCAATAGCATTCAGAATATATGGCGAATTTTTCAGAGTAGACGGTGAAATGTACCAGTTGCCAATCACTTTTAACAACCCTGCCTGTAAGATTGGGCACTTGATGACAACTCTAAATTATAAAAACTGAAATTTCTCCAATAGCATTTTTTGCCTCAAATGGATGATCCTAACTATGAAATGGCTGTTGTTTACAATGAAGCTGTGTATACTAGAACGTAAATAAATGAATGAAAAAGGGAGTTTATGTTCAGATAGTTTCAGAAGAATAACTGAATATACAAATAAATAGTTAGAACAATTAAGTTGTTAATTTATTATTGGATATGCCTTTCCACTTATTTGCATATGCCATGAATTGTTCTTTTTGTTACCTTTGCAAGTTTTAAGGCGAAGATTGACACCGGGACAAAGGCACTTCCTCTCAGCAGATTCCATGATTCTGCGACAATGTTCAGGGTCATGACATGGATTTTCCATACAACGGCTCACTGAAAGTACAGGAGAATATGGTTGCGTATACTTTACAATCAAGTCACAGCTTATCTCCCTTGCAAGCATTGTTTGGGGTTGTTGAGGAACATGCTCCTTCCCAAGAAGACAAGGGGGTTGGGGAGAGAGCAGATTTGCATGGAAAGCCTGCACATTAATTTTGCAGGAAGGCAAAAACAAGTTTAATACAAACAACTAAGTCTTTAGAGCCCTTAAATTTTTTTTTCCGAAAGCTCTGCTACTTAAGGAACTCATAAAGAGGGAAAAACTAGTCTCAAGAGCAATTCCAAGGATTCTTTTACCAGACTGACATCCACATGATTCAAAATGGTAGCAAAGAGCAAAGGTCTGGTCATTGCAGGGTCCAATTTTTAATTGATATGGGGGGTACACCCATGGACCCTCTTGGCTTTGCTCTAAAGGCTTGTCATTATTCCCCTTGCATTAATACTCTACATTTGATACCCACCTGATTTGAAATAACAACACATGGTTAAATCCTCATCATAAGTAACTCCATCTTGATACACTCCAGCAATATCTGCAGCTGAAAGTTCTTTCTGCCAGATGGCAAACTGAGAAATCTCAAACTTTCCAAATTTCTTGAGACTCAAACTGCTGCTAGGCCGTGCAAGTGTGATAACAGGTGTGTAATTCTGTTGGCGCAACGCAGACACAATTTCGGGCTTGTCGGTAAACGAGCTCAAATTTCCATCCTCGTAATACGCCAGTCCGTTCCGTTCCCTCCATGTAAAGGCCATATGTGTCCACAACCCAACTTCTTCGTGAATAAACAGCGTCCACTTTTTATCTCTGGTTTCAAGAATAAATTTAAAACGTTTCAAGCTCTGGTGGTAATATAGCTGATATCCTGGACCATTCCTTTTGTTTGTGAAAGATCCTGATGAGAAAATGTAGCCAGTTCCATGAACCTTGAGCCAAAATGTCACTGTAAATCCATTCTCACATCTTGAGGGTTCTGTCACGCAATCTGCGTTAAAACCACCTTGAAACGTGACACAATACATTTTAAAAGAATGTTACGCTAAATTTATTTTTCTGTACCTTACCCAGGTCTTTACAAAGGGTAAACTGTGGTCAAAAGAGGAAGTCAAGTCAAGTGATGCAATAATTTGAAATTTTATATCAAGCACTTATTACCCGCAACCTACCTGACTCTGACGACCATTTCAGTTTGATGCGAGACATTTTAAAATTGTCAACGTTCAAGCGTATAAATTCGCGACGGGGCAATTCATTTTTAAAACAGCTGTCTCCAAAAGCCACGGAGAACTGGTTACTTTTTTCAGTGAGAGTTTCACCTTTCCCAACCGGCCATATTGAATAATTCAAGCACGGTCAACTTTGAGAAAACTGGGACCAAGTAACCTCAGGGTCAATCGATCGGAAGGTGCTGTATACAGATCAACCTTCGGCCGTTCGGAAATTCGTACAAATCTCCGACGATTTCCGAATTCATGCCATCAAAATCATTATTCATGTGATCACCTTATTTAATGGAAAACGACGTATTGATAAAAATTGATCAACATTTCATTGCTTCTACAATCGAGGGTCGTAAGAAAACTTGAAAGTGGTTAAAAAGAAAACGAAAGATGTGATCCATATGTAAACTCCTGATATGGGATATCATTTCTTACGAGTTGGAAACCCAATACAATCCTCTAACTGAGAGTAAACTGTTGACGAAATGACTGTGAAATACTGAAAGTGCCAGAGTTGCCTTTTATGAATGGTGCAAGTTAAGGAAAGTTTCAAATGTGCTTTCGTTTAAAGGAACACTGTCAAAACATTTTCCCGGGAAATTGATTCTACAAAACCACTAATTTTCTCAAGTTTGAACTTTATACTTCCGTCCTTGACGGTGATACAGGGTTAGGCGATGGTTAGTATCCCATACACGAGGAAGACTTTTGTTTGATATCATTTGTCACCAAAAATACTTGATTTATCATTTGACAGCGTTTCTTTAAAATATTTGTGGGGGGTCTCTTATCACATGAAATTTTTGCGACATGAAAGAAAGACTGGCAACAAGAAAAAATTATACACGAAAAAAAATTGCTAGCTGCAATGTGAAGAGGTAGAATCATACTGAATTATTGTTAGATATTACATGTTATTTGCAATTTTTACTTTGACCTATAAATAGAAACATTTAAACAAAGAAACAAACAAAGCACAAACACATTTTCCTCAAATGTGTTTCCGTATCGACAGAACCCAACCAAAATTTTATTGCAATGGTTAGCTCACAGTTTTTGGTCTAAAGGGCGCGGAGAGGATTTTTCAAAATTTTTTCCTGATACTAAAAAAAATTGAAGGTGTCGCAAAAATTTCATGTATAAGGGAATGTGCGCGAAGTGAAACCGTACTTACAACCAAACGGCTTTCGATCGCGACCGGCTATGGGGAGCGAACTGCATTTCCGACTCCTCCCTAGAGGAGAGTGTGTGTCAGTCGACAGTTAAGTGGCAATTAACAAAAAAATTGGGTTTGGGTGCTGAAGGAGGAAAATTTTTTTTTTGCGCCAACTGGAGACTATCGTCTATGAAGGGTACCTTTCTGGTCAAGATTGATAACTAACAGGATTTTGTTTAAAAAGTAACGGAAAATCAGGTATAAGACCGCGACGAATCTAGATAGTTGATTCAACTAGGGACATTGTTAATCAAAAAGAAATTTACAGATTACTCAATCGCAGTCGTTAGCGTTTGTGACGACTGTAACACAACTTAACAAAAACTAAGTTTTTGGGGGAGGGGGTAGAGTAGGTCTCTCCTACCCCTTCCATAGAAAAAGATCTGCTACTGTTGATCGCATTGAATGTCGCTCCCCTGGGGGTGTCACAGACAATACGTCTGTCGATACATTCTATACTCACCAGTATCCACCCAGTCATCTATTCCATCCAAGGACAATGCATGTCCCAGCTGAGGTACTACTACTATCTTTCCTTCATGTACGACGGTGTGAGCTGCCCCTCTAACATCCTCGAGGATTCCATTCGTTATGTTTTTCATTGGCCAGTAATGTTCAGCGCTCAGATAGGGGGAGCCCCATGCAAGTGGAAATGGGTAGGCTGAGGTAAGGAACAACAATAGTTAAGTTTGTGTTTCAAACCTGAGCAACCACGATAAATTTTGTCAGTGTTGAGAAAAATGTGATTGCTGATCGTTGTGCTTACATGAATCGTTGAATGGCTTGTCCTTGTATATCCACGACGTGATAAGAGAACAGACATATTTTATAGCCTGGGGTGGGGGGTCGGAGGATTTTAGCTGTCACAATAAAATTCACCTGATCTCCTCTAAGGCTCTTTAGTATTATAATGACGCCCCTCCCCCCCTCCCCCTCTCATTGCGGTCAATTTCTATAAACCCCCTTTCGAAGACTGATCTCCTCTCCGTTCCCCCGAAAACCACGTGATACCCCTCGTAAAAAAACTTCTCGGGATCTCCCCCGGACACCTCCCCGGATCCCCCCCTCCCCCCTCAGGCAATAGATATTGAGTGATCCCGAAGTCCAATAAAAATGCGAAGGTTATGAAATAGAGTATGATATGAATACAAGAGAGAGTAAATGGATTGGATTTGTGGACTGAAAAGAGGTGAAACCTGAATGCAGTAGGAGATAAACAGTTCTGGAAATGGAAACATGTTTTGTCTGACTCGCTTATTGAGCAATGCCAGAGAAAAATAGCAGAAAGAGGATATAGGATGGAGAAATTTTTTTATAACAATCCGATCGATATTTCATAATCGTAATAATAACAATATAGAATTTAGAAATGAACATTCCACGAGGTCGCTCTTCTTTTCCAGCTTTATTGGTCGAATTGCATTTTGGAATATTGGTTTTTGTGGAGAGAGGAAAACCAGAGACCCGGAGTGGACCCTCGGAGCAAGGACGAGAACCAACAACAAACTAAACCCACAGGTAACGTCAAATACGGGAATCGAACCCAGGCCCAGGGGTGAAGGTAAGTCCCCCTACCATTGCTTTTACCGTTTTAGTTTAACTCTTCTCGTTCACAATGGCTTGAAAGGCTTCGACTAAAAGTATCCACAAACGGCTGCTGAACTAGCTCTAACCCATTACACCCTAACATCAGTATCAATATTCTCCATACTGTTCTCCTCACTGTTCTCTAAGGGTGATGAAAAGGAGAATTTGTTTAACCATCAAGAACTTCTTTAGATGGTGATCACATCCTTTATTCTCATGAACTTGATGTGTGATTCAGGGATGTGAGGAGAAATTATATTTTAGTCACCATTATGAGCCAAAGAGTTAACTAGGCTCCTTCTTTTTAAGCTACATTCCTCTTTGAAGTGACACACTTTCATGACGCGATCGACCCTTTGTTTAATGGCAATCAGTCACCTCTCCCTCCCCGTCCTCCCAATTTTTTATTCCAAATCTCTTGGGCTAAACAAATACCCAAGTATACTACCTTAAGACAAAAATTATTCCGCAGAAAATTCTTGTAGGAAATCGGCACTTTACGACGCGATTTAAAACATACGATAGACAGGTTCCATCACACTTACCGCCCAAAAAACTGTGAGCAAATCTTTGTGAAGATGAACAAAAGTGCAGTTGAAGAAAGTGAGTGTATAAGTTAGGTGATAAGAACGCTTAGCAAATCACGATTGGTTACGACGAATGGAAGCAATACATGAATAATTAGCCAGCAGATTGAGAACAGTGCGCTGTCATGGGCGCAAAAACTGGGGAGCAAAAACTTATGGCTAACTTTTTAATTCTAGCGTTTCAGTGAGATTCGAGTGCAGGGTGCGTACTTCAAGCGGCCAGCAGGTAAAGTGCAATTGACGTGCGCGTGCGCAGTGAAGCCAAACTGGTAGTTACTTACAAGATGTACGCTGCAAAACTAAACAGATTCCAGAGTGGTCAAGTTCAATGAAGCCCGGCATCGTCAAGATAGAAAGAAATAAAACGTACAGTCAAAGAAAAAAGAAAGTAATAAGATGTTTTGATACTAACATAGTTGTATGAAGTCGTAAGACAAGAGAGTAACAAATAAAGTACAGAAGGCTTTAGCAAAGTCTGCATTCGAGACTGTCTCACGAAGCTGACGTGGTTTATCGCAGGTTACGCCAGCCTTCACCCCCCCTTCTTCCCCCCCCCCTTGGAAATTTGACGAGTTTCTGCAAAGTGCCCTGGTACCCACTCTCGGGTGAAGAGCCTCTGAGAGTCAAGTCCCGACATCTCACCTACAAATTTCCATATCCCTTTGCGAAGGTTCATGAGCATAATCAAATTTATACTTATTTTGAAAGTTTGTCACTGATTGTTTCAGATTTCATTCCGTACGACTTCCTGTTTTTAGATCAATTAGGGTTTATCAATAGTTTTTATTCACTTCTCACCACCGAGTAATAAAAATGAATAGGTTTATATCTATTAGATCTATGCTTATCGAAAGTAATACTAACAATAATTTTTTTTTCATCGAGGACCCAGAGGTGCAGTTTGTGCAGTTTCGAGTTTAAGTATTGTACCAGGTGGACATTCTTAACGTTAAAAATAATTTATCAAGGGTTCAGTGTTGTATCTTTGGAGTTCGGTATTGAACACTACATTGAGAGAAAACTGAATTTGAATTTTTGTAATTTCGTTATGCAATAAAAATTAGAAATACGTCTGATAAATATCTAACGTCATCAGGTCAGACAAATTGTCGTTTTCATAACTAATAAATAGGAGTTTCAAATCGAGTTTGTTCCTTTCAAATTGAAAGAAAAACAACTGGTTATCAAAAACTCTGTTATGTCAACAAAGAGTTCTTGGCGAGCTTTGGTGACCGTTTGATTCATAAGCTGAGAAAAAATTCAGGATATGCACCTGACTGAGGAAGAAAGTAAGAAATTCTATGCGACTGAAAGTAAAAACCGCATTAAATTTTATGTTTTTTATCAATGAAGATATGCCAAACTCGCTGTCACGGCTAACGAATATCTAAAAGTTGTGTCTATAGTAGTGACCACAGAAAACTTTGGAAAGATTAAGAATTCTGTTATGATACTTAATAAATAATGTTATTTAACGGTAAATGAAGAAATCGTTTCGATAAAAATCTTTCTGTGAGATATGAAGGTTTCAACCACAAAAAAAATTTACTTTTTTGAGTATTGTTTCGCTGTAGTCATGGTCAGTATAAAAATCTTAGTTCATAATAATCACAGAATATCTGATTGACTTTGCAAACAAGTGACTGATCCGAGTTAATCATGCAAATTTGGAGCTGACGGACAATCACTTCAAAACTCCATGTCAGAGAAACCTGCTGAAAGTTGTATTTCAAATTTTGAATGGTTTCATTGTTAAGCTTCAGCACACCTTGACGAAAGAGAAATCACTGTGCTACATCTTATCTATCTTAGGCTTGTAAATTATTCATCTCTTTTGTGTATGCTCTAAAAAAATTTAGGGGCCGGAGTGTATAATTAACGTACATTTGCCTACAAGGCAAAAATGTTGAATGTGTAAACTAGCCAACGAAACGAGTACACGAATACTAATTTTTTTAATTTGACGTTCAGAAATTTATCAAAGAATTACTACGATTTCATTCGTTTTTAACAATGTCTCGATTCGTGAGAATTATTTGCAAACGGAACTTATGGATAAAATGTTTTCAAACCACTCTCCAAATGCGTCATTACATGATAATTTAACGATAGCAGAACGAAATTAAATTAGATATAACATCAATATTTTTTACAGAAATCTTAGGAGAATACTTACCGACGACCAAGACCCAAAATATGATCCTGTGGATAACAGTGAAATTCCTAACGCTTCCGCTCATAGTCAGACATATCCTGTTTCTCTCGCCATAAAATAATGTTAAATGAATTCACAGCAAAATTTTCACAACATTTCTCACGAAACTTCGTTCGTGTCAGCGCGTCCAACTCATTTTGATCTCGATCACTCGACGGCTCAAGACAGAGACCTGAAAAACAACAATCAACGATGAATACTAAATTCACAAGTAATTTTTTTTGTACCTTGTAAAAACCCTAGGAGATTTGTTCTAGCTCAAGCGACACACCGTTGGCTAAGATTTCCTTCTAACCCAATTAAAGTTCGTTTATCGCAAGAAGAAAGTTGACAGACGAAAATACCAGTCTTTGTTTAGCATGTAAAGCAAACCTCAGCTGGAAGCCATGTAGTTGTATTATACTCGACCAATATTTGCACAGTTGGCCGTCAAACTCGCATCTCCTTTCCCCCAATTTACACTGAAACGCTTTACGAAAATCATCACTTTTTTAAAAGTGATTATCCTTCGCAGAACAAACATGGTTTATCAATAATGCACGTGCAACAACCTTACATAAAGAGATTCTAACGCTCTTTTCACTCCTCCAATCGTATGGCACAATATCATCTTCATTATTTCCTCATTATTTCGCTTCGTCGTTACTGTGAAATGTTTCTCACTACCGGGTGGGAAAAATTTGGTTTTGAAAATAAAACCAATTGATACTTAAAGTTGAGATTTTAAAATATTTATTACAATTGTTTCACCACGTAGATACAAGGACAATGGTGTTGCATTCTGAAGATTTTTTAAATGGATTTGTTTCGAAATGGAGGAAGCTTACTCGGCGCATAAAGGTTGCAAACTAATATTTATGCTACACTTGTATTTATTAATATCAATTGTATGAACTGAATGAATGTATCCCTGTTCTGACCCTGCAGGAAAAAAAGGCGGGAAAAATTTTGTACCTCCTAAGATATGATTTATCATGAAGTATTGTTTTTTCATTTTCTGGAACAGAATTCGTCTATGGAACATTGTGGTTGCTGATAAAGATTCATTCCCTGAAGGTTTATTTATTTTACCATAAATTGAATGTTCGCCTTGGCCCCCTCAAGATTTTATCGATTCTACAAGCAATAAAATTGATTGTAATCTTGTTAAACTGATAACAGTTGGGATTTCACGGTCTATTTCGTTTGAGTCAAGACGTGCCTGTGGTCGTCGACTATTGTAAGGAAGTGTTTCCTGTAATATACTGTGAAGCCTCTAGAAAGCTGTCAGTCTGTTTGCCAAATCATAAAAAAAAAGCCAAAAATATACCAAGTTTAGAATGTTTTGTCAACAGTGTGATCTCTGTTGGTTTTAAATAAAGAAAATATATTCTACGATTACAAAAGGATAACAAAAGAAAAAAATGTCAACACGTACAGGAAACAAAAATAAATGATTCCTAACCTTTCTGTAGACCATTTTTATAAAATTTTTAAAAATAGCAGGATGTTATTTGAAGCAAAATATTGCAACCATTTGCATTATCTAGGTTAAAGAATTCCGTCTAGGACTTAAGATTCTTGAATGCAAATTTGTTGTAAGATTTTGCAAGAGCGCCCATCAAGCATTTTTAAATCAACAATTTTACGTTTTCAAGAAGCTGATGCCGGCTATCTCATGATCACACAACTAGCCGCCAATATGTCTATTGTTCAAATAGAGCAAGCTACCTACTTGAATTTCTCCACGTTGTTTCCTCAATAGTTTGAAATTTTCATGCGATCTACCCAAAAATTACGCGTTCAGAAGAACATATATTTCTGATCTGTCTTCATTTCTCTATAATCCTTTTATTTTCTGGTCTGATAAACCTAAAGTGATTTCATCGTTTGATTGTCAGACAGTAACTGAGTATCTCGTCGTCTGGATCCTTTCTCGTCTTAGTCTATGTATTGTTATCTTTTAATCTGAACAGAATAAATAAGCAATATTTGCAAATTAAAAGGGATGGTGCAGCTTACGATCGCGCCCAGAGCAAAACTTATGTCTCGGCTTCTTGTCTGAAATTCAAAACTTGCAGACTCAGGAATCAAAATAATGTATAAAATTCCAAACTTCAGGCCAAATTTCATGTCAGCTTGTCTTGTAAGTGAGTCATGCAAATCAAGTCACGTCTGACGGTTGAGAGAAATGAACGCAATTTGCTGTCGATTATTTGACAATTTGCGCCTTTGTTGATTCGTAAGAACGGTGCAAAGATTGGTTGTTGCTTCTAAAGGCTGCAATTTATGTTACAAACTTATGATAAACAATTTTATCCGAGTCACTTAAGGTTTGCATGATCATGATCATAAACTACACTGAAGTGCATGATTGTATGTGTAAATATATAAGAATTCATTCCGAGGATAATGGTTCTTCGCGTATTCATTCTGTGGCCAAGGTAATAATAAAATAAATTTGTTTTCATGATCTGAAATTGAAGATTGTAGAAACAATGTAAAAATGTAATTAACCTTGAATAAAGAATCAGTATCGTGAAGCCGTAGTTTTGGGGAAATTGACTATGGAAAATAAGTCGCGACTTAAAGTAATCTGTTTAGGGCGTCTCGGTAATAAATAAACCGACACGTAGGAGATTTTTATTAAACAGATCTTGGAGCCGTCTCAGTCCTTTTTTCAATACTCCCATATAAAGAGAAGAGCGAGTCTGGGTACGACTCCCAAAGATCGTCGAATGGAAGAGTGATTTTGTTGAGGAACGTAAACATATTACTCTCAGGAAAATTACAACTTTGGATGCTCCTCGTCATGTAATACTCAAGGGCGTTTTTGCCCCTCTACAGCATTTTTTTATGAGACGTTTAAAGTAAAGGGCAATTTAGAAACTGTTTTAGTATAACCTGGATGATAATCAAGAGAGATATATCGCCGTCATGAATTTTACTAAAAAGCTGACGCTTAGAGAGTTCTTCAGTCTCTCGAAATGTGAGTGGTTGAATAGAATTGATGCGACATTTTATCTCCCTTCATCATCTTCTGGCTGAAATGGTCTAGAAAATATTCCACTCTTATGCAGACGTAACGCAAAAGTTCCTCTAGGAACTTATAACTTCGCAACACACAAACTGTTGTGTCACGCATTCTTCAAAAAAATTGTCGATTACGTATAGTAACGGTTATAAGATCATACGAAGAGACGAGTGAGTTATCCAAGGCATTGTTAATGCAAAATTAAGCACTCTTATTATAATTATGCAAGAATTGAATTAAAACTTACGAACCCCGGGTTCTACCTTTTTCTTCGAAAAGTGCCTTCGATACAATTTGAAGTCGAACCTACACCACACACTGTATATAATTTGGAATTTTTTTTAGTTTGTACTAATGTTTTCCAGAATATAGGCTAACTTTATGAGCTTAGGTTTTGGTTTTTAAAAATCAAAATATTGATGAAGTCTGTCGGCTGAAGAATATAATGCGATTCTTTTGAAATATTTGCCTGCTCGTCTTTTCCAATAAGCTTGACTCCAGAATTCTCAGCAAGATCAGAACGTGACAGGATAATGCAAATATTCTTTGACTTAAAGCTTAACTTGAAAGACATTATTTTAAAAATAGGAGCAAATACAACATTAAAATTACTTTCCTACACGTATTAGATACAGCAGTTTAAGTCCTGGTTTCTTAGTAAACTTTGCATCGAAATGTAAACATTCTCGCCAAAATGTTTCACCTTATGGTACAAATTAAATCTATCTACCGATAACAATTTTCTTACCATGTTTTTTTTACAAAGCATAATTCCCCTTTAGCAGCGGCAAAAGACAGTCGATGAAACGAAAAATCGGCTAAATTCCAGTTAAGATGTTTCTTGATGTAAAATATGAAAAATACGAAATGTTTTCAATGCTGCCAACAAGCAAGTCGTTTAAGCCATCTATCTGATTTAGCAACGACAATATTTCATTGGAATTCAAGATCTGAATCTTAATTAATGGTTTATATCCAGTAGCCATTTACTATTCAGAAAGGATGTAAGAGATAAGAAAAGTCCCTTACAGAGGAGAATTATTGATAAAAGTGATAGCGTCATGAAATTTTTATTCTAGGTGAGTGGAAGCCGTGGTGAGAAATATCTCTCTTCCAGCTGACCCGTCGATGTTTTTCTCATGCGAATATAATGAGAGAACTCTCTTGATTACAAATTTACTGTTGCCTGGTGATGCATTGCAGATTGAAGGCCCAAAAGGCAAAGTACCGCAGAACTTAATGAAAATATCTTTGGAAATCATCAAAGTTTCCGTAGCAAATAACTTTGGGAACTGAAAATGACTATGAAAGTCTCCTTATTTGATTCCTAAGCCAGCGGTAATTGAACAAAAACTGCCTTGTTATTTGTTTTTTGTTTGAATCCGAAATTCAGAATTCTCATGTCGTAAGACGCACGAAAAATGTTCAGTTATTTCATTGGACTCCATATTCACAAACCATGACTAGCCTTACAACGAGGCCAAGCCAGTTGGTGCAGAGCATAACGTTTGATATATTAAGCACAGCATCACCAATCCTAGTCAAATTTGTGCAACAAAAACCTCAGTTTCACGAGTGCTCCGCCAGAATGCGAATTTGACGCGTGCTCCGCCAGAAAGCGAATTTGACAAGTGCTCTACTAGAATACGAGAACGTTTTGTATCACTATTAACTGACACTAGTCAAATCAGATTTATTAGAAACTTTTAGTGAAAGAATGGGTGAAAAAAAATCACATATCTATAGGTGTGAAAGTTAAAACGTCATACGAATAACACCGTGATGTATTTAATTGGTTTTAGAAAAGGCACATCAATTATAACAATGAGTACTAAAAGGTAATCTGAAACGAGGAGTGGGAGAAAAAATATATTTATTGCCAGCTGTCTTGACAATCGAGAGCAATCCAGGAGCTAGTCATACTTTTAGTTGTCAGAAGGACACAGTTGTAAAATCGAAAAAGGTTAGATTAATTAACTCTGTTCTTTATCGGAGGCAAACTAAATATTGCTGAAAACCTTTATTTCAGCTTAGACTAGGCGTGGTTAATGAACAAAGATTTTTACAGAGGATTTGGCTTCATCGGTAAAAATTTTAATTTTTTTTCAGTGCTTAATTTTTTCTTCATCATTTTTGTTTATTCTATCGACCTATCGTTTTTACGCCCTTCACCATTTTCAAGATTACACTCGGTGAAAAGTTCGAAACATTATGCTTCTTTGAAGCATAAATTATGACAGCGTATTTTTAATTTGAAGTGCTTCGTCGATTCGAATTAGACTAAATAAAAATACAATACATTGGTTGTGAGTGTTAATTTACAGTCGAAGTTATTTTAACTCGGGTTAATTTGAGAAAACGTCTCACGCTTCATATCGGCTTCCTATTGATAGGTGTCCTTAGCTGATAATCCAGTAGCAGGAATGTCTTTTATCTATCTATCACAGAAATAACAAATATTATGCTCGGATGGAATTCAGCTTGAATCACAAAAGTCGACGAATGCAATATTTAATCACTGATAATGATTAGTGTTACCACATGCCTTGGACTTTCGATTCCTTATTTTCATCGACCATGATCACAGTTGAATGGAAGTCAAAATTTCAATTCATTTTTTTTCGAGCAGAATCGTGGAAGAAACCAGCAAAAAATTTCTCGAGAGAAGAAATAGAAGTCTGCCGTACAGGGTAATATTTGCTCCCGCCTCCTACTGAGCGAAAGAAAACCATTATATATGATTAGATGAGCGAGCCAATGCCGTACGCCCAAGTAAATAAAAATTTTTATCAACATACACCTCGAATCATACAACTCAAACTGCTGGATCGTTATTTAATTTTCTAGAATAATTAAGTTGTACAGAAGATTCGATTGCAAAACTTTCGTGTCTTTCCGGAATTGAATTGTTTCATATCACGATGGGGAAGCCATTGTCACGATATACTCAATCTTATCAACCCTCTGTGTCAGTGCTTTAGTAAAAATACGATAGTGCGATAAAATGGAGTCATGTGTGAATACTTTACCTTATTGCTGACCCACTGAACATAAATATTTCAAGCGTCCTGTTGAAGTTGTCTCCACTTCATACTCAAATTCGAAGACGACATGATCATGAAAGTTTGTAGCTTTTCTGAAAACGAGAATACTACTTTCATCATTATCTGAATAAAGTTTACAGAGTTAAAAGATATCACCAAAGATATCTTTAAGTTCAAAAGCGAGATTTACCGTAAAACAAAACGTACTCCTCTCGAGATATATTGCCTCACAGCTGCAGTTTACTGTGATTTTTGCAAAAGTTTTCGTATCAACTGAATGCAGCCGTGAGCTTGTCTACGAAGTAGTAGAAAGTTTCACCAGCCGCTTTCGGTGTGGCGCTAAGAGAGTTTGGAAAATCTTCCAGAATAGGTTATTTCCCTTGGCTAGAGCCGCTTTTAGACTCGACCTTTCTCTGAATAGTTGAAAAGAAGGCAAAATAGCTTGGCCTTGTTAAACATTTATAACTCAGTTATTGACTGATACAAGAACACAGCAAGAGAACTTAAGAACACAAAGATAAGCCGTTCTATAGGCAGCCAATGGCTTGCTTGAAACTGTTATTTAGTCAAACCCCCGAGAGATGGTTAAATACAATAATCTCTATGCATTAAAGAGATGCAACTCTGTAAAAGGAACTCGATCTGTTGAAGTTCATACGTCGTTGGCTACTTCCTTACTTTTCTGAAGATGAAAAATTATGTTGCAGCAAAAAACTTAAATAAAACTAAAATCAGCTGTTTTTTTTCAGGAAAAAATAGATCATGTCCATCCAAGACGCCAGCTTTTAAAAACCAGTTGTCTGACCTCTAAGATAATTCAGATTAAAATGACGTTGCTAGACTTAATTTTTCAAGTTACTGGAATTTACGTAAGAGATTAAAACTCACGTTATCTATTGTAAAACCACTGTGAGAAGGACGTGTTTTTTTTAGAATTTCTGTGGGTACCGTAAAAAAAACAAACTTTTGAGGCTTTGATAAAAGCAAATGAACTCTGTCATTTGTAACTTTGTTAGATGATGTTTTTAAATTATTTTCATTTTTTAGTCAAAGATTGACTTCATTTGAAAGATTACACATTTCTTCTTCCATTTGATGAACACTTATATTCTCTCAACCTTCTCATCAAACTGAACTTTGATATTCAACTTTGAAATATGTTGCGCAAGAGATAAACACAGGAAATTGTTCATCTAAAAAACAAATTTATGACTTTTACTCAAAATTAACTGTCGTTTGTGCATAACTTAAATAAGTGTCAGCTTAACAAATTAAACATCTCAATGCGTGCAAAGAAAAATTATAGGATAAAGTGCAATTTGGAAGAAATTCAATGTTAGTTTTTGCGTGCTCCTCTCGTTGCATATGCATCACACTTCAAGCGCGCCTCGGGCTTTTCTCCGTTCACTTGACAAAAACAAACGATTATTCCCGTTCTGCAGGCTATGCAAAACATTTCGCCTAAGATGCTTGCTATTGTATCATTATCAAATGACGCGTTTGGCCCCGCGAGCACTTTTACGAGGAAAAAACAACCACCTCAAAAAAATCTCGAAAGAGGGACGTAAACGATGGCGTGAGCAGAGCCGTGGAAAAATTTATATGGAAAAAAAGAGAAGAAAATGAAAAGGAAGACAGAGGGTTTTAAATTCACTAAAAGCTTAATTAATTTTGTAAGGTCCGACGTGAAATCTTTTTCCTCACGGTCAGGGAGTATAGATTTTGAGCCAAGAATGTTATTCCGTCCGTCTCTTTCACTCAGCCAACAAGTTCATATGATGCTCCTGACTAAGAAAAAAGATAAATGAAAACTTCAGGCGATGATTTGTAATTTCAAGACGAACCCAGTCAATCCATACTTTATATTGGCCGAAATAAGGGCTAGAACTACGAAGAAAATTTAACAAAACAACAACGCGTTAAATTCAAACTGGAAACATTTATTTATTAAACAAGGAAAATATCCTGCTATGTTTTTTTCTGTTTGAATGTTTTTTTTGCGAGGTGAAATTTCAATTTATCTTAACTTTCATATATTTCAAGGAAAAGTAAAATTTCTCCCTAAAAATATCTGAGGGCTCGCCTCGTAAAGTAATGTATTTTGATATGAGTCCTTTTAGTCATTAATCTTCTACGTGTTTGGAGCTAGCTTTGCGACTGAATCGAAACATAAAACTGCAGATGAATATGACATGCATATCAGCTTATGTCAAACGGGAAGAAGTTTTCCCCTTTGTTCTTTTCAAAGAATAAGTAAATATTTGTTTTAGGCGCTTAACCCGCTCTGTGACCAGCTGTTTTAGCAAATCGAGAAGCCGCAAGCGCATTGGTGCAAATTTTCCCGGGAAGAGGTCAGGTCATTCTTAAATAAATTTTAATTGGCTATTCTTCTTTGAGGAGATTTTAGCCAATCAGAGATGGTGTTCTGTTATGTGCATTCAAAATACGCTACATGTCGCATGCGCATAACAGACCAGTCAGAGACTGCCGTGTCAGTAAGCCGCCGGGAAACATGACTTGCCTTTAGATCTCTTACTAAATTATTTTGCAAATTCTTTTGTTTAAAGATGTTGAGATCGTCGCAGATGTGGCTTGTTTGCTTTTTAGTGGTGCGTACGGTCTGTGAGATGTTTAATTCCCGCTGTTGTGCCGTTGAATCGCATGAACGCACGTTTGAAAATGGATAGAGGAAGCCACGTCGATGTGGTCTTTCATTCTTCCGAGTTACTACAGAAACTAACTCGTTGATTACATTTTGCAGGCTGTACTTTATTTTCCCAGCTCGTTTTGTGGTCATGTGGTGCAGCTCACAAGTCAAAATTTCGATCAAACACTAGGTAAGGTTTCTGAACTGATCGACGTACGCGATTAAGTTTTAATATTATTGTAAGCTAACTTCGACTCCTCTATCGAGAAACACTCTAAGTCAAAAATATTTGTTTCCGGAAATTTGTCTTACGGCTATTAACTATTTCATTTATCCAGTAAGGAGTTTCTTCTGAACTTATTTCCTTGATTTCTTTTTCTTTCAGCCGATAATAAACTGGTTTTCATAAATTTTTACGCCGATTGGTAAGTCACTATAATAAATCAAGCGAACTGGTATAATTTTCGTAACAATCGTACGTTGCTCAGGGGCTTCACATCAGCTGGAACACTAAACAAAATAAAGAGCTCGATCATATGCTGCTTTGTTTGATTTTGATGTGAAATGTGGGCTATTTGTTTTGTTTTGTGTGTGTTTTTTAATAAGGTATCAGACTTCCATTAACAGCCTCTACATACCGCGTTTAGACTATTAGACATGCATGGTCTCTTTCAGGTCAAAACGTCTCTCAATTCAGTCAACGAGTTCAAAATAATCAGTTTAATTCTTTCAAAACAACTTTTTCTGATAAACACTGTAGATTGTCTTATACCAAACTGCACTGCATGTATACTTCAGCTAATTTACAAATTTTGCCTATTGATGATAAATGCAGAATTGTATGTAAAGCTGCTTTTATGTAATCGTGGAACACGACTGAAATTTAAACCAATGTTTACATTAAAGGCAATTTGAAATTTTTCAAAGCAACTCCAAACCATAGGAAAACATACACCTCTCAAGTTACAGTTGAAAATAAATTCTGGGAATATTACTTTAAAAAGTTGGTTTTTTGGATGAAATAATTTTTGAGATCATGGGATCAAAGAGTTATCTAATATCTAATATATTTATGATTTTGCTAAAATGCCCCCCTTGGATTAACTACATTCAGGTAGTCTACACATACAGATTCTGAATTTAGTTTTAATTCACAGGCAGCAATTGGCAGTTAAACATTGGCACAATTTGGTTGTTAAAAAAGTTTTATTCATTCAATTTTTTATTACTCACAATGAAATAAAAAAGGGCTGTCTTGTATTTTTTTCAAACTCATTAATTATTCTTAAGGTGATCATCTAACCAAGATACACCAATTTCATTAGGTGCACGTGCTTTGAAACCCCACTGAAACACCAGAATGATGCACTACCCATGAGTTTCATATAATATCAAACCTTTGAGTTTGGTTAAGCTTCAAGCTCTAGTCAACTCATTCCCCAAATTGTTAAATAGTCTTTATTGCGAAGCTAGGTGCGCAGAATCCCTTAGGTTCAAAGGAGAGATCATCAAAGCTCTTTATGGCACAGCATTCATGGAAAGCAGCTGTATAGTGTTGTCATTATTATAATAAATAGTTAATAATTCTAACTCCTTTGTAAACAGCTGAGGAATCATCCATGATTCACTTAAGTTAAAAGTTAAAAAAAGATATAAAAATAAACAGGGGGGGAAATAAAACTTCAACTGACTTAAAAAATAAAAAATTCCAGCTGTAATTTGTACACCTGGATCTTTAAAAGCAAAAATATTTATTTCACATTCCAAGGACATAATACAGAAGAAACTGACTGGAATTTAGTTGGCTTCTCTAGGACAATATTTTGACTGAATCATTCCGACAAACTTATTAATTAACCCTTTAACTCCCAGTTCAAATTTGTAATTCTCCTTACTGTCAACCATACACTTTCATATAAAGTTAGTTCAGAGAATTTAGTATTGGATCAACTAATTATCCCCAAGTTGATATTTTTCTTTTTTCTCCTCACTTATCTGGTTGATATTGTATTTGTATTGTAAGGAGAAATTCTGTCTTGGTCACCTATGGGAGTTAAAGGGTCAAGACTGAGTGATTTGGTCGAAGTATTTTCCAATAAAAACCAACAACATGTATCTTTCAGTCACATTTTTCTACATTAGATCTTTAAAGTTGACCTTTGTTAGTTTTTTTTCTCATGATCACATGCATCAGTGAGTTTATTCCATACAATTAACAGTCCAGTTCATAGCGAAGGTGATGAATGTAATGTAATTTTATGTTTTTATCCTCTCAGGTGTAGATTTAGTCAAATGTTAGCTCCAGTTTTTGAGCAAGCTTCTGATCTTGTCCATGAAGAATTTCCGGTTAGCATTGTTTTTATTGTTACATCAATTGATTATCTATTTCATTCCCTGTTTGACAGATAAATTTCTGTATTCCTCAGAACTGCTACTCCTTAGATTTGAGTCTCTGGTTCTTAGGATTGAGGATTTAGTTGTACTTTTAAACTCTCAGCATATAGTGAGCCAGTACTGGAGATAGATTGAGAAACAATGGTCGGAAGGAAAAGTACCTCTGTAACTTTACTGTGAAACCATTCTGTCTTGATCACTGGTGAAATGATAATATGTACAGGCTTTTAACAGATTGTAAAGTGTTAGAGTAGTTGTAAGGGTTTCTGCATCACCCTGGATCAGATAATGCAGATAGAAGTATAATTTCCAATAAATGCCACCTTCAAATGATTGCTGCACGCAACATGAAGAATGCAGCATTTATTTGAGGAATTTAATTCATTTTGATTTAATATAAAGTAAGGTACAACTCTGTAATCTCCACTATCTATGAAAATTTCTCTGAAAAAGAGAGATGTAAATTGGTTCTTTGAACAAGGTTTTGTGTCATTTGATAGTTACGGATTATTTACTGTAACTGTTATCTGTGGTTTAAGAAATGACATTTTAGAAAAAACTCTACCTTTGATTAAGTGTTGCATCTCTAATTTAATGCAATATGTCTCTATGTAAGAAGAGACAGTGAGCTAGTGTTTTCTCTTTGCAGAGTGGGGTTGTGTTTGGTAGAGTGGATTGTGAATCAGAACAAGAGATAGCACAACGATTTCACATCACTAAATATCCAACTTTAAAGATGTGGAGAAATGCACAGGTAAAACATTACTGTTATAATTATTTTTATGATTGTATGTTATTATAATGCGTGATGCAGCAGCCTAACAGTCCATGGGCTCTATTTGAGAGGTCCAGGTTTAAGACCTGGCTGGGATCAATGTCTTGTCTTGGGCTCCTCTTCACTTTGGAGTATAAATGAGTACCCATGAATTGTCAAGCAGGCCTGATGAAATGCTAGGGGGTAACCTTGCAATAGAATAGCATTCCATCCAGTAGGGAGTAGTTATACTCCTGGTCTCTTCATGCTTTGGAAACTGGGATAAGTTGTGGGCTACTTTGTTCGCAAACAGACTTTACCTTTATTATCCTATCAAGGCATTATCCTTTCTCGTTTGTAATACAATAAGTACCTTGAATCATCCAGGATCATAGTCTGTCCATCCTAAAAAAGTGACTTGTTTCCTTCCTTAACCCTCCCTGGTCACTCACAGCATAACACTTAACCCTTTACACTCTAACATCAGTATTCATTTTCACCATACTGTTCTCTGTACATTAACTAAGGAACTGACAAGGAGAATTTGCCTAATAATCAAGAGTTTCTTTTGTTGGTGATCATTTCTTTCATTCTCTAATATTCATATATCATCCACATCTGTACAATCTAAATCCAAGATGGCGTCTTTATCGTTCGTTTTTGAAACAAATAAAAAGTTTTGATTTATCTTTGCAAATTTCACTATATTATTGTTTACCAAAGAAGCGACTAACTTTCAGGATAATGTATAGCAAACAGTATGGAGAATATTTTACAATGTACTTTATCGTTCCTTGATGTCAGGGCTACCAAAGGGTCACATTAGTTAATTGGAAATAAATATTTACATTAGTTAATTCAAATATTTATTGCTTATTCAGGTTGCAAGGAGAGAATACAGAGGTCAGAGATCTGTGGATGCTTTTTCAAAGTTTATCAAGGAACAGATGACAAGCAGAATTATAGAATTTCATGCTTTGAGTGATCTCAATGTTGATGTAAGTCTGATAAGAAAAGTGAAGCATGTAATAAAAAGAGAGAAAAATCCTGGAAAATATGGCTAGACTTCTTAAAGAAAACCATGAAGATTCTTTCTCCATTTGGGTAACTTGCAGATGATCTGTGAGAAGTGATAGACATTCACATGTATGTGTTTGTTTTACATTTCTTTTCATTTGTTTGCATTTTCTTACAAGAACTGCAGGGTTTGTTTTGTGGAAGATCTAATTTCTTTTATTTGCTCTGGTCTTTTTTATCATGTTCTTGAGTTACTAGGATACTATTAAAGTGTCTAAAACCTTGGACTAATGGTTGCCTTATGTAATTTCATGGTGAGGTACTTGTCTTTCCCAGGTGCACATTCCCTTGAAAAACAAGTTGTAGGAGTATGTTGGGCAATATTCCTTTTAGATTTGTGTATATACTGTAGTTTTATTTGTTTGGTGTTCTGGTTTTGTTTCCACAGACTTCAAAAAGAACTGTCATTGCTTACCTAGAAAGCAAAGACAGTGACAACTTCAAGACCTATGAAAAAGTATGTATTAATTGAACACAGTCTGCGCAATTGTATGATTCAAGTTATTGTTAGGCAGCTTTTTTTATAAATTTTTAAAAAGAATTAGCCGGTACATAACATACATCCATTTGGCTGCTCTTAAGAAGACATTACAAAGTGACAACTAATGTTGACTTCAGTTTGCCACAATGCTGCCCTTCACTCATTCATTGTTGTACATTTACAGAAAATAGGGGAGGGGGGAAGAGAGAGGGGGAGAGGTGAAATTTAAGGTATCTGGGATAAACTTGGTGTGCTTTTCCAGAATATTGCTATCCCAAAGGTGATGTGGCAATGTTTTGAAGTGGATTACAAGTTGTTTGTGATAATAATGTTTTGTAGTGGATTACACAGAAAAATTGTGTGATGATGTTGCAAGGGTCAACAATACAGTAGAACCCCATTAACTTGAGCTAATTTTACTTTCCCTTGGCTCAAATTTACCCTGATAACTCGAGCTTTGTGTAAAAACGTTGCTTGATAAATGTCAAAGTGTCAGGATATAGCTGATTGATACTTCCCAATTATTCATGGCAGTTAATATGAATGTGAAAACTTTAATGGAAACATGATGCATTTAGCTATACTTCCAAAACTTCGTGTTCTTATCTGAAAGCTCTCATAAAACAAACTAAATGTATGAAACTGACTGTTGAAAGTGCAATAATGGCTAAACCATTATTCCTTTTTATTATCAAGAGGATGATTGAAATTCAACATCAACCCAATAAATCAAACAGTTGCTAACTGGAACTAGTTTTTGTTTTCCTCGAGAGTCAAAGATAGTAGGTTTCTATTGTATTGCACTTGATTAACACACTTTCACATTGAGTGTGTGTTTGCCAATTGTGCTTCATGTCAATTTTTGGGCTGTTGTTTTTCAAGTAACAGGTGTGTGTGAAAGTTTTGTAGTTTGTTTCTCATCATACTAATTTTTTTTTCTTTTTTTTTTAGGTGGCAGAAGAATTCAGAGATGATTGCAATTTTCATGTTGGAGTTGGGTATGTTTATGGAAAAGCTTTAATTTGTAAAGTCGTCACAATTGAGTGAGTGCATGAATTAGATGCAACTTCAAATTCTCATTGAGTTTCACACAGGGTTACAAGACAAAGCAAAAGGATACTTAAGAAATCTATAATAAATCATTTGCAGGGCATTTTTAATGTACTTTTTCAAATGATGGCTATCATGGATACAGCCACAGCAGTCTTTTTCTATATTCAAATTTAGTAACATTCACTAATTGTTTGTTTTTTTAGGGATGCTTCTCTCAAAGAAAGACAGACAGGAGAAAACATTGTCTTCAGGCCTCAGCATGTGGGTGCATATGGAATAAATGATATTAATTGACATTACAAACTAATTGTGGGCCAGTCTTTTGAAGTGGAGTGACCTCTATTAATTGTTTGGGCCAGATGCTGAACCAAATGAGCTCCTTTAGTTGGGAGACAAGAAAGTAAATCATTTAAGGAACCAAGGTTTTGACAGGAAACTAGAAATTTCAGCATTAGCAACCATTATTTATATGATGATGCACTTGGTACTTCTGCACTCATCTTCTTCCTTGTAACAAAATTTTGTCCCTTTACCCTTTACACCCTAACATCAGTATCAATATCCTTCACACTATTTACTATACATTTCCTAAGGTGCTGACAAAGAGAACTTCTTTGATAATCAAGAGCTGATTTAGTTGGTGATCATTTCCATTATTCTCATTACCTTAATGTTTGATTCAGGGGTGATATTGTAAGGAGAAATTAGATGCTAGTCACTCTTAGGAGTTAAAGGGTTAAGTTAGAGAAAGAGTCTTAGTGACACACAGATGCTGTGGGTTGTAGAGAGCTGACCTTTGATTCAAAAAAGTGCAAAAGTTAAACTTTGTCCCAACTGAGTTTTCATAGTAAGCTACTCTCTTGAAGACGAGACACATTGGTTTATTGTTATTTTCTTTTTCTCTTGTTGTTTTTAGAGAGGTGTTGAAGGAGAAATGGTTTTCATGGGAGATCTTCGCAACTATGAACTCATGAAGAGTTGGATTTCAGACAAGTGTATTCCTCTGGTCAGAGAGATAACTTTTGAGAATGCTGAAGAACTTACTGAAGAGGGTATTCCATTTCTTCTTCTATTCCACCATCCTGATGATAAGCAAAGTGTGGAACTGTTCAAAACAGAAGTCGCAAGGGAGCTTGTCCAGGAAAAGGGTGAGAGAAAAAGAAACCATAATTTATAGATATACGTAGATGCCTTGAGTTACTTTGTTTTTTGCCTTACAAGGCAAAGGATACTGTGATCACATACTCTTAGTCTGATCATACAGGCTAGGTACAGTTTACATGAAACAATGTAAATCTTGAAAAGGACTCATTTAGTTACATGAAGCACTGACTGAAGTCATTATCAGAGTCATTTTAGTCCGCATAGCTCAAGGCCTTGTAATTTCCAACAGGCAAAGAATGCTTGTGCAGAAGTTCTAATAATGGGGACTGGCTCACATGCTTAACTGAATTATAGAAGTAGGCAAAGCTTACTGATTAGCAGAATGGACTTTGGATCAAAAGAAGGCTGTTGAAGGGTTGGCCAGGGTTACTGTTCTTGGACAAGATGTACATTTATTACTTTCAAAATCCTTCCCCCCCTTCCCCCCCTCCCTGCTTTTTGGGTGGTAGCATAGATGCTAAAAAGCTCGGCTAGTGGTTGTTTCAAATCAGCCTGTTCATGTTGGTTTGCTACCTCTGCAGGAAGCATCAATTTTCTTATTGCTGATGGGCTCAAATTCTCTCATCCACTGCATCACTTGGGAAAAGGACCTGAGGTGAGTTACTTGGATTCAATCATTTTTGGACTGGTTTTGAAGCAAAGAAAAAATACTGCATTAATTGGTGTTTGATAATTAGATGTACATGTATTTTTCAATATAATAGTTTTCTCTTCTTTTTTACCAGGACCTTCCTCTTGTTGCAATTGACAGCTTTAAACACATGTACCTTTTACCAAAGTTTGATGACATCAAGTAAGTGATAATTATACAGATGGAAACCAACATTGATGAACTTTATTGAATCAACTCATGGTGACTTCAAACCTTGTGAGAGCTGCATTAGCTGGTGATTCTCAATCAAAACTGTAGCAAAAATTCTTGAAGTGGTAATGTGAAGCAACCTGATTTCAGCATTTGGATAGCATACACATACTTGTGGCTACTAAATCAGATTCCTACTGTGTTGTTTGCTAAAATTTGTTAATCAGTTAAACAGTTAAACAGTCTAATGACCATGATTGAAACAATCATGAATGGAAAAAAAGGCAAAGAAAGATTAAACCCATTTGGTTTTAAAGGGTTAGTGATGGTTCTGAGGGGGCCTTTTTTGTCACCACAGGAAACCAGGAAGACTCAAGAAGTTTGTTAAGGATTTGCACTCAGGAAAACTGCACAGAGAGTTCCATCATGGACCTGACCCAGCAGAACAGGGACATGAGGAAGAAGAGGTGAGTTGATGCAACAGAAAGAGAAGTGAGGTAGAGAGAGATTTTGCTTCTCTTACACTAGCTTTTTTTCAAGGGGTAGAAGGGTGCTGGTAAGGAGAATTTCTTTAACAATCAAGAGCATCTTTTGATAGTGATCTCTTACTTATGTCCTTAAAGTTTGAGTTGAGGTAATTTTGGCAGGAGAAATAAGATGCTTGCCACTCTTAGGGGCTAAAGAGCTAGTCCCTTAGAATGTCTATCATGTGATTTGTCGTTATGATATCACCGATGAATCTAACATTAAGGTCACAAGAAAAAAAGGAAATAATCACCAACTGAAGAAGCTTTTGATTGTTAAACAAATTCTCCTTGTCAGCACCTCAGGAAATGCATAGAAAACATTAGGAGAATATGCATATTGACGTTCGGGTGTAAATGGTTAAGACTCAAGATCCCTGAAGTAAAATCCTGTTAGACAGCACACACCCATTTGTGTTGTGGGATGGTTTGATTATATATTGTTTGAATTTAAGGAGACTACTGAAACAGACAGCCCAGAAGAAGCAGGAACAGAGAAAGAAACAGAAACAGGCCAAGGTACTGAAACGCAGAAGACAGGATCAGGGAAAACAAACAGTGGATCGGGACGAAAAGAACAGACTTCACCTCCAGAGACTGTATTTAAGAAACTTGCCCCAAGTTACAACAGATACACTTTACTTAGGGATGAATTGTAATTGACTTTGTTTTTAATGCCCAGCTGTAAATTTCTAAGCAGTATTTTTCAAAATATAAGTAGAGACAAGGAGAAAAGAAGGGATTTTGATAACTGGCGATGACAAGGAGGGAGGAGAGGAGGCCAGGCAGTTGTGACTCAGTGAAGGAGGGGTAGGGAATTCCTACTTTATAACCAGGTTGT